TATTTATTTCAATTTCGTTTCCTTGTATTCATAATTGTTCATATCCATACAACTGTAACTCATTTGTGATGTTGAGATTTTATTTTATCTGCAGCAGTTCTCATCATGTAATTAGACCATTCTTCATGTATTTTCTCTTATGTCTTACTTTCCGTCCGATCTCGTTTTCCATAAGCCCTGCTGTATGTATTTGCCAATACAGTATGACTGTATTAAACGTAATCAAATAATTTTATTGCAAAATACGGTTTGCCTTAGGCAAAATTGCAAACACAACTATCTTCGCAAAATGAAATTACCCCTAACTAAGTCGAATGAACAAGATTTCACTTTCAACTAGTAAAACGTTCTTGTGGCTAAACACTTTCCCATCATCGTCTGTCAGTGAAATTCAGCTGTACAAGAGAAGATACTTTCGTTATTTGTGATGAGAGTTAGGATCCCTGAAACCTACTTCACTATATCAGTAATGCCGAGACAAACATAGACTTCCCTCTAGAAGCTGAATCTGACTAAATGTTCCATTTCTTCAGTGTTCAACTACCAAGAAATCCTGATAATTTCTCGGGGAAATGCATATGCAAAAAGCTCGCATGGAATGGATATTTGATCACCTTTCGAAGTTGTACTCCTCTAAGTAGAGAGGTAAACGTCAAATATTCTCTTTCCTTAAGGGTTCGGAAGGTATGTATCGAGGAATCTGTTGGCGAAGGACTGCGAAATCTCCGAAGAATTTTGATGGAAAAGGATTTCCCACCCAGATTCATGGACAAGAACCTAAACCCGAAGAAAGCTTTTGAACAGGTCTGAGTCATTCCCAAAAAGAAGATTCTGTTTGGTCTAGAATTTAGAATTAATACTGAAGAAGAAATTCTCGGAAAATGGCTTTGAAAATATCTTAGCAAAGGACACTTCGCCGCCAGACTGTGAGTGAAATTTTCCCGCAAAAAACTATTCAACCAACACGCGAAAGAGAGGCTGTTGCATTGGAATACCTCAGCATGCATATACCAGTTCACTTGCTCATGTGAAGTTCAGTATATTGACCGTATTTTGCGTCTGTCTGCAAAACACCTTCATGAACACTATCCAGCCCAACTAGCAATACTAGAACGTTGGTATGTGAAAAGCTCGGTAACAGAACATTAATTGAACTCGAGACATTCAGGTCCATCTGAAAAGCCGTACGCTATCGAAAGACTCAGAGGGAGTGCGATCAAAACATTTGGTCCCACTTGAAGCACTAGTGATCTGAAAAATCAAGCCAGTACTATGAATTCAAAAGAAGTACTTCCAAAGTTTGGCCTTCCATTGCCATCCTAAACAGGCATTTCTCTCAATAATGATTATCCTATTACGTTCCTAATTCCAACTTCCCGTTTATTTGTGTAACTTTTATGTTTTTAATCCCTATATGGGCTACTACGTTTTTTATTTGAACTTCCTGTCTATTTGCTTATTACTGCGTTTTAAATGTCTCGTTGTACAAAAAGTTAATTTTCTCAGTAATTATGAACCTATTAGTTTGTGTGAAAACACCCTGCTATTTTCTTATTATGACATTTTAATACCTACTTGTAGTCTTGTTAATTTTACCCTCGTATGGAAACATTTCTAGGGTTTTCTAATATATTTGCTATATATACACGAATATACATCCTAGTTGATGACTCCGCCGAAAAGAAAATTTTATCCACATTAACTGCTTTTTTTAATTATAACATATTTATTCGTACCGCTTTGACAAGGATATCAAAGCCAGAATCGGAAGAGCAAGACAAGCTTTCATTACTCTTAAGTCTGTGTGGAGGTCAACAGAACTCCTCAGCATCAAAAATAAGATCCAGATTTTCAACTCCAATGTAAAGTGAGTGCTACTATACAGATCAGAGACTTGGTGCGTCATAAAGAGCATCTCAAGCAAACTTCAGACCTTCATTAACAGTTGTCTTCGCTCAATACTCAAGATCAAATGGCCAACCAGAAAAGATCAGCAACAGGGAGGGATATCTGGGAGCGAACCAACCAGGAACCGATTGTGAAACAAATAAGCAGGAAGAAATGGAGGTGGATTGGTCATACTCTGAGAAAACAAACCATCAAGGGACATCACACGCCAGGGTCTCTCTCAAGTGTAACCCGAAAGGGAAGCGGCGAGTTAGTCGTCATTGCGAGGATGATATGGAGTAGGTTATGTGAAGAGAAGATGAAGGCATATGGGCAGACTTGGAGCGGAGTGAAAACGTTGGCAGAAAACCGATGGCAATGGAAAGGCGTGGCTGAAGCCCTATGTACCTCTAAGAATTAAAGAATATAATAATAATAGTACTGTAGTAACAGAGAATGTCACTATCAGGGTGTTAGATATTCTTTTCTTAAGGATGTCAGTCAGAAGATCGCCTTTGAACGCCACATCTTCTTCAATACATAGATGGGTTGTTCTTTTGATTTTGTTCTTTTTGATTTTCAGCCTTGTGTGCCTATCTATAAAGCGTGTTGGATAGCCATTCTCAAGTAGTGTATCCGTCAAAAGAGTGATCTCTTCTTCTACTAATTTGGAGCTTCAGATTCTACGGAATCTAGTCTCAAGAGATATCACTAGGTTCCGCTTGTGATTGATGGGTAGCCAACCGTAAAAGTTTTCCAGCTAGCCGTTCTATGTGGGCTTTTGGTGTATTGATCTCTTCAGAGTCCCATCAGTCTCATATGTTGGTCGGATGTCCAGAAATGAGACTGTCTCCTTAGTTTATGCTTCAATCGTATATTTTTGATTACTGGGTGGCAGCTATTAAACACTCGAAGGACATTATTTAAGTCACATTTATTGTCGCGGATTATAAAAGTGTCATCAATGTACCTTATGTACAAAGAGAAGTTATAAATTGTCCGTTTCAACGGGCCAATTTTTTAAAACTTGCCGTGGTAAAGTTACTGGAATAGTCCTAGTGGATAGATAAGAATATACTGATAAAATGTTAGCAATTCTTTCAGACAACAAGTTCACTGCAACTCACAAAGAGAAAGACAAAACAGAAATTTAGCTCACTGAGATATTGAGAAAGCTAAATAGTGGTCGACTCCGAACATTCAATAATTAGTGATAATTGTAATTCATCGACGAAATCTATAGCGTGATAGAGTTCAGAAAGATGAATATTGGTTGCAAGCCCTAATACTATTGCTAATAATAATAACAATATGAATGCTGGTATCCTCAGTTAATGAATCCCATTTTTGAAAGGTACACTTTTGATTAGTTTGTTTTTAAATTACTTTCTAATATGCATGGCTAGAGTTGTCAGTATGCTATTTTAATTTTCCGCTTACACTTTTCATTTGTATGCATAGATGATCAAAGGCGAAAGGAGGTACTTTCAATATTTATTTGTGAAACTGAGTTGGACGACAATAAAAATAGTTGAATTATTTTAAAGAGTAAAAGTTTACTGGTATTTTTATCACATGTAGCCAGTTATATTTGTGGCAAGAGTTCCAGCTACATTTGGGTGCTACTTAATTAGTTCTGCATATACATCTTCACACACATTGGATTGTTCTGAGGTACAAATTACTATATATATATATATATATATATATATATATATATATATATATTGAAGAGCGGTTTGATTAATGAAAAATATACTTTGGCTTCCCCATCTTGCCTTCTGTTGTTACAATCTTTGTCGGAGATAAAACTTCGATCAACTTACAAAAATTAAATCCTTCGAATAACGGAGTATGCTACTGTCGAAAGTGGAAAGTGCATTTGATTGTATGATTTTAAATATTCTTAATTTTATTGCATGGAGGATTTCATCATGAGCTGACATCAGTTAGACAAACACTGGAAAACCTGGAATTACTGGGCAGCTGTTCCGTTCTAGTTTGGGACTCTTCATCAGTACGTACCCACCGGAGTTCGAACCAGGAATCTTTTGGTTATAATGCGAGCTCGTAGACCATTGAGCCACTGGGACCCGATCCAGTGATCCAGGAATTCTAACTTCTGCCGATTCATGACATAGCGCGACCATTTCACAATGTCTTCTTCGATGAGTTACTGCATCATCTTCAACTTGCTGTACCCTACTAGTCACGGCTTCCCACTAGAGCCCCAGGTTAACTACCTGAATAGAGCCAGTTGCCAGTGAGCATCAGATTAATTTTTAAGTATTGGTTTTGTTATTCTGAGATGAATTGACTGTTCCGAAATCAATGATATAGTGCTGATCATTGTCAATCACTTCATTTTTAGATTGACACAACATAACTGCGGTAAATCGTAAGTTAAAACTTAGTCTGTCGACAAGACTCCCTTGAATCAAATTCACAATTTGGAAAGTAATTTGCAATTTATACGATTCGATGTGAAATTTCACTACAGTTTCCTACGGAAACTGAAATTATTCAGCTCCAAACATGTGATCTGCTGTTTAACATAAATGGAGATTAAGAAGGTAAGCATCAACCCACAATTCTACAGACTGCTGACTGAATACCACTTACACCAACCAGTAGCGTCTGCTAGCCAGAATGCAGTGATTTAAACACCAGAAGGACGTTCTGCAACGGTGTACTCCGTTTGACTCACCTCATACGGTGGAATTAATTCAAACCACCTTAATTCGCAAATTGTGAATTCAGTTGAATATATTACAAGTTAACCCAAGTAGCTAGCCAGAATTTGGATAATTTCAAATGATTTGGATCTCTGAGTAGAGTTAAACAGGAAAAACTACTAATGAGGTCAGCCCTAGAAAATGAATTGCTTGAAATAAAACCGTGCATGGAAGCTGAATATCGACTAACTAACAAATAATTAGGTATAAATAAAAATATTTTGATTCACCCTGGTTTTCTCATGATGTTCTCAGATGGAGGCTTTTACAACTGGCTCACACAGAGACTGAAGCGAATAAAGGCAATCGACTGGTTAATGGTAAAATTTATCCAACCCTTGTATTCATTACCACTGGCATAGCAATAGTCAACTAGTGTATTCCAATCCCTTCAATAAATAAATAAACACTAAACTCACTGGTTTAAAGGTATAATGAAAATGACACTGACTGATTGTTTAAACACATTCTAGGTATTATACACATGTAAACAGAGAGTGAACTCAGGTAAATGTTTAATCATAGGATTAGTAAATAAAGCAAAGATCAATTTCTAAATTCACCAATTAAGTCACCACAACATATTGAAAAAGTAAAGTAAATGGACATAAAGATAAAGCAGGAAAAGCAGTTGAATGTTTGAATAACTTATACACAAGCAGATACAGTACACAATGTTGCTTCAAGATCAGATTTTGAATATAGAATTTTGTCTACAACATATAATAGACCATTTGTAAATTGATAAGGTCCACTTAAAGATGTTATTCGACTCTCTTGTCCTTGATAGGTGAATAAACCCTCTGTAAAGAAGAAAGCAATACATTAAGACTTTAATTCAACAAAGATTTGATTAAATCATTATTGAAGAATCTCCTAGAGCTCCAGATTAATTATTATTACAGAAAACTATGTTCCTAAATGATGTAAACATTATCCGGATTGTATGCATCACTGTGATTTGACAATTTCAAGAGTCTATACACACACACTTAGTGGATTGATTTACTTTATGATGTTTTATTCCTCTTTTGTTCAAAACACTATAATACCTTAATATAACTCTGTAAAACAGGGATTATTATCTTGGAATTTTAAAACGTGGAAAGGTAAATTGCAGACCACACTTCAAAATAAAATGCATTGTCATTAGAGGATTTAACGAGCTACTCAGGTAACACATTCAGTGAGATACTCACTGGGCTACGGAACACTGTTACTGAAGACATTTTAGTTTCACTCCAGTCAATTACGATTACATGATTCATAGACGGGCCACCGATCTCCTGAAATCATTACATGGACTGATTGACAAGACCTTAATGCAATTCTAATCACACTCAGTAACAAAGAGGAAGATCATGGATTAGAAGCCTGTTAATTCTGCTCACATACTGTTTATATTGTCATGTTTAATTTACCTATGCTTAAGTAGTTTATAAAGTTTTCAGACAAGACTATCTTGCTTAGCCACCATTACAGATAAACCGTTTGTGAAATGTCAGACCACTTATGCGAAATTCAGTGTTACATTAAAACTAGGATAACTGATTTGAGTGCTAGTTTGTTTTCAATGCATTCTCTAATATGAAGTATTAATTCCAATCATCATACTTTAATTTTCATATCAGAAAATGGCCTTAAACAGAAACTGAGCTTTGAAATTTCAGTAGCGGTGACCGTTTTACTAACTGGAGTTACTAGCCTCATGATCAGCCATTCCTCTTCATCCGGTTTAATATCGCCTAGGAGTGTGTCAGCCGTGAACCGAACCAGGACCACATGCGTGGTTGGCGAGCACTCCACTGATGAACCACCAGTGAGAAGTCAGTTACTGTTAGTTAAAACAAATGGTTGACATATCGCTTTTTTATTTATTAACTGCTTCTCATTAAAGCAGTTAGTTACCTTAATAAATTTTCCAAGACAAAATGAAGAAATTATTTAACTGAGACGTAACTGTACTCTTGAAACACCTAACCCATTCGATAAGTTTAATTAAGACAAATACGACGAGATCATGATGAATATCATGCTTTCTTTAATGTTCGGATGAAATCTTTATGGCATATTTTCATGGAGAGCTTCTTACCGAACTAAAATTTCCCGTAACGCATTAGGAATCTTATGATATGGAGAATTTAACATACAAGATGTCTCAACTGCTTACAATGCTTTTGAATCATTTATCTAGAGAATGGCAGATTTTACGTCTCTGGTAGACATTACACCTTATTTTATCACGAAAGTAAATACCTGCTGCCCTTTTCAAGTGTTAGTTTACAGAGATGTGATTGGTTACAGGTTTGGTCTCGACTGATATCAAGTAGAGAAGCATTTGGAAAATCAGGAAGTACTGAACAGCTGTTTCTTTCTAGTTTAGAGCGTCCCGAATTAGGACGAAATACTACCTTTTGTTGCTTGTAATCTGTATTACCAGATTTTTGTATGTTCTTGATCATACTTGTTTCAAATTAGATCGTTTAATTACAGTAAGTGATCTTCATGAAGCAGGGGAGAATATTTAAGTATTTAAGTACTTTACTTTTTCACTTCTCAAGTAATTAATAGACGAACATTTACTGTTACTACTATTATTATTATTAATAAAACACAAATTTGGTACATTATAGGCACCAAGAGGTACACCATACAAAATCTCGTAGGTTGTGCGTGGGCTGAAATATTGCCCATAACGAAACAGACAGTTGTCTTAAGAAGCCGCCCCTTGAGCATTTGATTGAAAGTCTGATTCAGTAGGCTGTACAGCACTGCCAGGAGCTACGTTTTCATGGTTTCCAGTGTCCTAAACAGCTTCATACAACATTCGATCCGTCCAAATCCTGGAGTCTGTGTACACCATAGATTTGGAATCAGGGTTTTCTAGCCTCCTCAAATAGACTAGCATGTCCATCAGCTTGACAGTAAGCACTATACGTTGACATCCACCCTTTTGCTTATGTGGAGAATACCCACCTCGGCGTAAAGGTAGTGAATAGGACCTATCTGGCAGATGCTGTTAGCTCTCAACAAATAAAGTTGTTAAGACTACTTGTAACAAACTTGATTTCGTTAACGTGATGTGACATTTCTGGAATAAAGAAAGTAACTAAAGAAATTATTTTGCCTATTTCTCGGACAAAGAACTATCCATAAAACTATCCATAATTCATAGCCTATTGTAGTGCAGTTACCAAGATGGCGACATAATATATTCCATTTTTAGATGGTTGACACTAATTATGATGGGTGGTTTGAATCTGAGATTTATAATTGCTGGGGAAAAAAAAGCAAATCTATTCGAAAAAAAAGGGGAACAGTGCCTGTTACAAGAACTGAGCTTCAAAATGCTTAATACACTAGAAGTAATAAAGAGGATGTTTAGCCCAGATTGGCAGTGGATATTTTTTAGAGCAGTTGGTTCCCTTTATGAATTTCGACAAAACAATAAGAAGACGTAGTTTATCTGAAACGTATGATGTATTGGCGCAACACATTTCGGACATTCTGATCACACACGTACTTGTCATACACAGTTTTTATATAAGGCAAAAAAGCATGAATAATTACAATACAGGTCAGATTGTGTACAGGTCAAGGTCACAAAATAATGGGTAGGGAGACGCAAAAAGTGTGGGTAAGAAAGATAAAGGGAGGAAAAAAAAGGCAAAGAAAGGGTTTGAAAATATTATGAAGTAAAATTGGTCCTTGGTTCTAAGTTGGATTACCAAGGCAGGTTTAAGGTGATAACAAATAACTTTTGGACGCATAAGACAGGTTTAAGTCTTTTAATGGCTAAGGCTCCAATGAATTTAAGTATGTGACCCAACCTTGTCTTATATATCGGCTTAAAGGCATTATTAAAATCAACCTTATGACCCGTCTCTATAATATGCTTCGCTATAGATGATGTTGGACATCTATTTCCCGGGTCAATTGTATCTGGCGATTTCATTTGTTGTTGCAGCCACTTTGGAATGTGTTCTGTAGCCCTAACATGCAGAGACCGATGGGTCCTCCCTATGTACGTGTCTCCACACATACATGTAAATTGATAAACACAGTGGGATGTGACACTATCGTTCGGATAATGTGAGGGTTCTCCATGTTCTGATATATAGCCATGGGTATTTCGGCATCATTTTTTGAGGACTTGATAACTAAACTCACCGATGAGTCATTCTACTGATATATGTTGTTATTATGACATGTATTAAGTTTGAAAATTCAAAAAAACTAATCAAATTCGCTTGTAATTTACCTTTATCAGAATTTGTACCTTTGACATCCAAGCGTATTTCTTCCCGAGTGAATGCATAGTTAGCTGTGGCCACAGAATAAACCTTTTGTGTATCCAAATCTTGAATTATTAAGTCAAGTGGGTATGTATTTCTTCGAAAAACCTGAAATTTGATTTTAGTCAATTAAAGGAAGTGAAAAATTCCCACTGACCGTTTAATCGAAACATTTTAAAACAAGATAAACTTCTTCACTGTAAAAACGGTTATACAGCGTTGAACAACGGTGGAGAAATAAAAATTATATTTAAACAGTCTCGTTATTGAAGAATACTTTATAACTGCCTTAAATAAGACAAACAACAGAAATTTATTGACAAGAGATGCAATCGAAATATCCACTCTTCCCCTTGATTCGATAATATATCGAGCAAGTGCTTTGGAAAAAAACTGAAAACTCTTGAGTCTTAGGCTCTTTGGAATATTTTCAGAGATTCAAGTGGGCTTATATCAACGTACTCACGTAAGTGTAACACAAAGTTGGAGATGACTTCTGATAGGTACTTATTCACTTTCTGCCGACAGGAAGCAAAAGATGCACTGCAGATTGCAGTGAGTTTGCTTGTTAGATGATTTCTTTAACAGTGATTTCTCACCTTCAGGATTTTAGTAGCAGTGGCCAACTCTTCCTGCAGTATATTTTCAGGAAAAAGTTTACAAGCTTGCTCAATCGGTCACCTGACCTATTCTTGTTTGTATTTCATTCGTCAGAAATTAGCAAACTTACATGCGGTCAAGTCTAGTCGCCTTTTTAGTACATACATCTCATCACCTCATAGATAAGGCTAAAAAGTGCAATTGAATGAATGCCCTTACTAATATCATATTGTAGGACTGATATTTCACTTCATATTGTCGAAGTCTGAGGATCAAAAGTTTCCATTCCTCGACATCTCACCTAATCAGTACATAAAATGGATATTTCGACTGCCTTTAGAGGTGTCAACAGGTAATCGAATGAGTCTTCACTGTGTTCCATTGATTCAACTACTTTTAAGTGACTTTGGGTTAACGTGTAGGGAAAGAGAAACCACGATAAGTTTCACCTCACTTTGACAAAAATCAATCAACACATAGCATTAACTGAGTAGTCTTTCACATCATTGTCATGATTGTTTTGATGTACAAATTTAACTCACTCCTTAGATTTCAGATCACTTTTATATACTTTCCTTTTCTTACTATTGAATTTTCTCCCGTATATTTGTGGAGAATACTACTTTATTGTAGGCAGTTTACCAAAATCTTTCTCGAATCTTTTCCCAAGCTTGTCGTGAGTGACAGGCACATCTTTTTATCAATCGTAATGTTCATGTAAAACCATAATTTCCATGCTTAATCCTAATCAGCTAAGGAAAAGGTGTTCTTATCTTATAAATCGTACGTATATTTTGTCTATCTGTAGATACATGGATGCCTCAAAATAAAATTCGCACAGTTTCTGATTTCATGAAGATGATTAAGAGGAAAAGCTCTTTTACAAGAGAATTCCCTAGCAAGAAGATTTAGAAATACCAATATATATTAATTGTAAATTTCGTGAAAGGTCTGTATACTTGTATATCCATCTTGTACACTAGTCATGAAGTTTATTTTCATTTAACAGGATGATGTCACCGATGTTTTGCAGACTGACACCCCGTTCACTATGCAGATATTGACTGCCTAGTTAAAGAAACGGCTTTTAAACTTCTTGGTTGATGCTATAATTGAAGAACTAAATCAGCATAGCTAAGTATATAAAATCATGGAGACTAGTTTATTACAGCAGTGATTTTTAAAAAGATAATATATTGCGCCATATTAGTTTGTTTGAATCGGTCACCGGTTACATGATCACTGTTTTATTCTTAGTTACAACAACGGCATTCATGAAGTTCAAACTAAGATAATTATGGTTTTCAACAGGAAAGTACACCAATTTTTCTATTTTCATAAGTTTTATGTAATTCCAGTAAGTGTTTTCCCTTGATTGTATTTACTCAGAAGTAAATGACAGAGGAATCTAAACACCTTTTTCTGTCTTATTTATGGCCTGCCAACTTCAGGTAAATCCACCTAAAAGAGCAAAGTATTCCCACTTCAATCCACAATTTATCGTTCCAATTATTAAATGGTCTTCTACTGGGCTACTGAGTTACTAAATCTTTGATGTTTTAACTCCACTAGTACTAGATTGGTTATCTTGACCTTGAAATGAAAACTTACGAGAAAATAGACCTGATAAGTTAACTTCACAGATAACTATCTTAAAAGACTGAAATATTTAACTTGTGAAGTAATGTAGTGATGATTTAAACTGAAACATACATTCTAGAACTCAACCTTCCATGTCAGGGTAAATTTAAGTTAATATGACTTAGAAGACACTCTTTCATAATATTATCACCAACAGAAAAGTATAACTTACAAATTCTCTTCGAAGTTTGACATCCAATAGCTTTTTCCCTACAGAACTATCGTTATCCATATTAGTCATAGCCTGGTTAGTTGGTACTAAAAATGTGTACGGTTCGCCAACAGTCATTGACTGAATATACCCAGTATTGTAATATAAACTAACAAGGAAACAATAAGTTAAGAAGAGAGATAAGCAAATAATCTGACAAATTTTTTTTTTTTAAGCATTGTCAGAAATGAGTCAGTCGAATAGTTTACTATAAATATATGGCATATTTAACCACATAAATGAATCATAAAATGACCTTAGGTAAGCAAAATGCACTACTAGATACAACGAGGGAGTAAGTACTGGACAGCTGTTTCGTCTGAGTATGGGACTACTAGCCAGCAGTAGGCGCCAGCCGGGGTTCAAATCACCAATCAGCAGAAGTAGAAATTCATGGACCATTAAGTCTACCAGCTAACCTTGTAGCCGGAAGATCTGAAGGTTCGAAACCCGATGGGTGAGTACTGCTGATGAGTCCCAATCTAGGATGAGACAGCTGTCCAGCACTCCCTGGTTTCTAATGTTCCTCCCACTGATATCAATCCATGGTCGAACTTGAAACAAATCAAACCCACACAAAGAAACTCTTGAAAATATTAGATAAAATTTTCTAAGAATAAGATCTAATTTCAGGACAATAATATGAAGTTCTAATTTAAAGACATAACATTCTGAGTTTGGTTAATGAATCGATTTATACTGACATAGTGTCAATCTGATAACTCTATCTTTTTCTTACGATTCAATATGGGAATATTTCATTCATTTCTGTTAAAATAAATCCAATAATTAAAGTAATATAACCTGAGGATTCACGTTGTTTAATTTTAAGAAGTTACGGAAAAATATTTGTAAGGTCCACATTTAGGTTTGATTTACTAGCACCGGGAACCCAGGTTGGTTTTTAACATGAATGGGATTACCATTTGTTCACAAATTGAATCTGTGGTCATAGAACTAATGGACTACTCAGACCACAAAGAGCAGTTGAAAAGTATTCGAATTCTCCTGCTGCTGTTGTTAATAGTATCTTGGAATAAAACTTCAGACTAGTGATAGTTAATTGTAAATTATAATTGTTTCAGTTAGAAAATGCACTGTCATTAGGGGATTTAACAAACTACTCAGGTAACAGGCTCAATGAGATACTCACTGAGCTACGGGACACTGTTACTGAAGACATTTCAGTTTCACTCCAGCCAATTACGATTACATAAGTCGGGGACAAGCCCCTGTTTTTACAAAACCATTACATGAACTGTTTACTAAGTCCTTAATGCAATTCTAATCACACTCAGTAACAAAGATGAAGATCGGAGATTAGCAGCCTGTTTATTCGAAAATTGATGGATCACACCATGAAATAACTCAAGGTATCACTTCATTTTCTATCATACTGTCGCAATGATTTCATTTCAGATACCCGGGATTAATTGATGAACACTAGGTATCAAGTAACCAGTGTCATGCGTCTAGTACTTTGTTTGCTGCAGAAGGAATTCCCTTAGTCAAGTTATTATTAGATCGTCCCTTCAAGGTTGTAGATACGCCTTGCTGACTGGCGATTGCCAAAATGCACGCAGCCCACGTCCAAGGCTTTTACCAATTGCTATCAAGAATCTAGTTATCTATGTGAAATTTTACCTGACCAAATCACCTTATTGTTTATAAAACTTCAAGGTGCATCAGTTAGCCCATAGTTTTACAAGGATACACAACTTACTTTAAATTAGGAATTCGTGCTACATATTGTTGAACAGTTTCATAAGGTAAACCAGGAATACCATCAATTAAATGAACAATACCATTAGTTGCTAATTGATTAGCACCGATGATACGTGATGCAACATAACCTTGTTTAGGGAGTCGACCTTCGACGAAAGTGGCTGAAAAGAAGGAAATCCCTGGTATTAAACTTCATTTAGAGTATGTATAGGGTAAGCTTTTCTGTTCGCCTGATGAGCTTAACTTTGTTTCTATTCTTGATAATGATAATCTGTTTTATATTGGAAACCAGTGAATTATTTTTGTTTAAAAGCAGCCATTCTGAATTTGGACAGAGTACAATCTCCTTATGATGGATTTTAGACAGATGAGACTTTACGGTGTTCTGATCGCATATCACATGAGTAGCGTAGCTGTGCTGTATAGGAAGTTATGTGGAAGCTTCTTTAACTACTAGTCATAATGCTAATTGCAGAATGTAGAATCTTCTTTTTCAAAAGTACAGGTATTCATGGAAATAGTACATCAAAAACTTGGAAATGTTTGTTACTAAGACCTGTTGAAATCAAATATGTCAGGATTTCCATCCTATAATAGGAGGTAAGTGGTTAACAACATTATTACTTTACGATGGTTACTCAGTCATGTTTATTCGTCCTAGTCAGATAATATACATCATTGAAAAGATTAAATGGTTAGCAGTTTGAAAAAGCTAACTCGAACCCTGCCACAGCATGGATAAATTTCCAAATAAGGCTAAATGAGTTATCACTGAACACACGCTGAGGAGACTATTGAGTGACATCACTCGCCAGGCAGAACCTCGAGTGGAACTCGAATGGAAAGTGGCAAGTTGAATATCCAAGGTTGATATGGAGGAGATTGTATGTATGAATAGCGAAGGAATGCTTATGGGTGATCGTGGAACCGACTAAGAAGGACTGCAAAGAATGTGACGAAATGAAGATTTGCTGTTAAAGTCCTATGTTTCACTTAGAACCCAAAGGAATAATAATAAAATCATGTCTTAATTGATAAGGGAATAATTCTTACTTTATTTTCCAAATTTGTGCAAATATTGTATTACTAGCGAAAACAGCATAAAGTTCGTAATAATGATAAGAAGCATACAAATTTGATTTGGAGGTGATGCCGTAGTCATGCAATTCACAAATCTATCTAATCTCTTCTTTTCCTTCAGTCAGCATAATTGACATCTTCAAAGTGCACTCCACATAACTTAGCAGAGACAGTCAGTATTGATGAAACAGCTGAGTTTTTTAAAATCAATAGTTGTAGGAATTAGTGGTGATTTAAGTATGACTCAGTATTTTTAATTCAATTTTAGATTTTCCTGTCAACTGATTGCACCAGAGTGCTCGGTCTCACGTCGACATGTCGGCTTCTTGTGCAGATGCTTTGACGACGTCTGGGCATGTAATTAGAGGTTAATTTGCGGATGGTGACTATCAGTGGAATCATCACTCACTGAGGAATGAAGGTACATTCAGATGACGAGCCTCAAATGGGAGGAAATGCGCATCCTGGATTCCACTGCTAGTCACCATCCACCAAATAACTCAGTACAGTTTGACTTATTTTCAAATTTTTAAACAACACAACAGGACGTCTGTCCAAGCTAAGAAGACTCACAGTTCGATGAAACAGCTAAGTGACTGTATTCTTAAATAGATATCTGCTCGTCTAATATCATATATTCTTGCGGTGAAATATTATAATCAGGTAGGAAACACATCATACATTAGGTTAGTCGGATCGACATATTGTGAAAACTTTTATCTTGACAAATTGCTTATTATGCAATTGCATCTACAAGATCAAGGTATTTTACTAGTGATTTCCATAAGCTATGAAATCCATTTTTTAGATAAAAAGCCACACCTTACTTAAAACCATGATTTTCACTATGGAATTATTCATCTACGAAAATCTAATAAACTGATGAGAAGCTGGATAGCTGATTATTTACTCCCTTCTCATGGGGCGAAATAATTTTTGATCCTACAACCAGATACTGATTATTCCGCTAACCTACATCATGTGACTTATTTACTTGAGAGTTACAAATCCTGAAATACTATTGTGACCAGAGAAATTTGTAACGAAAAATGCCATGGATTAATTTACCACAATGCATTGGCAGTCTGTCAGGTAATTGGGCTACCCATACTTCTGTCTACATGCTGCATCTAATTTATCGTATGTCATTCTTATTTATCAATATTTGGCGTCAAGTCGTATCACATATTCTAAAGAGTTCATAAAATGTTTGAAAACAAAGGGATTTTCAAGGTTCTAAGAAAGGTAAGAAAAGGCATCATGGTGGTTGGCAGAGTGTTCTAGAACGGACACATTTATGAGGAAGTACTACTGTTCCTGTTATCGTTAGTATAATCTGCCGTCCTCCTCCCAAGAAGATTAAGCATCTACAGTGGGAAGTCGTGACCAATAGGGTGCAGCCGGTCGGGTGTGAGGACAAATACTCGCCGAAGACATTGGCTAGCGGTTGCGCTATGTCGTGAATTGGCAGAAGTTAGAATTCAAGGACCATTGGATTGGGTCCCATTGGCTTAATGGTATGCGAGCTCGCTAGCCTTGTAACCGGAAGGTCCTGGTTTCGAACCCTGCGGTGGGTGCGTACTGATGAAGAGTCCCAAACTAGGACGAAACAGCTGTCCAGTACTCCAAGGTTTCCCAGTGGTTCTCTAACTAATGTCAGCTCATGATGAAATCTTGAAACCAATCAAATCCCTACAAACCATCACTGGAAAGAATTATTATTCCACATATAGTAGCTTAGTTATTTAATTTAAAGTAAATGACCTACTTTGATCCATTGTTCGGAAGCGAATTGCACCTTCTAGAGTGTCTATAGATAGTAGGCGACCAGAAGTCATTTCATTGAGATATAATTTCATAGACAGAAAGAGGTATTTAAGGTAAACTGCCTAAATAGAAAGAAGTAAACAGAGACATTAAATTTGTTATTTATTTGCCGAATTACAATGGAATCATCCTTGAAATTTAATGAAGTTAGTGTGTAAAAAGTTCAGATTACTCCGTTTGAAGCATTGCTACAGTGACAGTATCTTCGGGGTAATGAAATCAAAATCATGCGAACTTAATCACAAGACAATAAGAACAGAAGACTCTTGTTACCTATGTTACTCCTTGCAATATATATCTCCGCAGAGATCTAATTTCTCTTTGAAACCGTTCACTGATGGAGCTGTTACTTCTGAATCAGGCAAGAAATTCCAGTCTTTTACCATTCTGTGGAAGAATCTGAATTCCACACGTATTTTACGCGACCTCGGTTAGTACGCCTTTTTGTGATGACCTCGTAAATGTATACTAAAGGGAGAGAAAAGGTCCGAAAGGTCAATCCCTAAATCACCCTTTAGTATACAATGTACCAAAATTAAGTCGTCGCCTCTCCTTCTTCGATATGATAATGGGAAGAGATTTAAATGCTTCATCCTCTTGTCATAAGGAATACGTGAGATATTACTAACTAATTTGGTTCCTACCCTCTGAACTCTTTCCAGGATACCTGCCTCCATCTTGAAACATGAACTCACCGCTTGTATGCAGTATTCCAGATGAGGCCTGGCGTATGTTGCATAGGGTATTTGGAACATAGACTCATCTAATTGCTCGAAGGCCCTTCAAGTATATATATATATATATATATTAAACAGAGTGATATGAAAACTCCGCTAAAAGTCAGAAGAGTAAACCATAAACAAACTTCAACTAATTAAACCATTTAAAGTAAACCAAAAGCTTTTTATGCGATTTACACAACAAAAGCGGAAGTTACTTCACAACGTGAAAAATGCCACTGTCCTTTTCAAACTGAGCTTGTTAGTTCAATCACGATAAACTTGTTTTTGATTGTGCTTACAAAAGATGAATTACACTACTATTGATCCACAGAACGAATAGAAAATTATACGAGTATTTGTTGAAAACTCTCCATAAATCAAATTTCCCTAATAGTGATTATAGTTTATTCACTTTAATAACGAATTTATAGTTAAAATGCTGTTACTTTTTCCACCTTTGAGACACTAGCTAAAAGTAACCAACTTCTGCGAATGCGAAGACATCAAATGAGGAGAGAGTGAATCAGAACTATTATGGGTGATCCTGTTTGCCTTGGAAGTGTAAAGAAAACAGATTAAAATAGCTGATCTAATTTCGTATTTGATATGAGTTATCAATGCAGCCTGCACCCTTCCTAGTTCTGATTTCACACACAAAACAGAGTATCATATGTGTAAAGCAGCATTTATGTCTGCCATTGACTTTTAGAACTGCGTGAACTTATTTTTAACTTCAATGGGTATAAATCAGTGCAGCTGTTAATTTGCCGCCTAATTAGTTGCTTATTTCAGTTAGCAGTAGGATGCTGGCCTACCACGTGTCACTTGGCCCGGGTTTTGATTCCCAGTTGACGTATATCTTAACCTAGATAAGCTGGTAATAACCCGGAAAAGAGGAAAGGTTGGGAGTATGGCTAGCAAGCTTATCCAGTAAATAAATCACACCAATGCTACAGAAACTTAAGAGCTCTTGCCTGAAGACCAAGTTTCACTGGGAACGTAGGGGAATGAAATAAAAGGTAAATGATTGTAAATACACTTGCACGGTATAAACATCGGCATTTTTACTTTGCTATCAGTGTATTTTACAAAGATTTTCTTATTAGCGAATAAATTGGCAGTGTGACATGTGCCAAGGACAAGATCCACCAGTAGCATATAAAGATACGTTCATCAGCAGAAAAATATAAGTAGAGGAGAGATAAATTTGACGTCAAAGAGAGGAAATGAACCAGTGTTGCAGTAAAATATGGAAGACACTAAGAGAAGGTAAAGAAACACAATACGAAGGACAGAAGTAGCACAACACAGATCTTTGCGACCTACAGTTTTAATAAAAGACATACATAAATTCCCTATATATCGATATCAAACTGCAAACTCACATTCCGCTACCAAGTCTCTGGTCTTCTCCCGCTACAGTAACACATATTTCATGTCGTAAAACTGCTAATCCTTCCAAAATTGTCGATTTATTTGATAGAATTATTTAGACTACTTAATAGTAACATAATCGTTTTAAATTAAATTTTGCGGGACGACATCAACCTATCGATGGATGACATGAAATTTTTTTCATAAAACTAACTTGTCTTCTCGTAGAACCCAGCAGGCTATTTTGAATGACACGGTAAACGCCACGGAGACGGGGACAAATAAAGGAAACCCAAATTGAAAGGCTTAACCTTCAATTCACCTATGTGTGAGAATCAAAGCTTTTGTCGAAACATTGCTTCTTTATGTTTTTCCAATAGCCATTAGAATCATGAAAACGTCTAACCACGAAACCACATACAAGTGTATTGAAGACATAATGAATAACCAGTCAACGTGGTATGGTTTTTCTTTTTAAAATTCACTTAATGATTTTTAGTCTATTTTCCTAAAGCTAAAGGAATCCAGGATAAATCAAAATAGTAACCACAGTTACAAAATACATTTATATTAGAGGCTACACATAGAGGGTCATTCAGTTATCCGTAACCACTTAGGTTTGCTGTTACTCAATAATTCTGTGCTACTATAAATTACTAATTTAAAACTAATCCCATTAACTTGTAAATAAAAGTCTTACTAAATATTGTGTCCTGTCATTTATTTTATATTTTTTTGAACGTGATATATGAAAATGGGTATTTTGACAAAAGGCAATATTTGGTTTCACTCTCTGACCTTCTCACTAGATTTTCGTTCCTTGACTTCAACCTTTAGAATCTCAGAGTTGATGGAGTTATTGTTGCTGGTGGGTTTGTAAGGCCCACACCCAGCATTTCTTCTTTTCTAAGTTTACAATAGTTAGTAATCTAGACGAGGTTTGGGAGTGTGTCGGCAGGGAACCGAACGCGAACCTCTTGAATGGTTGTAGAACATTCCACAATCGAACTACCTCATTGAAGAAGCTTATTTTTATGTAACATAGCGACGAATACATTTCGATGTTCATTCAGACCAAAGCGGGGTAGAAAAAATTAGTGATCAAGTCAATCTTGAATCAGGTTACACAGTGATGCTCAAGAGTGATAGAAAATGTGCCTAGGTTTCACCCTTACTTTTGGTCACCAGTTAAGGCAGTGAAAATTTTCACCCGAATTTAAAAAAGGCCAGATTTATACTGTGGTAAGAGGACATATCGAATTCAGTTTTTCTAGTATGGATAGACATAAAGGTAACCTAAACGGATTTTTTATTAGTCTGGAGAACTTAAACAACATGCGCCGTAAACGTCAAGTTGAATTGAATCTGCTTAACTTTATTTATCCGAAGGCGTAATAGGCAACACCAAAATACAGCGATTGGTAGGCGATAAACTCTATCAAACTGCATCGAAATGTAACCCTTTTACTATGACCTTAATGATACTTCTACCATGCTGAGTTACAGTATAATAATATTCATCAGTAACTGAACATTTTTCAACAAAATCCAAGCTAAAACAAAGCGAAAGACATAGAATCAATCGTTCCCGTTTTTACATTGATTGATTTAACTTTCTAAGCCACTTAACAATTAACATGAAGTCCTTGAGATTCGATGAAGTGCTGTACCACTTCAGAACTCATGTCATCATCTCCTGGTATTGTCACTGAGTATGCTAATACTACTGAAATTACCTACAGTGGATTTGGACCTTATACAAACAACTGTGTGGATTTAAAGGATCATCTCATTGAGAGAGAAAAACTTAATTTTCACAAAAATTGAAAACACTTGCTAAAAATAACTCACTTTGTCTGCTAAAGATAATTTATTCAAATTCTGCATAGCTGCTGTATTTGGGGAGAATATTGTTATATCAGAAGATGATGTCAATAAACTGTTACATGTTTTGTCTGACCGGCATAAGGATAACAAATTCCTGATAATTACAAAAATGAGAAAAATAAAATTAGTCGTTAGGTTTTTTCAGGAGTGATTCGTACAATTCTGTGGTAGATAAGAACTGTCAGTAATGATAAAACGTTTAGTTTCTGTCTTTATATGCTTAAATTATTAAAAGCCATATTCAAAATATAAGGTACAACTTGCTTCACAGATGTAAGAAGACAGTACCGAAGAACTGTATGACGTCAATTTAATCTAACCCACTTTTTGAAGAAAAGCAATGTTGATTTAATCCTGAAAATTACAGAGTGAACTATTTATTTAGTACAACTGGCCATCAACTTTCATTTCCAGATGACATTAATATACCATAGGGAGTTTTAATCTTATTTATAATCATGGTAATAAGATTTAAACGCGATATGAAAGCATCACTTGATGCTTTCCAAGGTGTAAAATATATAAAAGCCATACTAACCAAAATCAGATAGTAAGTACGTATTTGTTCCTGCACCTAAATTATGAATTTAACCTTTGTCAGTGTTATTTAGTAGATTTCTTTCCCCACCTAGGATAACTCACTATGAAAAACATTCTCCTTAAATTGATTAGTCGGGAACACCTATTACTGTATTCAAATGATTCTTTCCCAGGTTTTAAGTCGATTACTCTTTGGTTCGACGATTTCATCATGAGCTGACCTCAGTTAGGGAACCATTGGAAAACCTGGGAGTACCGGACAGCTGTTTCGTTCTATTTGGAACCCTTCATCAGTACGCACCCATCGGGTTTCAAACCCACGACCTCCTGATTACAAGGCGAGCTTGTAGATCATTAAAGCCAATGGTTCCGATCCAACCGCCCATGAATTCTAACTTCCACCAATTCATGACATAGTGCAACCACCTGGCAATGTTTTCTTCGATGAGTTATTGCCTCACCTTCAACCTGCTGCACCCGTTAATTTGAGATATCCACTCGAACATCATTAATCACAAATGTCACCTGAATAAATTGTCTCAGTTTGAGAATTTGTAGAAAATATATTGCCAAAAAGAGATTTTGAAGAATTCAAATAGCACGAATAGTGTTCATTCAATCATTATTCATTATAGGGCAATAAAATGTTGATTTATTTCTGTTTTGAGAAGCTTAGAAAACGAATTTTATGTCAAATCTCAAAATAGCTTTGTTACCTTAAATGTGAAAACACAGAAAATTGATTTGTATCCCTCACCTCAACTAAAGTGCCTTTCTGGAAAATATAGTTACAGGTGGAACGACTTTATTCATCTAAAGTACCAATGCAGCTCATTTACACAGATCAAGTAGAAAGTTTTCAGTAGATGAATACATAACTTACGGATTAATTCTGTTTAAAATATCTTCTCGTGTTTCATAAATGAATGCTAATGGTTTATTGATAATATGAATAATTGCTTTTTGAATAATGAAACTTTTATCCTCCAGTTTTGCTTCAGTGTTTCCACTTGATATTAGAACTAGTTGATAAAGAGTAAAAAAGGATGATAGTAACGAAAGAAAATTCTTTAATTGAACACTAGGTGGAAAGTAACTAGTGTGACAACTTCAGTCTTTTGTTTGGTGTACACTGCATTCTGTCAGTCAAGTGTGCAGTGCTGTCACCACACTAGGTGGCTTGCCATCTCTATGCACTCTGATGTGTTGTTATTAGGAAGTCGGAGGCAGTCGGCACGAAGCTCCACATGACCTAGGTTCCATGCTAATTGTCACTTGTCAGTAAGGCGTATTTGAACTGAACAAAGGACTAGATGCATGAAACTAGTCACTCACTACATTGTGTGCAACTAAAGTATCCAAAACAGTCCTGAAGGATGTATATTGCAAGCACACATAGTCTAGCGGTAAAGTCCCTGACTGCAGCACTGAGTAACGCAGGTTCGAATGTCAGTGGAGAGGGACATGAGTTCCTTGAAGACTGTAAATACGTCTTGTTGACTGGTGAGTGCCAGCAAGCACGAAAACTAGGTCAGGTAGGGCTCTGTTCCAATTGCCGCCAACCATATAATAATAAGAAAGAAATTTCTAAAATACGCTCCTAATGTAAGTCACTCTTCTTTCGTGTAGGGATGCAAGTATTAAAGTCTGGAGGTGTTACCTTGTAAGGTTTAGAACCCGAAATGTTAGCGAATGATACTCATTTTATCTGTATTCTTTTGGGTATCTTGAGAACACAAACACTAGGCATATAACACAAGTTGTGCACTTAACAATAACAACATAAGAATATAGCCATGTCAATGATTAAATTAAGCCAGAAACCAAGATATCAAAGGTCGAGTAGTGCTAAATAACGGATTTATTTATTTCATATCCAAGGGCTGAAAAAATACAATAGATGTATAAAGATAAACAGGAATCTTTAAATATTAGGCTGCCAATTAATTTTACTTTGACCAGAAAAGAAACACCTGTTGTAAATAGTTTTTTCTGCTTATAAAAACTAGAGTTATGAGAACAGATTTTTGGAGTTACACTAATGTAGTGAATGGTGTGCTTAAAGTGTCTTTACAAGAATCAGTTAAATGAGTTCAGTCAAGTTGAATCAGATTACTCATGATTTAATTCGATCATGTTTGATGTGCTATCATTTTGTATATCGCTTCAAAAGTCAAACTAGAAGCTCTTTCTCATGACAATTAAGCAAAGTATGGGCTATTTAACTTTAAAATATACTTAAGATCCAAATGTATGTCTTTGTTTATCAACTATATAAATTATCAAGTGAGACATTAGTTAGGTCATTGGTAAATCAAACGATGTCTTATCTGTCATCAAATATATAACAATTCGGTAAGCAGTCCGATAGATGAATGTTTTCCTTCAAATGATGAGTTTGCAGGGATTCAGTTGATTTCAGTAAAGGTATTATTACGAACTGAAATCAGTTAAAGGGTCACTGAAAATCAGGCAGCACTAGGTACCGGCTGTACCACTGAGCTGCATAACGAAATCTATACCGAAATTATTCAAATCCCTGTAAATCCAAGAACTAAATGATAATCCACTGGTCGCTAATTGCCAGGGAATAGATTTCTTAGAGTTTAAAGTAACAGGCCATAACTAGTGAGACCAATTAAGTTAGGCATAAAGAAAATTGTTTAAAGATGATATTCGCTGACTTCATGTCACAAATGATAAAACTTTAACCCAGTGGTTGGGTGATAAACGTACTAAGAACTCTCAGATCCCAGGATTGAAACTTTTTGCAATCAAGAGGGTGTACTGCTGATGAGTCAGGAGAGGGGACAAATGACTGTACAATAATCTTCTGTCTTAGTGATTCTACCACTGGCATGTTTTATTATAAATAATAAGCGAAAACGTGAGATTGTAATAAATGGCTAGTGTGGCTGTTTGGATACCTTTCACTTCCACTTTAATTAAACACTTTGGATACAATGATATTATTCTACTTTAGATATGTTTGACTTCAATAACAACTCATACTGAATGGACGTATAGGGTAATGGATTGTCAGCTTGTGACAGACTCTGATACAAATTTCATATAAAATGCAGACGTTTCGCACTGACCTACCTCAGTGTTCTCATTAAAATTCTTCTAAGTTGGATCAGAAATCTATGTGAATTAGAAAACCATTACAAACCAGGAGAGACATTTAACCCTAGTTAGGGACTCCTCAGCAATAATCACCCATTAAGGTCTGAACCCAGGAGCTCGTAGAACGTTCAGACACTGGGACCCGATTCAGTGGTCCATGAATGCCATTCCCTTTGGCTAACGACTGGCTATGTGACAAAGTTTCCTGGAGTTCTAGGGCAAAGTGGTAACCAATATGGTTCACCAGGTCCAATGTGCAGACACATACTTACCGACGACTTTGGCTGATGGTTGAGCTAACAAAACTAACTGGCGAAAGCTGGAATTCCTGGATCACTGGAATGGGTCCTAATGGCTGGATGGTGTACTAGTATGCCTTGAACCGGGAGATTCTAAACTCCAATCCCGGTGGGTACGTACTACCGAGGACAAGGCATCTGTCCAACACTCCCTGGTTTTCTAACAACTTTTAAACCGACATCAACCAGTGATCGAACTTGAAACAAACCAAATCCATACTAACAAACTCTTTAAAATTCTTTCACCTTATTAGGGGGATAAAAGTAACTTATGTGTGTATGCACACTCAGGTATCGTGTAATTCGACGTTTCTTTATTTATGTTTGGAATATTGATCTAAAGTCCAATGACACCTTGGCGCATATTTATACAATAGTGCTAACTAAACTTTAAGTTGTGTACTTTAATCATAAGAAAATAAAAGTGAGTATTTTTCTCAGTATATAAAAACACAGCAAAGTTAAACTTTAAGCACTATTAAGTAGCAACGGACAAATGACCTTCAACGCACCAACCACACGATAAAAGCGATTTTGGTGCATGTCAGCTCATAATGAAATCCTCTATCCTAAAATACATATATTCATGAAAATAATGAATGAAAGGGCATAAAACTGTTGCATAGGTTACTTTTCCCTGGAATGTGACAAAAATAACCTTCAGTTTTGTATTGGAGTGTCAACAAAGTAATTTAACCACATTCATTGCATGTAATTATCTAGGTCTTCTAAACCTAACAATAACCCTAAACTTTCCTTAAACTAACCCAATCGTGAAAATTTCCCTAAACTAACCCTAATCTAACTCGAACCAACTCTAATATCGCTCTTATTAGGTTAATCTAACTCTACCTGTCCTTAGCCTAAACTTCAATATAATCCTTTCCAAATCAAGGCCGAAACTTGCTAGATATCCCATTTAATAACAAAACACTTTATTGAGCATAATATATTCATGATTACAATATTATTTACCGGCTTTCAATAACTTCCTCAATGAACTATTTAAGATCATCGGTGTGATCTCACTCCACTGGTATTTACTGTTGCTCAAAGTGCAATTTGGCCCAAAACACAAATTAAGGTATTGAATGTCTTAAAGACTAATCTTAAATTTATTGAATTGAATTTTAGATTTTCCCGTCGATTGATTGAACCGAAGTGCTCGGTCTCAGGTTGACATGTCATCATCACTCACTGAGAAGTGCAGGTACATCCAGATGACGAGTCCCAAATAGGACGAAATGCGCATCCTAGATTCCACTGCTAGTCACCATCCACCAACTAAATCTTAAATTTATTTATGTTTACAAATACAGTCTTACTTGGCAGCGGCAACAGTATGTGTTACTGATTAGTAAACTTACTTGAACCATCATCACTCTTATAAAATTGAGCTGGATTCAGTTCACTTGGTTGAACACTACTCGCAGATTGTGGTTTACTGGGGAATCCTGCATAAACATTTAATTTAGGCTTCACTGAAAGCCATTCACGATATATTAATTGATTCGGAAAGTAATGATAAGATAATATCTAAAACAGGTAAAAAACGTCCATCTTTTATTTATGAGAATGGCAAATAAAAGATTAAGCGCAGTCCTGTCTAGGACGTATCCTGCAGCGCAATTAGTCTTTCTATCCCAAACAACCGCCTCACTGGTGCACTCAGAGATTAATAAGTACCCCTCAAATGTTGCCTTCAACTGTGTATACCAATTTACATGTATCTGCGGGAGCAGTTACACTGGAAGAACAGAGAGGAGGGCTTACGTCAGATTCTGAGAACATGTGCCAAGGAGCCTCCATTAAAGGGACCGAATTGTTTAAGCTCTTCAATCGCCAAACACCTGAATGACACAGGACACCGAGTAGATGTTCTGGAATCATTCACAATAACTAACAGATAGAGTACCTCAAGTCTTCTCAGTTTTGCTGAAGCTATATCAATAAAACGATCGAAGCCTGACTTATGTGTCCAAAAAGAATCCGTTGTTGGACTTCACTTACCCGGGTGACTCACTTCTTAGTAACTCTTTGTTTTCTAATTTTGTTAACTTATCTTTTCTCTCCGTCCCTCTTTATTTTTCGCTTGACTCTCTTAAGAGATAATTTTTCCTGATCTTCTGAGTTCTGCTCCCTGTATTACATCATCAACTTCTCATCTGATCTCGTGTGCACCGAAATTTAAAATTTTGATCTTCTCTTATCTAATTACGTAACTATTACTAATTGTCCTTTGTTACCACCCCAACAACACAACTGTTATTTCATTATGGGTAAATTTTGTTTTGATAAAGTCTCACAGTGTTATACAGTAATGTTTATTGATATCAGTAAAACAAAATTTACCCATAGTGGAATTACACTTTACCACAAAGCACAAGTTTTATTCTTATATCAACAACACAACTGTTAGTTAATTTTTTTTCAAGAAACTTCTCTCTAACAAGATATACATATATATGTCGTAACACTTTAGACACCCTGTAAATTACAACGCCTTATTTTACTAAGACGCTCTGACAATATGCTTGCTAATGAACAATGGTTTGTTAAAATTGTACACTTTTCATTTTTATTTTATTAAAAATGCAGGTTGTGCGCAGCTGATGAGAACCAATGAAATAAAATGGATCCAGATTATTCTGTGCTAATGTTTCTTCTTTCTTTGTTCAAATAAAAGTGGCTGTTGTGGAAAAACAACTTCAATATGTAAGAGAGAGATTTTGAGTTAGTCAAGGTTCCCTCATGTTGACTAAGTGATGTAGATGATACACCATAGGAGAAGAAATTTACAATCAGGTTTTCATAGTTAGTTAACAATTAAAAGTATACCGAACAGAATTATTAAGATAATCACTTACAGATGCTAACAAGGTGACATTTTCCTTAAGCCTAGTCATCTGTGCAGCTGGTATAGATGTCCATCCAGAATCACTGACGACAAATATAGTTGAATAGATGGGTTGTGCTGGGTATGGTGCATATTTCGGCTCTTGTATTAACAGGTACCATAATTCTTTAGAGATTCTATTAGATGAAGAGAAGAATGTATAATAGAGGTTTGCTATGCAAGATGGAAAAATTCAGAATGAATAATTTAATTAATCATGAAGCTTGTATTAGTACTGCGAAATTCAATTTTCGATAGTCTATACTATATACTACAGGACTGATTAGTGTGAGTAGTTAGATACCGTTGATATCAACCTGAAGTACCCTCTAATCACATCGAAGTAATCTAAACACAGGACAGTTTTTCCGTTTGGAACCAACTCATCAGCACTGTACGCAGCTTGACTCAGATAAGACAGCCAAGTCAGTTAAAAATCAGAATTTAGGTGGTGATGATGAGCTGATAAACCGGGCTTCAAACAAGCGGAATGGCCATTCGAAGTTTAGATCACTTTAGTTTGGCTAGCAAGCACCAGTGGTTGATACGAGGGGTATTCAACTATTCTTACTAGTCAATCGATAGTATACACCATCATGTATTTATGCTTGGTTTATTGATGCCGCTTATGGTATCAAGCAGATCAGATATTGCGATCTAAATAATTTCAATTTGCATAGGAAATTGTAATAAAATTTTACCTAGAACTGTGTAAGGTACAATTAGCAAATTTGATTCAAATTCAGTTTCCGTAAGAACTCACACTGTTATTCGAAACAAAATGAGAGGTTTAAAGCTAAACATACACAGCCTGATGAATGTAAAGTAGGCATGAATATCTAACGGTTAGAAGTCCAGCTTTTGGTCAAGACACTGTGGCTACAACTGCAGCAGTGGGATTATTGTAATGATCAAAATCAAGAGTTTCATAAAATCCCGTTTTACTTTATGATGACATATATGTTTTATTCCTAAATGCTTTGAATAAAACGTTCTTCTTCACTAGTAACTTAACACAAAATAATATTGTTTTGGCGAGTTTATTGCTTCAAAGAAGTCAGACATCTCTGTCTGATTAATGGATATCCAAGGTTTTCAAAATACGGTTACAAAAAACTCTCTAATCGGATATATACATATGTACAATTGGTATTCATTCATTTTAAATTCTTAATACATATCTTTTAGTGCGTTCTCATCAAAGTTTTCTCCTTGCATATTCAATGCAGGAACTGAATTTAAAAAATCTCTATAGTTTTCTTTAAGGTTAGTTGAAGATAAACCGATATCTGTAAGCAGAAAGTTATAATATTTAACTGTATCTGACATAATCCGCTGTCATCCGAAAAAAATTAATAAATTTTCAGTATACGGAAGTATTGTAGAACAATATGCGTCGGTGGCTTAACGGTAGAATGCTTGCTAACCACCCAGGCGTTCCGGGGTTCGATTCCCGTCCGACAAGACTCTCATTTACCTTGCTAAGCCTGTAATAAAACCAGTTAACAGCGAAGGATGGGTATGAGGCTAGCAACCCCATCCCGTAAGTAAAAAAACACTGCCACCAAAACTTCAAGCCTCTAGCTCGAAGCTCTATGTTCCACCAGGAACGTAAAAGGAAAGAACTGTAGAACAACATATAGCACTAACTTCAGGGTAGACATTATTAAGCGGTGATATCAGTAAGACAACCAGCAGAAACCCAGACAGAATGAGTTTTTCGATAATTTACTCCAACTAAAACACTGTCGCGCAAAGTGTTGTCCAAGAACATTTTATGAAAAATAGATAAAAATATCTGCATGTATACGTAAAAGCCGTCATCGCTTTAATATATCATTAACCTCATGCTTTCTTGTATACATATATCTGGTGTCTGCTCAGTCTAGAATGTACATGTATAAATAGACGATGAAACATAAAAATCACTGCTTACCCCAAGTTACCTTGCTTCTGTAAAAATTCCATAAATGGTGATGTTATATATGGAGTGTACAATACTCGATTAACCATGTGAATAATTCCATTTGAAGCCATGATATCCGGTGTCATAACTTCAGCATTATTTATGAAATATGAAGGTTTAGAATCCACCTAAAATATTATGAAATACCTATTAAAAGAAAGTTCAAATAGTCTAGTAACCCAAATGTAATTCCTACTCATAGAAACTTATATTTAAGTAGTTGAAATAACTTCGTCAGATAAATTATTTACCTCGTTAACTATCGATTTTAGGCTTCATTGTTTGTTGGGTCATGCTTGCTTACTAACAGAGTCCACTTGTTAGAGGCCTATAGTAATTTGTAATTAATAGTGTTCTCTGAGCTCCTGAACTAAACCAACCAGTTCAGAGAACACTATTAATTGCAAATCATCCACCTGAGTTACAAATCTTCTCTGTTATCCCTATAGTAATTTGCCAGAGAACGGTGTTGAAACTTAGTTTGTTCTCAGACGTGATCGACCAACTTGGTACTAACTTAAGAAGTAAATTAGATTGCCAATACAGTTCTCTCCAAATAAATGTACAATTTTGGTGAAATTAGGTTTTATCAGTGTAACACGCATAGATCTTTTGCTAAGCGTCTGAAAATATTTTACTGATATGTAGCCAATGAGAACAGAAAAGACTGTTTCACGAGTAAATGATCACCAAAAGCTACTTTATGTGGTTGGAGTCAAAAAGCCCTTCACTCATCAAGTATCTAAAGCTTTTTAGGTATTGATTTTCCTTAAAAATGTTTAAATTTGCTTCATACCATTGTGTCACCAGACACATTATCTTATGCAAGGATAAAATATGATTTAATAGAAGAAATGGCTTGCAGTGACAATATCGAAATGTTTTGATACAGCTGGTGAATGACAAAACAATCTTAAAAGAAACTCTATCCAATATGCAAATGAAAATCATTGTTAAATTGATAGTTACAGGTTCCATCACGAGTTGAAATCAGTAAGAAAACCGACGGGGTCACCCAATTCAGGAAAGAGAACAGTTATTTGCCCATGAAACTGGCTGAAGGCTGCTCTCTATATAGCACAAATTGGCAGAAGTTGGAATCCATGGGCCATAGGATAAGGTCCCAGTAACTGCATGGTGTACGAGCTCACCTTGTAACTGGAAGTTCTTGGCCCTAAATCCGGGCTGGTGTGTACTGATGAAGAGCCCCGAGCCAGAAAGAAACAGCTGTCCAATACTCCCTGGTTTCCCATGGGTTCTGTAACTGATGTCAGCTCCTGATTAAACCTGTAATCAATCAAATCCCTGAAAAGCGACACTTAATAATCAGAAATATAAACAACAAATACATATAAAGTTTACGTGGTAGCTGATTAGTGATACTTAATTATATATGAGTATTTTCTAAAAAGGATATGGATGAGGTAGTTAAGTAAAATAAATCTAGAAAGGTCAAGGTTTGTCGTTTAGAAAATGTCATCTTTATAGCCGTAAATACTTTCAAATGGGTATACAAAAGCGTAAACAGCGTGGACTTACAATAGTAGAAAATCCAAACCGTTCTTTAACAAAAAGTGTTGTGTATTCACTACCTGTACCGAATCCAATATCAATGAAATTCATCTGTTGACCCAATTTTGTCCACTCTTTAGTTGTTAAACGAACTGAGGCTTGACTGGTAGTAACACCTACTGAAGAAGTGCATTGAATACATGTGAATTTAAACAAATATATACATAATTAAACATTGTCTATTAGATAATTGGAAGCAGTTGACTTGAAACCTAGGTTTCGTGTCAACAGGGCATATCTGCAATCTTTAAGGAACTCATATCCCTTCCATCTGACGTTCAAACCCATGTTACCCAGTACTGTAGTCAGAGGTGTTAACACGGAGTTATTGAGACTTGCGATTAACCTCCTGCAGGACTGTAGTGGATCCTCTGATTGGACACTAGGTAATAAGTAGATAATGTCATGTGTCTTATCCTTTGTTTGGTGCGGGCTGCATCCAATATTGCAGACACACGTTGCTGATGAGTGCCAGTAAGCATGAAAGCCAGGTTGAAAGCTTCCTACCAATTGCCTCCAACTATCTAATAACAAGAATTCAGAGTGCACCATGATGGCGAACCAGCCAGCATGGTGGCCATATTGTAAACTTGACCGATAGTATGTAATGTGTACAAACATCAAGGATTAGACGCATGACACTGGTTACTTACCAATTAGTGTATAATCAAAGTAAACTTTGTCCACAGCAAATAAGAAACATAAGGTAACTGAATTTCGGTTTGTGCAAATATGCGACATATACTACATCTAATTTTATATTTAGGGAGGCACAGAGAAACTGCCTATATAAAATGAGACTAGATACTTAACAGAAGCCTATACCTTTACAATAACACTACACTTTTAGGTGGTAAATAACATTTTTAATGACAGAAATAAAATGCAAATTAAATCTCTAAAATACTTGTGTTAACATACTCTGTATAATATGTCCGTGTATGAATAAACGCTTTTGAAAATCCCCTGAACTGTACCATGATAAATCAGTAGAAGTTAAGTCTATAGCATCATTTGTTGGCAATATTATAGATAAACATTCACCATCACCAAGGCAACCAGGTCTTTCAAGTATATTTTGTAATCCCATTTCACGGATAAAATCTGCAAACTGATAAACAGAATAATAAGAATTAAGAAACAGATTTGGAATATGAGCTTCTGAAGTAAAATAATAATGAACTCACATCAAGTATATGCTTATTAGGTTGCACAGCTTTTATACAACAAAAATATTCTTTTCAACCAGCTGGTCTTCAAAACCTATGACATGGAATTAAAGTTTCTAATCACTTAAAAGTAAAATATTCAGTGTGTTGCTGCGACGTCTGGGACTATCGTCACTCTAGATCATTATATTTATGTTACAAAAGTTTGATTTCTGTTTGCACCGACCTGTGTCTTGCACAGCGAAACGTTGAGAAACATTTTGTTTCTTGTTGACTTACCACGATTAAGCTGAAGTAACTTAATACTAACTAAAATTATTTTACTGATTGATTGGTTCAAAATAATTATAACAAAGTGATTTTTTTAGATGAGGTACTTAACTCTGTTGAACAATAAAGTATATTATGATCTTCAAGGGAAGAACTAATAATATTAACAAACAGAATGATCTTAAGTTATTAAAACTGCTATTCAGAGCTCAAGTTATATTGGTACCTAATGATTTATATTCTGCACCGAATATGCTACCATATGATGGCTCGCATTTAAAATCAGTTAGTTAGCATACTGAACTGCCTAACTGATGCAACAAATGATAGCAATTAGTATACAATTGGTGGATGGTGGCTAGCAGTGGAATCCAGGATAAGGCGCATTTCGTCCTATTTGGGACTCGTCAGCTGGATGTACCTGCATTTCTCAGTGAGTGATGATGTTCCCACTGAGGCTCGAACCCAGTGCCCATAGTTTCAAACGCCAAAGCGTTATCCACTAGACCACTAAGGCCACGAGAGCCACCTCTTGTGGAACGGGTCATATGAATTATTGAATTGAATTTTTGATTTTCCCGTCGATTGATTGGACCGAAGTGCTCGGTCTCAGGTTGACATATGCAGATGCCTCGACGATGTCTGGGCACAAGAGGTGGCTGTCGTGGCCTTAGTGGTCTAGTGGATAACGCTTCGGCGTTTGAAACTATGGGCACTGGGTTCGAGCCTCAGTGGGAACATCATCACTCACTGAGAAATGCAGGTACATCCAGCTGACGAGTCCCAAATAGGACGAAATGCGCCTTATCCTGGATTCCACTGCTAGCCACCATCCACCAATTGTATACTAATTAAATGCCCAGACATCGTCGAGGCGTCTGCACAAGAAGCCGACGTGTCAACCTGAGACCGAGCACTTCAGTCCAATCAATCGACGGGAAAATCAAAAATTCAATTCAATAATGACAGTAAACCTGAACTATTATACAAAACTTGACGATATTGTCTGATGAGTTAGCCTTTGGAACATATAATCCAGCCAGTCAATCACTACTGCTTCTCAAACATTTTTGTATTCCTTCACATTTCACGTGGAACATAGGGCTTCAAGCTAGAGCCTTGAAGTTTCGATAGCAGTTCTGGTTAATTTTATGGCATGGGGTTGCTAGCTGGCTTAGCGAGGTAAAGTAATGCGTCACTCGGGGATCGAACCTTGAACTACATGCGTGGTTGGTGAGCATTCTACCGCTGTGCCACCTATGCAACTGGTAGGTCACAATCATCACAGCTGTCCAAAAAGAAAACTTATTTATCACCCAGCTTCTTACTGAAAGTATAATTCTACTAATAAAGTATCCGTATGCAGAACCATACAGGTTAGAAGTGATGAAATATATTGTGTACTTTTATCTGATAAGACATTTTAAATGTTGAGACAAAAGAAATGAGTCGACTGAAGTGAGAAACATTCGGAATTCCACCATTACTAAATAACAGAAAAGGTACATTCTTCAAGATGAGGAATAAAACTGTATTGTGTTCACCGAATTTCTATTTTCAATTGCACAAATTTCACTGCCCATAACTAACCTTATTGACTTAGCGATATTCTACATTCATTAATGAAGCTTTTTCCATAAAATCAAATAAGGCGATAGAGGGTTGTTCGAAATGTGTGATGTGAAAAGAATACACTTCATTTCGATGTTATTCGGCTCACAGTGACTAGCAACACAATTATATGAGAACGCTTCATCTTGCATAACATACCAAAGACAAATGCACGTGTCCCAGTGAGTTGAATCTGTCCAGTAGAAATTATTATTATTGTTTCCTTCAGTTCCTAGAGGAACATAGGGTTTCAGCCGCATGTCTCCATTGCGTTTGGTTCTCTGTTAAGGTTCTCACCTGGCTCCACCACTACCCACATGCTTTCATTTCCTATTCACATGACCTACTCCATGTCATTCTCGCAATAACTACCAACTCACCGCTTTCCACTCAAGAGAGACCCTGGATTGTGATGTCACTTAATAGTTTGTTTCCTCAGAGTATGACTAGCCAATCCACCTCCATTTATTCCTGCATATTTGTTGCTCAGTCGGTTCCTGGTTGGTTTGCCCCCAGAGATCCCTCACTATTGCTGATCTTTTCTGGCCATCTCATCTTAAGTGTTATTGAGCGAAGACAGCTGTTGATGAAGGTCTGTAGTTTGTTTGAGGTGTTCTTCATGACGCACCAAGTCTTTGATCCATAAAGTAGCACTCACTTCACATTGGAGTTGAAAATCCGGATCTTATTTTTCCGGCCGAAAACCAAAGCGTTATCTAAGAGGCTGCTAAGCCACAGCAGCCACGTTTTGTCTTTAAAATGTTTTTAAATTTCCCGTCGGTTAAACCTACTGGACTCACATTTTCAGCCAGTGTTCAGACATCGGCTACCAATATGGACTCTTCGATAGTGTCTTCAGATTATTCTGATGTTATACTGTTCAAATATGTGACAAACAATGAAATAACACATGTTAATATGAATTCACAGTAGGCAATTAAACTCACTTTGGATGCATTTGGATAAGAAGTAATAACCTGCCATAGATTATTACCAGTTGTATCTTGAGTATGAACCGGTGACAAATACAGGATGATAGCAGTAATAAAAATATAAGAAAGAAATGTGTAATTTCCAAACTCTTTCCACTTCAAAAAGATCATTTTTTTTGTTTCTTTCTTTCCAATAGTTAATGTGATCACGTTTAATGCAATATATGAAATGACATAAGCATAAAATAAAGGTGAATTAAATCAAATCGAAATATATTTTAATGCTTTATTTATGCCTTCATCTAGCGAAGTAATAAACGATCGGTAAAAATGATTGGGACACACTGTGTGTAATAATTATATCAGACTGTATAATGTAGACGCTATGCTGAATATTTTAACTAGATCAATGGATTATGTTGATTTGGTAACTAACATACACAATGTCTGACCGATATTTCAACTATTTCAGTGTACACCTTATTCTCTATGTGATTTACATATATATATGTGTATATTCATCAAAACATATTGTCATCATGATATTATAAAAAAGGTTAAAAGTGTGTTGTTTTAGTCACTTAATTTATTGAATTCATCAATTTTAGAAATATATATAAATTAAATATGTCGAGGTGAACTTTGAAAGAGTGAGAATGTATATGCGATGTTGATTTGTCATTAGAATGTATGTCCTGATTTTATTCTAAGCATGTTTTGTAGTATTTCAAGTGACTGAAATACTAGTGTCCTATACCATCGTCGTAAGTAATGCCTTAACAGACAGATCAATGGTAAGCTATCAGGCGAAGTGTATCAGCATAAAATAGTTAAAACAATCCACAAATTAACTGGCCAACCAATAAAGAAATTCAAAGGCAGACAATAAAGAAGATTACTGAGAATGTGAACAGTTAGTTTCAAACACTAATTAGGTAAATACCTTAGTGACATTGTCAACAGTTTCCATCTATCCTGTGAAAAGTCCCTCTACCCGCTGATCTCAACTGCTCTGATCAGGAAACTTACGTGTCTCATACACTTCAAACCGACAGACAGAAATTAAATAAATTTGGCGCTGCCCGCATCTTACTTTATTTTTATTTTTACTTTGATTACAGCTTGATGCCACACCGTATTTTCGGTACAAGTATGAAATTTTCAGCATGGATATCGGTAGCCTAAATTTTGCAGGCCGACCATAGATATCGGGTGTGCGTCGGCAAGGGATCGAACCTCGGACCATGTGCTTGGTCGGCTAGAGTCCTAACCACTGTGCCACCAGACTGAAATACTTTAGTTATAACGTCTCAATATTACTAACAAGCTCATTCAGAAATTATTATTCTTGGCCGATAATCGCCATGATGGAAGAAGCCTTTAGTTTCGGCCATTCCTTTTCAATCACCGTACTTAAACTCAATGTTCTGTCATTATTTTAAAAGAAATCCTGGTTCTTAATGACATTTTTATCTAACTATTCATATGGTATGTGAAATGAGTGATTGTTAGGTTTTAGGTAAAACAGCATCAATCAACATAGTATTTTACAAGAGTCGGTTTGTAGGTACTTGAGCTGTTTTTCAAGTATGATCACGCATTGATATCAGAACCATTTAAAACGGGACAGCAATGGATAGCCGCTCCGTCCTAATTTGGGACTCATCGGAAGTACGCACCCACTGGGATTCAAACCTAAGAATTTCCGGTAAGAAGGCAAGCTCGTTGACCGTTCAGCAACAAAGACCGAAATAAATGGCTACTGAACTCCAACTTCTACCAGTTAGTGATTTTAGCGCGACCACCAGCCAATGTCATCGTCGAGAATTTGTTTTCACTCCCGATAGGATGGACCCCATAGTCACAACTTCTCTCTAGAACTTCCGGAAACTCCGTCCTAAATCCAATTACTAGCAAGTATCTGATTAATTTTAAGGATTTGGTTTTGTAGGGACAAAACAGCTATCCAGTACTTCCTGGTTTTCAAGGCGTCTCTAAATGATATCAATCCGTGGTCAAACTTGAAAACAGTATTTTTCTTCAAATCTCTTGTTACTTTTGTTTGTGGTAGACCTTAGCTATTATTCTAATTGTGATCTCTATTTGCTTAGACGTAAGAGATTAAGAAAAGTAGAAATCTTTGGTTTCATGAGAAGTTTCCTGTAACTTATTGGTCCAGAAACCCATTTTTTGTTGATAAAACTTCTGAAACAAATGTAAGCATTATCTTTGGTATTCCAGAACCAGGAATTGAACTTTGTGTATTTACTTACCAGTATTTAGAACAACACATTTAAGCGAACTATATTGTTTTCAATTAGATTTCACCAGGCTTAACTCCAATATATATAATTTTACAAATAAAAATTCAAATATAAACCAATCATGGCGTTCTGTCTATAGGATAATATAATGGTGAATATAAATTGTGCAATTAGTCATAATGTAACAATTGAAGACAAGGGCCAGGCAACAGATCGTTTTATTACGAAAATCAACATGTATTTATATAAATTTCACATACATTATTATAGCCTAGTCAAGTAGACAAACGCAGTCTTCTGATTGGTTGTTTTCGAGTTCCTCGGAAAGTAGAGCCATCTATCTGGGAATCATATTTACCCACGTTTAAGTTTGATGTGATTGGTTGTTGAAACAGCCTTGTTCATATTTTCTCACGGCCCATATTAGTGACCTAGACATTGACGTAGATTAATGTCAAGCAATTGTCTAGCAAGCTGCTGTCACCACAATAATAGCAGTAATGATAATAATAGTAATAATAATGATGGTCTTATCAATAATAAGGATGAAGGAGTGAGGCAATCTGTGATAACACGAATAATGAAAAACAGCATGATTAAACAAACAAATGTTCAGGTGGAAGTAGTCGATAAAGTAATGTTAGATTGTAAGGGAAGGAAAATGAAACATGTTTATACTGAAGATGTGATAAGATAAAGGGGTGATAAGAAAGGGGTTGAACATATAAACAAGGGGTGGTGTAGAAGTCATTAATTGGTTATATCTTAAAAGGCCAAGGGAGGGATAATGGCTGTACGAACTTTTTTTGAATGCATAGTTTAGGTTTAATAGTTCGAATGCCCATCATTCCCTCATCTGTGTGCACAGTAGACAAATACGAAGTCTACTGGAAAGATTCGGTGGGATACTATGAATTAGTTTGAAGGCTCTCATTTTCTCCACTACATGACTACTATCGATTAAATGTGACAAAATTGAGCTACGGATTGTTTTACCAGTATTTATAATTAATTAATTCTGAGCTGGATAACATTTTAATGTCAAATTCATTATTCGCATCATCTTCTTCTTTGTTCTTTTGTACTGTCGAAGTGTTTTTTCTTTGAGTCGAACAATATGATCTACATGATAATCGAATCTAATTGCTTCCCATTTAAACAAAAGGAGGTTACTTCTGTTGATCGACTCTTCCTCCTCTTCATAATCGCTTAATCCTTATTTGTTTGACTTTCAAAGCCTGTAACTCAACTGATTTAGTGTACTGCACAAAAGGCAGTTTCATGACTCATTGCGTTCTACAGTCATAAAATTAACAGCAAGCTCATCATCTTTTGCATACATTATTACTACCTGTAGCGGAATAACTGATCTGAAAACATCTCCATGAACAACCTACTTACAATGTTAATTCTTATTTAAATATTCTAACTGATTTCGTAATTATTATTATTTTCACCCGACCTAACATTTGCATATATTCCTTCGATTCCCATATAATTATTAGTCTTTATTTATGGCTGATCCCAGATTTTTAATGCTTCGTTTCTCTGTTGTGTGAGGGCGTTAATCATAATATCTCGTTTTTAAATTGTAATTTCGCCTGAATGAATTTAGGATTACACCGTAGAGTGACTGCTTGCTCTTGGATTGTTTGCGGGAAACGTGTTTTGTTCTATTTGATTCTTACAGACAGAGTTTTAATCCCGCCTTCTTGAGGATGTTCTTATTGATTCTCAGGTAGTTGTATAGAAAAACTCATCGAGTGGTTTTAGAGTTCGGATCGAAATACTTGGGTTCCAGTCGTTAAGGCTTTAGTGTTGTTTTCACACACTTTCCTTTCGTTATCTAACAAAGTAGTGAAATGTAAAAAATATTAGCAGTCTACAACTGTGACATACTGAGTAATATGTAAAATATTTCTTAAAAGATACCAAAATGGTCTTTCATTGACTGTTAGTGCACTTTAGGCAGCCTTTGTCCTCAACTGCTTTGAATACATTTTCCGATTATTCCAGAATAGAATATCTGTATTCAGCCTTCTAAACAGGATGGTTTCATAGCAGTTTATCTGTTACGTCTATGCACAAGAAAACAGTATTATTTACTCGATACTATTTCGATATTAGTTAATATTTCATAGTAATTTACCATGAAAGTTTGAGTAAATCTATGATAAAACGCACTTTGTATGCAATCTACTGGATAGTGAGTTAGTTAACTTTGGCGAAGCTTACATAAAGTTAAAGAATTGTAATTGGAGTACAAGGGACAAAGACGTACAAGACTTAACGCTTCTAAATGGAGTCTAGTGAAAAGACTGCACTTTTTAGCGTCTTCATTTAAAAAGACTTTGCCGTCTGTGTAAAGTATATTGAGGCTTTTCCGTCATAATAACTCAATCTTTAAAGCACTAAGGTCAACTATCTACAGTAGGATCCAGTAGAGATAACGTCAGTAAGAATGCCTTAGAAACACCACTGGTTGTTTACACTTCGAAAGACAACTCTAAATAGGCCCTTCACAACTAGGAATTATCATAGTACCTCTCACTTGATAGAGTCAAATGCAGCCTCAAGACCAAAAAATATGCAAATTTTGGACGCCAATAATTATTAATTTCATCCAAGACTAGTGAAAAGTTAAAGATATGACCAACAAACCTCCATCTGAACCTGAAGCTTGTCCGCTTTCCTGGAGTTTGTTTTTCTTAAGATTCACCTAGTTTTCGAAGGACTATGGAAACTAAAATTATAGATGCTGCGTTAATCAAGCTGAACTCCCATTAATTAACACAGAAAGATGTATTCCCTTCCTTGTACAATGGGATGGTCAACGAGATGCACTAGTGTAATCAAATTATCGTAAGTCCCTGCATGCTTAATAATACCTCATTTGATCTGGTAACTACTTTATCACCACTATCTTTAAACAGCCCATGGAATCAGACCATCAGTTTTATTCTGGTTTGCCTAAATTAAGATTACAGACAGCTAGTGTGCGCCCTTTTACAGATGGAGAACCATACAGACTGGTATTCGACGATGAGCAATTATAAAGCAGTCGTACATCATTTGAACTGCTGCAATCAAAACTTCAAACTGCCTCTAAGGATAAGATAATAAAATTCAATCTTTTTCTGAAGATCATTATACTTAACACAATGCTTTTCACATCCAGTTTCTCTAAGTAGCTTCAATAGTTGACGGAGGAAGATCTGGGTTTGACTCTCGGCTGACGCACTCCTAGACCTGGCCTAGTTTACTAGCCGATCATAAGTCCGAAAAAAAGAGAAGACTGGGTGTGAGACTAACAACCCCGCCTGGTAAAAACAGCTCCACCGTTGGAAGCTAAATGTTTCAGTCGGAACGAACAGAATGAAAAAACACCTAATTTGTTTCTCTCACTTATTTTACCCACCACTGTTCCAAGACGTTGGTTTAAAAACCCTCTCTCCTTGCTATGCCCATATTCACTTGATGCGCGTGTTGACGAGCATCACGATTTTACCTTCTGCACAGGGATCTGCTGAGCAGGACAGCCCACAGATAACTGTCCATTAGTATTTGAACAAGTAGTAAGTTCTCCATTCTCGAGGTGAATACTATTTCTACATCAGTATGGATTTGAAAGCGTAACTGTAGGGGACTAGATATAGTATTTCACGTTTTCGATTCTTTAACAACGTTTACACGGTTATCAGGCGAATAAACTGTCTGGGAATGGTAATAGTAATTGGAAAAAAAGCAAGATTTATTCATAGCAGCACAAAGTTAATCGAAGGTTCGTACAGATGTAGGTGTGTACTGACACTGAGTTCGAAACTAGAAAGTAACACCTCTTAATTCTAGTTTCCTGTTGTTTTTAAATTACTGTCTCAAGTTTAATCACAGATTGCTGTCAGTTAGAGAACCGTTTAAAAATAGTGAGTACTGAACAGGTGTAAGGAAAATTACTCTTTGACTGATGGTCTCGCTAGAAAACCACGAATTTGTATAAGTCGGAATTCATTAGCCATTTGACTGGGTCCCAGTAGCTGAATGGCCTGCGAGATCACCTTATAAGTGAAAGGTTTTTGGTTTGAATCCCTGTAGATGCGTAGTGCTGAAGAGTCCTAAAATAGGACGAAATGAATACTCAGTACTCCCAGGCTTTCCAAAGGTTCTTCGACTGGCTTCAGTCCACAACCAAATTCCTGCAAACTTATTCTAGTAAACTGGTGTCATTATTATTATCATCATCATCAAATTGTTAGAAACACAAAAGCTGAATTACTGCGAAGTCATTAATGAAAATAAAGTTGTTACTTTTATTAAAACATAGCAAGTAAATAATAGCATATGACGTAACTATTAGAAGTAAATCATGCAGACAGCTAAAGTTTTACTCAGCAAATATATGAAATTCATGCCAACAATGTATCGCGTTCAGAACTTACTCGGTCAAAGGCAGCATAAATGACCAAAACTGTCTAGTTATTTTTGAAATTTATACAGAACAAAATGTAATCAAGAAGACAATTTTGAATTCATGATAAAATAAAGAGAAATAATAAGCAGAAGAGTAGCTACAGAAATAAGAAAGTCATTCAGTTTGGTATAAATAAAAGGACGATAAAATGAAAGTGCTTAATCTTCAGCGGGAAAGATGAAACGAATGGGGTGAATACAGTAGTATTAGGTAACCATTTGTATGAAGAAAAAAAGATTTAGTAATGTTTTCTGTGTATTTAAAAAGGTGATATCAAAAGTTTTTTTCGTTTGCAAGAAATTAAGTAAAGCATAGTAGATTTGATAATTGCAACTAATATGTCATTCTGAAGGAATAAGAGAGATATAGTTTTGGTATTCGCTTTCTTTTACATCATCGGTTACTGAACTCATTGTTATTTATGGCATAGCAGTTAGCAAGCTCGCCGACCATGCACGTGGTTAGGGGTTTGATCCCAGGTCGACGAACAACTGATACCAGTGGTTGGCCTGGTAAATTCGGGCTACCCATACCACATGCTGAAAATTCCATACCTGTATCAAAAATACTGTATGGAGTCAAGCTACAATAAAAAAAATAAAATAGCAAAACATGTCCAGGAAATCAAGTAGATATTACTTCTCAATTTCTCACGTGTAGTTTCATTTTAGTAAAATGTAGGGAACTCGCAACTGAAAACCAGTTGACGTAAAACTGACTCAATGAACACAGTGTTGTAAAATGACATCGAAATTCTTAGCTGGAAATCCGCTATTGTTATTAATGTTCTACTCCTATAACTATCTCAAAGTTAACTAACTTCTGTATTAAGAAACCTCTACGTCATATAGAGCTTACACTATATTAAATAAACATTTCACTCAGGTCTTTCCACTGAAATAAAACTGTCAGGAATTCGTAAGTATAAACTCTGTTAAGATGGCCTTTTAGATAGTCAGGTACCTACTTAAATTTTGAATAAACCAAAAGTATCAGTTTGTGCTGGATAACATAGAATCGTCATTTATTTCATCAGCCCCCCCCCATCAGCCGCCTGCAGCTAGCAGAAACTAATAAGTATATGTACAGAACAATTTTAATACATTCTCAAATGTTACATAATGTCACTTGACAGTAGAGTCTGAGCTTAATAAACATTGCTCAGAAATTACACTTATATAGTTTATACCCATTAGGTTCAAGTCTAAACAGAAATAAAGGCCTGGATATAATGGCAAAAGCATTATGCAGTAAAGAAGAGAGGTGAATAAAATTGTCAAAATATCAAAAAGTCGTGACCATTGAGGCTCACTCTACTGGGTATGAGAACAAATACTCGCCGATGACACTGGCTGGTGGTTGTGCTAAAATTACGAGTTGGTAGAAATTAGAATTCATGGACAACTGAATCGGGTTCCAGTGGCTGAGTGGTCTACGAACTTACCTTGTAACAGGAAGTTCGTGCTGCCGGCGAGTCCCTAACTTGGACGAGACGGCCATCCGGTATTCTGTGGTGATCAAGCTTGAAAAAATTATAAAGAGACAACATAGTTCAATTTTTCTCAAGTCGCTATCGAACGCCTGAAACAAGATTTATGTATCTGGAAAGACGTAGTCATTGGTCATTCCTCGGCCTAGTAACTGGACGTGTTTACTCCCAAGTTTATTTGATCTCGTAATCCTCAGTTTTAACCCCTGATATAGCGTAACTTTACTTGTTTCTCATTTGTATGATTCGAGTTGAACTCACCACACTGTTACACAATTTATTAGTTACTCATCATAGTATTCGCTCGTGGATATAAACTATGTAAGTGTAATTTATGAGCACTTGTTTGTTAAGCTTAGACTCTCCTGTCAAGTGACATTATGCAACATTTGAGAATGTATTAAAATTGTTCTGTACATATACTTGTTAATTTCTCTAGATTGTAAGCGGCTAATGAGGAGCCGATGAAATAAATGATGGTGCCGTCTTATCCTGCACAAACTGTTATTCTTGCTTTATTCAAATAAGGAGGGAGGGGGGAGTTAAGTAAATGAAGTATCTGCCTGAAGTTATAAAAAAGTATCCTATCTCCTGATGGGTAGGTTTTATATCTGAGGCATAGATTATTATTGTTATTATTTTGATCCGCTGATCTTCTAGTGATAAACTAAGTAATAAACTACTTATGACCTTGATCAGATGCATATTAGTACTTTAAAAGTTACTACTGTTAATCAGATTGCTACCTCTTGTTTCTTTGTTAATAAACAAATGAAAACTTTCTCCCTTTGCTAATTGCTCAACTTTTTTTTGATATTAAACTTTATTGGTTAAGTGTGACTCCAACTGGAAACATTAAATAAGACATCATATATATATATATATATATATATATATATATATATATATATATGGGTAACGTGACAGAGTCACTAATTGATTTATGTATATTGATTACATAAATTGTAAATAATGATAACTTTAAAAAAAAGACAGCATCCTGGAAAGAAAAGCAAAAATGCTCATACTTCACCTGCTCATTATGATCTACTGAGTTGAATGAACATCAAGAACTTGACTTTCTTTCATTCATTTAGCGTTTTCATTTCCATGCATTCATTTATTCATTATTTTATCTACTGGAATCGGTAAAAAGAAAAGAGATATAAAAGACGAGAAGAAACACACCCAGTATACCTCACTGTGAATAAAATCCAGTTTGAAGTGAAAGGATCTTATTTCATTTAATTCTTCTTTAAACAAAGAAAATGAGCGGCAGTCGATCTAGAAAAGATCCAAGAAATCGTGGATTAATAGCAGATTTGATTAACTTAGATGCAAAGAATGAGTGAGTACATTTTTGACTTTTACTTTTCATATGGATTTTAGTAGCACAATTTTGTCTACATGTATTCTGTGATAATTGCAGTCCACGTGTGTTTTGTTTTTAAGAATTCTGTTATATTACTATTTGGGATTCAGTTTCATTGTCCGCAAGAGTTGGTCTGCAGGAACTTGATGGATTTCAGTCAGAGAACCATTGAAGGCCACCAGGGAGTACAAGACAGTTATTTCGTTCGTTGTTCGTTTGGTAGTGCGAACCTATAACTCCATTGAATGAATGAAGTTCAGAATAGCATATCGCTTATGTCTGTGGAAGGGAAAGATAGTTGTTTATCTTTCCTAAATATATTGCTTAGTTGACGGCCTAATGCATCAATAAAATGATCTAGTTATAGAAAACCTAACCGGATAGGACAGCATCTTAATGATCACAGTTTCTTCCCTGATCGGTAAAAAAGAGCTTTAGTGAGGCGCCTGTTCAGTAGAATCCAACGAATATTCGCTGAAGACATACTTGATGAGGAAGAAAGAAAGTTGACACAAACTCTGGTTGATAACAGTTATCCAGGCATGTTCATCAGGAGTTATAAAGTAGTCAGAACACCAAGACCCAGACTCCAACTCGCCCCTAAGAAAGGCGTGTACATCAAGTTACCCTATATGTTGCATCAAAGCAGCTTGATAACTAGACAAAGACTGAACGCTGCCATTAAAAAGACTTTTTATGCGGCTAATACCATAGTAGTAGAGAATGTAAAGCCATTATATCTATCTAAGCCCTTCGAACATGCGAAAAATGACGTCACATCCCACTGTATTTACCAATTTGAATGTACGTGTGGACACACATACATAGGGAGGACTCATCGATCTGTGCAAGTAGGCGCTGGCTTCAGAGCATATTCCTAAATGGCTCCAGAAACAAATGGAATCATCAGAACCTATTAACGGTGAGAACAGGAGACCTAGCTCTTCTATTGCGAAACATATTATAGTGACAGGACAGAAAATCGACGTTAACATATCTTTTAAACTTATCTATAAAACGTGTTTGGGGCGTATCCTAAAGTTTGTGGAAGCCCTAGCTGGTAATTAGAAAGTTTAAGCCACCTTTATACGTTCAAAAACAATTCGTCATCACAATAAACCTTTTTTGGTAAATTTTGTTTTGATACCAGGCAGGGTGGATGTACTACTACCTCTGCTATTTGGTTTAGTAGTCTTCATTGTTATTTTAACCTTGAATATGTCCCTTTTAACTTGACCTAAGTCTATTTACTCACCTCATAACTCTATTAATTTCATATATATTCCTATGACAAATCCGTGTGTGATCAGATTGTTTGAAATGTGTTGCGCAAATACACTACACGATTCAGACAAATTACCTCTTCTTATTGCTTTATCTAAATAAGTTTCCCTTCGGAAATTAGTAATAATTGTGGCCCATTAATCGAAAGGCTCTGATGATTGTTTAATCCATTTCCATTAAATGTGTTTTAAAGCATAGCTGAAGGCATGCCAAAGTACAGCATACTGTGAAACGTTTATTATATACAATTACTCCACCATGACTATGTAATATTTATGATTTGATGTTGTTAAAAAATCAACTTTGACCATTTATACCATATGATAATGCAAAATATCAATTGATTCACAGCGGAAAACTCAGCAATGCCCTTGAAGTGAAAACAGGAGTAAGACAATGATGCATATTATCAGTGACAGTGATCCTAATTGTGGTGGACTCAATCAAGCAAAAGGCTTTATAGAGGCAGAAGACAATCATACCTTTCGCCTACAAGAAGACTCTAAAAGACGCGAACTTTGAAGGTCATTTACCTCTAATAGAAGCAAAGCCAACAACTTGGCAGAAGAAGCAGTGAAGACAGTAATTCAAATGAAAATAGTGAGGAAAGAGGCGAGAAAAATACCCTGTGGCCAACGAAAACAACTAGCAATAACCACTATCAACGGGATAAATTTGAGCGAGGTCACTTCTTTCAGTTATCTAGGCAGCATCATTTAAACTAGACGTGGTATAGATGAAGATGTCAAAGCTACAATCGGAAAGGCGAAACCTCCACTAATCTGAAATCGGTGTGTAAATCTGCTGTTCTTAGCGTAAAGAACAAGATTAGGTTTTTGAACACTAATATCAAGTCAGTGAGTGCTTCTATATGGCCCAGAGACTTGGTGTGCCACCAACAGCATTTCGAGCAGGTTTCATACCTTTATCGACGGCTGTCTTTGTTCCGTATTTAAAATCAGACCTACAGTCAGAAAGGTTTATCTATATGGTCCTCTGGGAATGAACCAGCCAAGAACCAATTATATATATATATATAGATATTGTATCCTTTAGTTCCTAGAGGAACATAGGGCTTCAGCTGCGCACCTCCATTGCCTTCGGTTTCCTGACAATTTTTTCACCCTGCTCCAGGTCTGTCCACATGCTTTCATCTCCTCCTTGCATGACCTCCTCCAAGTCACCCTTGGACGACCAACTCGCCGCCTCCCTTTCGGGTTCCACTTGAGCGATGGCTTGTCTAGTGATGTCACTTGATGGTTTCCTCAGAGTATGGCCAATCCATCTCCATTTCTTTCTGCCTATTTGTTTCACAATCGGTTCCTGGTTGGTTCGCTCATTGCCAGAGATCCCTGTTGCTGATCTTTTCTGGCCGGCCATCTGATCTTGAGTATTGAGCGGAGACAGCTGTTAATGAAGGTTTGAAGTTTGTTTGAGATGCTCTTTATGACTCGCCAAGTCTCTGATCCGTATAGTAGCACTGACTTCACATTGGAGTTGAAAATCCGGATCTTATTTTTGATGCTGAGTGCTGTTGACCTCCACACAGATTTGAGAGTAATGAAAGCTTGTCTTGCTTTTCCGATTCTGGCTTTGATGTCCTCGTCAGTTCCGCCTGTAGTTGAGACGATGCTTCCCAGGTAGGTGAAGGAGGTTGTTTCTTTCAGGTTCTTCCCACTTATGCTTATTGTTGTCTGTTGTTGTTGTTGTTGCTGTTGATGTTGGCTAGGAATCTTCATCATCTCTGTTTTATCTATGTTCACGTGAAGTCCTATCTTTGATGCTTCCTCTGCCAACTTGTTACTTTTCACTTGCATATCTTCCAGTTTATGGGAAATCAGACATATATCATCGGCGAAATCCAGATCCTCCAAGTCTTTCGTGTCAGTCCATTTTATGCCTGTTCCCTCGTTGGTTGCCGTTGTCTGTCGCATTATCCAATCAATTGCAATCTTCCTGATTGCAACAACCAATTAGCCAACAGAAATCTCTAAGGAAATGGATACACTATGAAGAAAACGTCGAGCGACATAGTGTGCCAGGTCATCGCTCGAGGGGAACTCGAATGTGAAACAGAGAATTGGATGACAGAGAGTGACATAGAGGAGGCTGTATGAGGAGGAGGAGATGACAGCTTATGAACAATCATGCAGCCGATTGAAGAGGACTGCAGAAGACAGAATGAAATGGAAATGTGCACATGAAGCCCTATACTCCACTCGGAATCTAAGGGGGAAGAAATAACACACCATGTTAAATGTTTAACTGATGACGACTTATTCGATTCATTCTTATGTGTTTAGATATCTACTGAAATATTTTTCTTTGTTAGTTGTAAACTCTGATTTGCCTGATATTATTCGAGTATTCTGTTATGATCCATTTACAAAGTGCATTCAGTTAGTTTCACTCACTAAAGAACAAATTTAGACTTTTGGATTGATACTTCTAGTTTTGAATAAGGCATTAAGAAGACAAATTTCGCGACATGATAGCATCATTTCGTAGTTTCTTTACAACCAACATGGTTAACAATAATAAAATAAAGATCATGACAACTACTCAGTTAAATAAAAAAAGTACGTACTAATGACCAATCATATTTAGATAGGTCATGTTTTCCATGGTAGGCGAAGATTGAAGTCTATTGTTTTTTGTACACACAGTTTAGGCTGTATGTGATTAATCCAAAGTGCTTCCATCAACTTCAATAAACTTGAATTAGAGTAATATGAAATAATTGTGGAACAGTCATTAATATTGATTATCAAAGGGACTAATTATAGGTTTCAAGACCATAGACGTTATGAACTTTCTGGAATAATCTGAGCACCGAGTCACATCGATTCATTATAAATTATTTAAATTAATTCCAGCGTGTTAAGGAAATCAAAACAAGATTTTTCTGAACGTTCCGCTGTGTAGGCCACAGCTTCTTCTGCAGATTTATTCGGATTTTTATTAATCATCAAAATATATAGTCAACAATTTTTACATAAATTGAAGTCAGTTTATTTGAAGGTCATTTGTCCACGGACATTTTTACCTATAGGGACTAATTGTTTTAATTTTTAGTTTTGTCTTAAATATCCGCATGTACATCATTTTAGCCTTCAGGGTCCACAGACCTTTCTATATGCATTAGTCTAGCTTCAGTAAAAAAAGGCAATTTGTTTCTACTCGATAATCTAGTGTGCGTCGGTGGCACAGCGGTTAGGACGCTCGTCGATCATGCACATGGTCAGCAGTTAGATCCCCGGCCGACGCACTCCTTTGCCTCACTAAGCCAGAAATAATGCTGGTAAAGGTGGAAGGTTGGGCGTGAGGCTAGCAACCCCATCTTGTAAAATAAACACTGCTACAGAAACTTCAAGGCACTAACTTGAGACCCTATGTTCCACTGGGAACGTGAAGGAAAAAGAAAAAAAGAAGAAAAACGTATACGTATGTCTAAAGTCATTTCAGGCTGTCACATGACTGTTCGGTGCGTTCACAAAGATAATTCGTCTAAAGGTATTTATGCGTTTAAAAGTTTTAAAGTTCAGAAAACTATGCAAATTGGTGATTCTGAATTCTGCCTGTAACAGCTAGTTAGAAATCACTATCTTCAAGTATTGGTTTTGTAGGGATTTTGTTTGATTGCATGGAAGATTTCATCATGAGCTTACATCAGTTAGAGAACCACCGGGTTTGAACCCCGATGGGTGCGTACTGCTGAAGACTCCCAAACTAGGATGAAACGGCTGTCCAGTACTCTCAGGTTTTCCAGTGGTTCTTTAACTGATGTCAGCTCATGAAGAAATCATTATGTAAAAGTCTACAAGAAATTTCAGCACAGCAGAAAAAAGTGTATACAATGCTCATAAACACTGATAGCTATTCAAGGCATTCCTAGATCAGACAGAAACAACAATTTAAGCTGACAGCTTTCAGTAGTATAACAGTAAAAAATGACATAAGTAGTAAACCATGAATATCAACAAATATTCTCTGGAGGAGAAAAAACCTTAAGAACACAATAACAAAATATCACTTTGTTGGTTTGACTTCATTGTTCATACTCTTATAAATGACTAATTAATTAACGCGAAAGTATAAAAGTTAGGATGAACAAGTAAAGTGAAGTAAAAATAATTAAATCAGAAGATTGTTATTCACCCTTACGCTTACATTTCATGGAGTCCCCCTGTGGTGAGAGCAGGCTGCTAGCCAATCGGTAGACATTAATCTACGTCAATGTCTAGGTCACTAATATTGGCCGTGAGTAAATATGAACAAGGCTGATTCAACAACCAATCACAGCAAACTTAACGTGGGCAAATATGATTCGCAGATAGATGGCTCCACTTTTCGATGTTACCCGAAACAACCAATCAGAAGACTGCGTTTTTCTACTTGCATAAGCTATAATAATGTACAGGAAATATATATAAATACATGTTGATTTCCGTAATAAAACGATCTGTTGCCGGCCCTTGTCTTCTGTTGTTACACCCCTTAAAATCGATACCAAGCTGATGGATACGTGTTTTCCATGCACTGTTACTTTAAAACTTGTTCACTCTAATTTGAACAACACAACATATTTCTTAATGATATATTCAATAAAGTGAACTAAACTTTCCCTTAACTTGATACAATATAGAAATTGTCCTCTGAAGCCAGATGTAGCAGTAAAGAAGAATGGAGGTCTCTTTCTATCTCTTCATGGAGTAAAAGTGGAAATTCCACCTGGTGCATCAACTGGACGCCGTGAACGAGTTGTTTGTGCTGCGTTTCCAAGCACAGCTAGAGCAGCTGTAGCACCATGGTTAGGTCCATATATGCGTATGGCAAGTGAAATGCATATGTTATACTCACCTGTCAGCTTCAAAATGCCCGTCGCTGTATTCATTCCCTTTACGTTTGCTGCTGCTCGTGAAATGTCTTGCCCAAACGAATCCATACCGGCACCAGTGGAACGTATGAAACGATCTGAATCTAAGGATTCATGTAAGCTTTATCAGAATATTTTATAACTGTTTTACCACATGAAAAAGATCTAAATTCATTCTATGGATATAGTGGTCATATTGTTTCACCGCTTTTTATTTTTTGGCCTAAATATAACAGTTAGGGACAAACGCTTTTATAATCACGATAATAAAATATAGCTTTATGTCTTGAGGATTCATCCAGCAAGTATCACTATTATGCCCAAGTAAGAGACTTGTTGGTAGTCACTCAAAGTTTTAGTACTGGTGTGAGTTCCCAGCCAAATCAGTTGGATAACGCCTGACTTCCTCTATTACCGAAGGGAGTATACAAACTGATTACTGAACACTAATCAATTTACCTGGGCAATTCACAGCTTTTAATCGAGATATGCCAACTGAGTTTTCCATTTGTAAACTAAGCGAAACAAAACTGCGACAGTGAAACAAAGTAATCTGATAGTGAACTTTAAATCTCATCATATGTATTGTGTAATATGTAATGGTAAAGACCACAGCCAAGATAAAATTTCTTACACAAAACTATCGGAGCAATGAAGCATACGGCGAATGTTATCAGTCAAATATTATATGCAGTAGATTAATTATTCAAATCTCTGTCTTCTGTCAGTGCAGTCTCATCACGCTAACAGCTTTGACTTTATAATGTGCAATGGAGATTCACAAATTATATGATATTCGTCCAGCTGTTAACTTGTCATTGACTGGATGTGACTAGGGTGTATGAATTCATTCATTAAATAACAACTCATATGTAGTAGCGAGACAAGATCACTCAGAACATAGTTTAATGCATCATTACTGTAGCAACGAAGTCTAACATATGGTAGTTAAAAAGTGGAAGGCTACACTGACCTTGTCAGTCTTGTATCATAAGACAGTTTCCTACTTCACTTATGCTGCAATACATAAACTTACTAAAATGACTAAACCTCTAACGAGTAACAGTTTAGGGTATTGCTGTTGCAAAGCAATACATTTTTAAGCTGACAAATCCTTAACCAATAAATTTTAGTTTTTTACTGAAACAGTTTCTTGAAGATAGTGAAACACATAATTATGCTCTGATTTTCCACACCAATGTAATGTTGGTTCCTCCATATGATTTAGAGACATGATTCACGTGTCAAAAAAGAAACATTCCTAATAGGTTTCAGAGTTTTATCAATAGCTGGCTTCGCTCCATACTCAACATCAAGGATAAGCAAAACAGAATTGTGAGAACAAACTAACCAAGAACCTATCGCCTAACGAATATTACAAATGAGATTGAGTTGGACTGAACGTACTCTGAGGAGATAGCTGAGTGACATCACGAGTCAGGCAGAATCTCGAGTAGAACTGGAATGGGAAATGACGAGGTGTACATAGTTGTGGTCTTGCCATCAAGGTGATCGCGTTAGGGGAGATTAAAGGGCTTATGGGCTACCGTCGAGCCAGCTATAGATAGCTGCAGACCACAGATGAAGTGGCGATGTGCTGTTGAAGGCATATGTTCAATATCAAACTTATGGAAATAATAAAAGTATCATACGTCTCCTTCAGTGCAGTAAAATGTTCGTCCACTACGTATGTGTTTCGAGGTTCGAACCCCAACCGACGCACTTCTTTACCTCGCTAAACCAGTGGTAAGACTGGTAAAGAGAGAGGGTTGGGCATGAGGCTAGCAAACCTATTTCGTAAAACTAAACACCACAGCTACAGAAACTTTGAAGCTTTAGCTGAACCCCTATGTTCCACTGAGAACGTAAAGGAATAATAAATTTTAAAAAATAAATAACACTTTATTCACCAAATGATTAACTAAAAAAATGAGTAAAATATGATAATTCTATTTCATTTGTACCACACTACTGATAAGATGCGAACTTCAGTAGTAAGTGTATTGATAATAAATGGGATAAGAAAAGTGATAAATCACTGAATGAATAATAAAATAATATTTTGAGTTCATTGGTGAAAATAAGGTTTCCACCTGATTTACGATTATTAATTATTCTTATTCTTATTTTATACAGTAGCACTAGATGGTAGCCGATCGGCTAAAACTTCACCAAGACCAAAAGGCAAAGCACCTTATACAATGCATTTTGGAGATCATCGTCCTAAAGTTCCGAACTTAATTGATGCTAGAAGTGTTTCACTGCTACAATGTCGAATCGGTAGTGATAACTGGAAAGTAGTAGACAAATTCACGGTAATTTGGAGGGGTTTATTTTCTTTCTTCAAAATAAGTGTTTGTGTCTCATCTTACTTGGTCTATATCTGTTTTACATGTAAATAAACTTCTTTTTAAAAAATGTCACAGATCAAAGTAAGGAATGGCAATCTTCAGAGTTAGAGCTCAAAAGAAATTGAAGGTCCTTCGATATTAGTGAGTCACCCAGAGCACTAACTGTGAATCTTTGTATTCAAATGTGATTGTACAGCTTTTGAAAATGAAATCGCCGAAAAAATATCCTCGCTAAACTTCATGTTCTCTTCTTTCTAATATCCTAATGGGTATTTTCCACGATCTCAAAAGGAGCAAGAACCCTTCGACAGTGAAGAAACTCGACGGGTTTCCACGTTACTCTGTCAAAACTGGCTAAGTAAATGCAAAACTGGAATACTTTGAAAGGTGTGTTAAGAATCGTGAATATCCAAAATGGTTCTGGAGAGCGCTAGGTAGACATCGTATATATCCTAATTCGAAAACTTTTCAACATCACACTAGAAACATCATCGATTCCATCAGTTCACGTATATTCGAATTGCAGAGAAACATATTACAGAGGTCGTCCGCTCTTTTTGAATTATCATCAAGCGACAGACAATCAATTAATGAATATGTTCCACTGGTACAGAACAAAAGAGCTGAAAATTTTAAATCGAATTTGAACAGTGGCCTGAAGCTCGTCAAATTCCAGAAAAAAATGACTGTAACAAATACTTTCCCAGTTGGTTACAGGTCAATTATAAAAATGTTTGTTGTTTAGACAGAATCGTGATAGAGAATGGCACAACTTTCAATGGATTCTAGGCTAACCTGAAATGATTTATAAAAAAGTGATGTATTTAATTACCTTGATTTTGTAGATGTTATAAACCTTCACTGAAATGGAACTGTTTAGCCTTGAATTCAAATGTCACAATGTCATAAAAGCATCAGTAGTAGTATAATTATTAGTAGAATATGGAACAGAATTTTCAGTGGTGCTCTCAGCCACTGATATAGTAATAGATATCGACTAGGTTAACTTCAGCATTTGAAAAATCGAACTCAGCTTTACTTCTATCCAATGTAGCACAGTGTTGCACAACTAGTCAGACAACTAGTCAGATGCTGAAATTCCTCATTTGAAAACATTATTGTGTGCAATGAAATTAAATTGCATGTTTGTCCTACTTTTGAATGTGATTCTCAGTAATTCGGCAATTCTCCTCAAATTCCGGAGGTGATAGGAAGTCAATGATCACAGTAATAATCTCAGAGCCTACAATAATTGTTCATTCATTTCCTAACTAGACTTGATCATTTAGTTTTCTTTAGTTCAAACATATTCATACTACTCAGTGTTAATAAGTAGTATGGTTATATACTTCAATCCTTCTTTTTCAACCTGTGTTCATAATATGAAATAAACTGGCGGATGATGACTAACAGTGGAATCCAGGATGCGTATTTCGGCCTACTTGAGACTTGTCTACTGGACGTACCTGCATTCTCCAGTCAGAGGTGGTGTTTTCACTTAGGCTTGAACCTAGTACCGATAGTTTCAAGTGGCAAACTTCTACCCCCTAGAGCACTTGGGCCACGAATATTAGTAATTATTTAATTCATTTCGTACATCTCGCTGATTTGTTGGACTGAAATGCTCGGCCTCAGTGGGAACATCACCACTGACTGGAAAATGCAGGTACATCCAGATGAAGAATCTCAAACAGGACGAAATACCCATCCTGGATTCCGATACTAATCCCCATCTACCAATTTACTTCAAGTTAAATAATCAGACATTTTCAAGCCATTGCACATGGAGCTGACATGTCAACCAGAGGCCAACAACTTTAGTCCAATCAATCAATGGGAATATCTAAATTGAATTTAATGTGCATTCTGATTATGGTAATGCCCTTGCCCTGATTAGCCTACTATCCCTGCTGAATCTTGTATGCTCTAAGTACTTCCAATATTCTGTGTACTTTCAAGTGTTCTCTACTTGAAGCCTAGTTCATTTTGACTGAGTCCTGTAGTTTGTCTTCTTCACAATCATTATTAAAAATGATCTTGATGACAATAACTGCAGATACATAACGATTCTTGGGTAATGCTTTATTATTTGTTACTGTTTTTTCTTATTATTCTTGTATCCTGAACTTCACGAGTAACTTGATCCTTCAGTTGACATACCCAAAAAGTCACTTGATCATTTCATTCCAGATTTTTTGGAAGACGTCTAGTAGTATTGCAACAACAGAAGACAAGGGCCAGACAACAGATCGTTTATTAAGGAAATCATTACGTATTTATAGATTTTCATGTACATATTACAGATTATTGTTAGCAAACATGCGCAGTCTTCTGATTGGTTGTTTCTCACTGAAAGTTAACCTTGCATCTCTCTGTAGCTGTTTCTTGAATGTCAGATCATCTATGTGTTAAGTGTATCCGCCTACGCAAAGTCTTTGTTCTCATTTTTCTCACGACCAATATTGGGACATAAACATTGACGTAAATTACTGTCTACCGACTTTGGCTAGCAGCCAGCTCTCACCACAGTATTACCAGCACTAGGATCAGTATTAGTTCTAGTATCAGGAGTAGCAGAAGCACTAGCAGGAGAAGAATATGTGATAGTAATGATTGTATTCCTCTTGTTTCAACCTCTGTAGCTATCAAAACCTACTCATTGTAGTCTGAACTCAGAAAACTTATCTTTGCATCCAACTACATAGCTGTCCAAAACTTCCCTGAGAGACGTACAATCACACAACTCTCCAAAGATAGCAAAAAGACGATTATTCGTCAATAAATCTATGTAGCTCTATACATCAAAAACTCAAAATCACCTCGAAAATGCCGTTAGGCATCTTTACAATCAAATGAAAGTTTTAGTACAAGACAAGCATTGTAGAACAAAATCAGTTAACCAAAATCTAACTATATGAAATACCTCAGAATCAAAGTGGGTTGAAAACTCTGTTATCAAAAATTACCCATTAACAATTCCCGAAGACAGTCTAAAGTCAGAATCACCTTGACTCATTCAAATAAAATCACATCGCAAAACAACACATAATCAATGAATTGCACAACCATAAATGAAAGCACTAACACTAGACATTAAACATGAACAAAGACACATAATAAGAATCATGTCAATAGATGATATGCAGATTTCAGAACAGTGCTATAAAGTTTGGGAGAAAAATGAATAGCAATTACAAAGTTAGCTAGAACATGCACATAAGTATAAATACTGTCAAGTATTGGTTTGTACGGATTTGACTGATTGGTTATAAGGTCCATAATGAGTTGATATCGGTTAGAGAACCATTAGAAAACCTGAGAGTACTGGACAGCTGTTCCGTCCTGGTTCGGAACACTTCATCAGTATGCACTCACCGGGCTTCAAACCCAGTACCTTGTGGTTACAAGGCGAACTTATAGACCATTAAGCCCCTGGGACTCGATCCAATGGCCAATATATTATGATTAGACCATTCAGGAGAGATTCTCCAAATAATTATTCCGTTACACCTCAGTCATATAAAACAAAGAAGGAAACCTGAGGAAAGTCTAACCAGTGATTCACAAGCTTTCGGCACTGAAAGCTTTACTGGCTGCGAGGTAGTCCCATCGGGTTGTTGTAAGTCACTAAACATCCCGATATACAAGAAGGGAGACAAGTCTTCCTGTGATAATCACAGAGGGATTAGCTTGACTAATATAGTATCTAAAGTCTTAGGCTCAATAATCATGCGTAGACTAAGTGGTGCTCGGGAGGCACAAACACGAGAGAGCCAGGCAGGCTTTAGACCAGGAAGAGGGTGTATTCATCATATCTTCACCCTCCGACAGATTCTAGAACATAGGCATTACTACCGGCGTCCAACAGTCATTATATTTCTTGACCTAAAGGCAGCATTCGACTCTGTCGATCGAGAGGTTCTCTGGAGATGCTTGTCTGTAAAGGGAATTCCGAGAAAATATATTGCACTGATTAAGGCACTCTACTCGTACTCATACAGCCAGGTGAGGGCTTACGGCGAGCTGTCATCTGAACTGGTGACGACCGGTGGTGTCCGTCAAGGATGCCCATTATCCCCATTTCTATTCAACTTCATCATAGATATACTAATGGACTTAACCCTAAGTGACTTCAGCGACTCAGGGATTGACTTGCTACCAGGGAATAATCTCGTTGACTTAGAATATGCAGACGATATAGTCCACCTAGGCGAGGACGCTGACAAAATGCAGAGTCTTCTAAACACCTTGAGCTGCAATCTACGAATGTTTGGCATGCGATTCGCTCCCGCCAAATGCAAGATGATGTTACAGGACTGGACTACATCGACTCCTAGTTTAGAAATAGTGAGTGAAGTGGTAGAGCACGTTGACCGCTTCACTTATTTGGGAAGTACCATCAGCCACAACGGGTTGATCTCTGACGAAATCTCAGCACGGATACAGAGGGCTCGTTTCGCATTTGCCAGTTTACGCCAACTCTGGCGTAGACGAGATGTTCGACTATCGACCAAAGGGCGGGTGTACTGCTCATCAGTCCGCTCCGTCCTCCTTTATGTCTGTGAGACCTGGCCACTGAGAGTGGAAGACATGAAAAGATTAGCTGTCTTTGATCATAGGTGCCTGCGCTCTATTTCCCGTGTAAAGTGGCATAATAAGGTGAGCAATATTGAGGTTAGGCGTCGAGTTCTAGGTAAACAGGGGAAATCAATCGACGAAGTCGTGAAGTTACATAGACTGAGATGGTTAGGACATGTGTTACGTATGCCAAGCCATCGCCTTCCTCGACGAGCAATGTTAGCGGATATAGGGTCAGGCTGGAAAAAAGCTAGCGGCGGTCAAACAAAAACTTGGCCCACCAGTCAATGAAATCCACAACAGTTGGTCTAAGCCACGTAGGAAGGTGTAGACTTCCAGGCTGGGGTCCTCGGGACGGTAAAAATTTATGGTTGGAAACACTTGGTGACATGGCTCAAAACCGTTCTCAATGGCTGGTGCAGATACATCCACTCCTTGTAACTTATAATTTCCAATGAGACTATATTGCTCTTCGTTATTACTATTCCTTTGTCTCACACCTCTGTTTACTGTCTCTACTATGCATTCCTTCTACTTTCTTCTCTTGCTTTGTGTGCTACATGGAGGGAGTGTGGCGACTTGAACTGCCGTACATATGTGCAGAGTCGAAAACAGACAGACAGATTGACTGTGTGTTTCCATTAGCCTGGAAATAATTTTGTTATAGAAAAGCAGTAAATATTGAACATATTGCTCAAACTTTCTATCACTGTCCTCTAAGTAGTGTATCCTTTGATTCGTAAGTATAGTTACTCTCTCTTTCTCTCTGACTGATCAGTTAAAAGCAAATTTAAGAAGTCGGCTCGCAAACCTTGTTAGTTGATATCATACATTATTCTACTGGGTGGGTCATATACATGACATAAACTATCATAGACTAATAGTCTATTAAATAGTTGAAGTTTTGCCATAGTTTTTAGCATAATATTTTTAAGCAAGAGATTAAATTTAGTGCATACATCTATCGATTGGTTTCACATGAGATTATCAAGGTTAGTATTATCAGTCTATTTACCAATCAGCTGAAAGCATGAGATTGAAAAAAAAATTGAAAGTTCACCAAGAAAATAGACTCATATTTTCAAAGAAGTCTATTTAGAGTGAAGACTCGGACAGGTCAGTACATCCACTTTCATAGCTCAACACTGCTTCAGTACAAGAGGAACTTAGTTAAATGTCTCAATTATAGGATAAAATGCATATGTTCGGAGGAATGCATTAAGGAAGAAATGTGTACACTGAAACTTACACCATAAGAAAATGGATATCTAGAGAACTTTTAAAAAAAGTGTACCTCCGTAAGTAGAGATAGGGTAACGATGGATAGCGTAGATAAAAAAAACCTTTGTATCTCAAGTTATGAGCGGGACACTGCAGCTGAAATTCTCAAATGTCGACTTAATAGAACAGTAGAGGGCACATTTCCTTCAGCTAAGCTGATGCTCAGTTTCTCAAACAGACCAGTACTCACACAACGAGTCAAGGATAAATTGCTAAAAGTGACCTCTTCAATGTGCATCAATGAATTTAACTGATCATGTAGAGCTAGTTACACTGTCCGTGCTCAGATGGCTTTATCCTAGGGTCCACGTGAATGTGTGGTTGAGTAAAGGGCTAACCAAATGCGTGAATAATGCAATCTCAGCCAACTTGGTACATATTGGACACTCAATAAAACCAGAGTAAACTTTCCCGGTTACCTCCCGAGTTTCTGGTAATCTATCTAGAAGAGCTCGACTACGTCTTCTACCAGTAGCTGAAACGGTAGCAATCCATACCAGGAGAACTGGTCCATGCAAACAGAAGAATTATATCTATCACCTATGTTCACTTGGCCTACAATAAGGTCAGCATATCCTCCATAAACATTCACACTTTCATTCATATCCCGGTATTCTCTTTCTTTCAGTTTCCTTTGTTTCATTGACAAACGTTCACCTCACACCTTTCACGACCTCGTGCCCCCTCTTAATATTTCTATTTCTAACTTAGGTTTACGCCAAACTTTTATGACTTGTTAGAATGCTAACACAGTCCTGTTAGTTCCACTTAACCAAATTTACTATTACGTAATAATGCTTCACTAATAATACTTCTAAGTTTACACCACGCCATCACTACTATTATTTCACCACCATCATTATCGTTATTTATCATCACCCATGCAATTACGTCTAGTCTATCGCATTTATTGTTTTATTTTTCTGTAGTATTTATACTGTCTCACACACCACTGACTACACTCACTCTTGAAATCTGTGCTCTTCTCAACTACATATCTGAAAGCATACGCATCATTGAATTGTTTCATCTCATTTTACCTCATGTTCTCGCTGACCGTGCACATTCTAAATGAAAAGAAAACCATACTGACTATTATTCCACTCCATTTTATACTTGTTCTACAATACATCTTCTGATACAATTCTAATCCGCCTTCACTGTCTAATATATGCTAAAATTAATGGATTCATAATTATAGAGATTGAAGAAGAATTTATTGAAAACAAATGTTCGCTGTAATTACTTTTGTTCTGAATAAATGAAAATGAATTGAATATGACAAAAATTTATGAAATATACCTTCTTTTTTCACAAGTGTAGAAGCGATGCATGAAGATAATCTTTTAGGTATCCCTGCACCCTACTAGTCACGACTTTCCACTAGAACCCCAGGTAACTACCAACCTGAATAGGGCCAGTTGCTAGTGTGCATCTCATGGATACTCAAGTATTGGTTTGTGGAGATTTGATTGACTAGTTACAGGATTGCATGATGAGCTGACTCACCTTATAACCAGAATGTCCTGAGTTCGAGCCCCGATGGGTGCGTACTGGTGAAGAATCCCAAAGTAGGACGAAATAGATGTTCAGTACTCCCAGGTTTTCCAATGGTTCTCTAACGGATGTCACCTCATGATAAATCCTGTAACCTACTATTTTATTCTGAAATGAAAGTATTAAGTAGCTGTTGGTTAAAACATAATGCATTGTAATGATTTCACAGTACATCTAATAACAAAGTTCTTTCAGCTTTAATTTAAAACAAATCATGAAGATATATTTTTATTGTTTCTAGATTGTTCAACCGTCAGTTCAACATACAAAATGGCCTTCAGAAGCACGTAAATTATTGTCTCAATCAAGTAGATGGTCAGAAAATACTACCCTCACATCTGCTCCTTCTCCACCGTTAAAAGAATCCAATCAACCTATTGGAAAGAAAGGCAATACAAGTGGAAAAAATAAACGATCACAAAGTCAATCACTAAAAGATAATGAACCGTATGATTTTATGAATAAAATTGAAAATTATTGTGGTGGTGTTTTTATACATACAGAAGAATTAAATCATTGTTATGTACTAGTTAATGCAAATAAAGCTGAAGGATTTTGGATTAATCGTGATGGAGGCTTATTTCTATCCCCATCACTTAATCCATTTCTGTCTGTACGTATCCCAAAACGTGTTTGTCCCACCCAGGAAAGAGCTATTTTCAAAGTGAGTTTTAGTCTAACTTTTCCCCTCTAACTAAAATTAATCAGTCTGCAATTCACAACCAGACATTCTGAAATATAACTCATGTTTGACAAAAAAAAGTGTTCATATTAAAACACCTTCAAAGGTTGTTTACAGCAGAGTACAGTTCCTCACATATAAGTTCAATAAAGGTTATTAGATGTCATAAGAACTATTAAAGTCCTAATGAAAAAATTCATTTGATTAATTTGTTCTTCATGTTTTAATCATTAACATAGCAGCCATGTTTCTGAATACATTTCTTTCCTGTAGTAAGTTTAAAACAAGCAGCAACTGTGAACAAAAAGTAGTTTTTAATGAATTTATAAATTTCGGTACAACTCATCAGCTGAATACTCCACAAACATTATTATCTATACAAATTTTCTTAAGTTAAATACACACAAACAGATGAACACTGTGATAACAAGAAAACTTTGTGAAAACGAACCAAACTATAAGGAATTTATATGATGCTCGCTATTGACTTGCTACAGGATGGAGGATCTTGGAGTTCTAGTGAGAAGTTGTGACCAGTGAGGTCCATTCAGATCTCACGTATGAGGATGGATGTCCCACCGATGATATTAGTTGGGGTCGCGCTAAATCACGAATTGGTAGAAGTTAGAATTAATGAGCCACTGAGCTGGGTCCCAGTGGCTGAATGGAATACGACCTTGCTTTGTAACCGAAAGATCCTGGGTTCGGATCCTGGCAGTGGGTGCGTACTGCCGATGATTCCCAAACTAGGATGAATCAGCTGTCTATTACTCCCTGGTTTTCAATGGTTCTCTAACTGATATGGATCCGTGATCAGCTCGTAAAATAAGTTTAACATGTGTTAACCTTACAAGAATGAACATGACTGATCAAAGTAATAAGATAGTTTACACTTTTCCCACCTAAATTAATAGTCAACTATGCTTTTTCAGTTTGCACAACCCTGAGAAAACTATTACTACTACTACTAATAATAATATTAATAGTAATGATAATAATAAAGGAGGAAACATTGTTACAAGAAGAGTAAAGGAAAGTAAAATTTAAGAAAAGTAAACTAAAAGTATATTACCAAAGTACATTTAAAGTAACTACTGTCTACTTTTTAATTTGTGGATGGTGACTAGCAGTGGATATCAGGATAACGCGCATTTCGTCCTATTTGGAACTCGTCATCTGGATGTACCTGCACTTCCCAGAGAGTGATGATGTTCCCACTAAGGCTCGAACCCAGTGCCCATAGTTTCAAACGCCAAAGCGTTATCCACTAGACCACTTGGGCCACGAGAGCCACTTCTTTTGCAACGGGTCATAATAATTTTAATTCAATTTCAGATTTTCCCGTCGACTGATTGTACCAAAATGGGCGGTGGGTTCGAGCCTCGGTGGGAACATCGTCACTTGTTGGGAAATGCAGGTACATCCAAATGACGGTTCCCAAATAGGACGAAATGCGCATCCTGGATTCCACTGCTAGTCACCATCCACCAATTAAATTCTAATTAAATCCCCAGACATCGCCGAAGCATCTGCACAAGAAGCCGACATGTCAACCTGAGATCGAGCATTTCGGTCCGATCAATCGATGGGAAAATCTAAAATTCAATTAAAATACTGTCTACTTTTGTACACAGAGATCTGGCTTATTTAATCAAATGTTTGTTTTCAGAGAATCGATTGGTTTCAACTTTGATCACGAACTAAATTCAGTTGGAAAGTCACTGCACTCTATGCAGTGCATACTCCCGAAGAGTCCCAAACAGGGATAAAGCAGACATCTAGTACTCCTTGGTTTAGAATAGTTCTCCAGCTTAAGTTCGTTCGTGATCAAAATTAAAACAAAGATTCTTGAAAATGAACACTTGAAAATTAATCCATTGCTCACCAGTGACTTACTCAGGATGAATATGCATTAATTCGTAGTCGGAAGTCGTGATCAGCGGGGTCTGTCAAGTTGGACGTGAGGACAGATACTTACCGTCAACGTTCGCTGACAGTCACGCTATATCATGGACCACTAGATTCTTTGTCAGTGGCTGAATGGTATATGGGTTCACCCTACAATCTGAGTGCCTTGAACTATATATGCATACTTCTTAAAAGTTCTAGACAAGGACGAAACAGCAGTTCAGTACTCCCTGGTCTACAATGACCTTCTAAGTGAAGTTGATTTGTGATCGAAACTTGAAATGGTAAGATCATCTTTCTTGACTACCTTAGTTGTGTTCGGCTGTTAATTTACAACCAAAGTCACCTAGAAAGGTAGTTATATCATTCATGAAGAATTTAAATAATCAAATGAATTTTTCATCATGATTCTAGTACTTTTTAAGACGTTCAGTAACCTGTATCAGACGTAGAAGCGAACAACCGATACTTTTTGATTCATGATATTAACACAGATGAGCTGTCAGCAAATAGTTGAAATATTTGTAGTTCTAAACAGACCTAAAAAACAATAAATTTATCGAAGCATAGTAAAGAGAATGAATTTACTGAAAGAATACTTATTCAAGAAGTAGAGAATTTTTGACACTGTTTTTAAAGTATAATCTTTTAAAATTATAATCTCAGTTATTAATGAAATACATAATACGGAACAGTGCCATGACCAATTATTTTGAATGAATTGCACTAAAAGAAAATCACTACCAGAGGCAGATATTTGAAGGCAGTAACTTCTTTCACCTATCTAGACAGCACAGTTTCAACTACAGGCAGGCGACGCGGATGAAAATGTCAAAACGAGAATTAGAATAGTAAAGCAGATCTTCATCTTTCTGAAATCATTTTGGAAGTCCTCTGCATTCAATATAAGGAACAAAATTCAGATTTTTAACGCCAATACTAAGTCAATTCTCTTGTATGAGTCAGAAACTTGGCACGTCATCTAAAGCATTTTCAAAATGTTGTCGATTTTCATCAAAAGCTACCTTTTCTGGCTCCGTACGGAAGATCAGATGGCCGGAAGGGATACCTAACAAAAAACTCTGGGGACGAACCAAGTAGATATGCCGAAGAAAATGTAGCTGGATTGGACACACACTGAGGAGAGCGTTGAGTGACCCCAAGTGCCAGGTTATCGCTTGAGTGAACCCAGATGGTAAAAGGTGAGTTGGGCATCTGAGGTTAACGTGGAGAAAGTGGTTTGAGGAGGGAATGGGAGCTTACGGACAGTTATGGAGCCATCCAGTTAAAATGGACTGCAGAGGACAGGAGATGTGCTTTTGAGGCCCTATGTTCCACTCGGAACCAAAGGGAACAATAATAATAATAATCAAAAGACGACATAACGAAAGGTAAGGCACAGGGTGATGTTGAAAATTATTCCCAGTAAAAGCTAAATTTACCAAGTAGACTAAAAACATGCTATTGAAGCACTTTTAACAGTTTTTATGAATTACATCCGGTCAAGTTAGTTTTAATTATATGCTTTATTTTTATTTTGCTTTCAAACTTCAAACTCCAATATGTTTCTTTTTCTTCATTTACTCGCTTCTTATTATCACAATATGCAATAAAATAAAAGACAATTGAAATACGAAGTAACTGCCTAAATTTAGCTTATCAGTTCGATAGTCTATTAAATGAAATTGAAGGTTGTTCAGATATATATGATTTACAATTACAAGATGTTATACTGAAACGGCCAGCAACTATACGCTTACCTTTACCTCAGTGGTATATCGATAGACGTAATAAGCCTACAGAAAGTTTAGAGCAGGCCAGTATAAATGATGCTAATATGGTGTCAAATGCTCCTGTTCAGTATCCAACAGCATCAGAAATGACGGTGCCTATCCAAGATAAAGGATTAGTTATCCTATTTCAGGTAAATTTTTAGCTTTATTCATGTTTCATTTTAATATCTAATAAAAGTAAATTTCGCTTAAAACAGAAATGGAGTCAAAGACAAATTCTAAAAATTGCCTTATTTTACCTAAATGGCACATGGGAAGTTGGACTGAGAGTGACTAGAGCTTCCTGTTAAATAATCATGAAAAATCTTAGTAGCCAATGAAACTAATGAAGTCTTTATAAAATGAATCTATGTCAGAAAGGTTAGCCTTTACAAAAAATAAAACATTTAAGTAGAAAAGATTTCCCTACAGTTATTCTTTTCTTCTTATAGTTTTTTATTACTTGTTTTATTCTTTCGCTTTCTGTGTAGAACATCGAGCTTCAAGCATGAGCTTTGAATTTTCAGTGGCAGTGGTGATGTTTATTACGGGTAAGGTTAGCAGTCTTGCGCTTAATCTTCCAATCTTTACTGGTCTTACTACAGGCCAAAAGACTTAGGAGTGCGTCGGCTGGAGACTGAACCTCAGACTATGTTCGTGTTTGATGATGATCATTCTGTCGCTAAGCTACTTTTTTACAGTACCAACATTTAAATACAGTTCAGCAGAAATATAAACACTTGCAACCAACAGTCAGATAGATCGGGCCAATATGCCATCTATGCAATTCACAGTTTCTAGCATTCTTAACAAAGTGTTACACTATTTTTCCTTCACGTTCCCAGTGGAACATAGGGCTTCAAGCTATTGGCTTGAAGTTTCTGTAGCAGTGTTTATTTTACAAGATGGGGTTGCTAGCCTCATGCCCAACCTTCCATCTTTACCAGCATTATTTCTGGCTTAGCAAGGCAAAGGAGTATGTCTTCCGGGGACCGAACCCCGAACCATGTGCATGGTTGGCGAGCGTCCTAACCGCTATGCCACCGAGGCACTAAAGTATTACATGTTTTTATTAAAAATTAATTCTATTCTATTCACATCGATACAATTAGCTAACATGATACCACAAGGTTTGCAGGCAGTCGTTATGTTCAGTGTTTTGTTTTATAAAGAGACAGCAGAATATTTTCTGTAAGATATTTCAAGTATTTTTAATTGATAGATTTTTACACATCAAGGGAATAGAATCTTTTCTTTATCGAATGCCTCACTTTCTTGACTGCACAGTAACAAAGAATGATGTCTCAGCTTACCAAATTGAATTGCTTAGTTGAAATTTAGGATTACAGGCACAAGTCAATAATTCTTGGATGTTTCGTGTTTGATTATGGAGTATTATTATTATTTATTATTATATCCTTTGATTCCTAGAGGAACATAGGGCTTCAGCTGCGCATCTCCATTGCCTTCTGTTTTCTACCAACTTTTTCACCCCGCTCCAAGTTTGCCCACATGCTTTTATCTCCTCCTCCTCACATTACCTCCTCCAAGTCACCCTCGCACTGACGACCAACTCGCCGGTTCCCTTTCGGGTTCCACTCGAGCGGTGGCTTGTCTAGTGACGTCACTTGATGGTACCTCAGTGTATGATCAGCCCATCTCCATTTCTTCCAGCCTATTTGTTTCACAATCGGTTCCTGATTGGTTCGCTCCCGGAGATCCCTGTTGCTGATCTTTTCTGGCCGGCCATCTGATCTTAAGTATTGAGCGAAGACAACTGTTGATGAAGGTCTGAAGTTTGTTTGAGGTGCTCTTTATGACTCGCCAAGTCTCTGATCCGTATAGTGAGTAGCACTGACTGATTTCACATTGGATTTGAAAATCCGGATCTTATTTTTGATGTTGAGTGCTATTGACTTCCACATAGACTTAAGAGTAATGAAAACTTGTCTTGCTTTTCCGATTCTAGCTTTGATATCCTCGTCAGTTCCGTCTGCCTGTAGTTGAAACGATGCTTCCCAGGTAGGTAAATGATGCTGTTTCTTCCAGGTTCCTCCCATTTATGCTGGCTGATTGTTGTCTGTTGTTTTTGCTGTTGTGTTGGCCAGGAATCTTCATCACCTCTATTTTCTCTATGTTCACTTGAAGTCCTATCTTTGATCATGGAGTACTGTACAGATATTTCATTCTTGTCTGGGACTCATCATCAGTACACACCCACTGGGGCCTGAACCTAGGGCCTTCCAGTTACAAGGCAAAGTCACAGACCATTCAGTCTCTGAGACTAACTACAGGGCAAAGCTACCTGGAATACTAGTGAGAGGTCGTGACCAGTGGAGTCCACCGAGTTGGCTGCGAGGACGAATACTCGCTGGTGATATTGGTTGGTGGTCGCACTAAAAACCACGAATGGTTACGAGCTGAAATTCATGGGCCACTGGATGGGGTCTCAATGTCTGAATGATCAGTGAACTTCCCTTGTGACCACAGGATTCTGGGTTTGAAACCTACAAACTGACTCTTGGAAACCCATGAATGTATAATTCCATACAGAAATCTTTCGATGAAAACGGGAACAAATTGTTGTTAAATACGCAAAATAAGAAAACCAGACTATTATGCCTCAATGCATTTATCTTATGTGAATACACTAAATGAATATATATATTACAATTCACATATACCTTCTTGGTAAAGAAAGTTCCGGATTCTTAAACCATAATTAGTGACATAATTATATTTTTATTACTAATAATAATTGTCCCTAATCCAGTAAAAACAGTTCTTTAATCAAAAATAAAGGCGCCAGGGGCACAGCGGTAAAAGCTCGCCATCCACACCTGTGGTTTGGAGTCCGATCCCCAACCAACGCACTCATTAACCTCAACAAAACCAGCTGTAAAACTAATAAAGAGGGAAGGATGGGCATGGGGTTAGCAACCCCATCCTGTAATAATAAACACAACTGCTACTGAAACTTTCAGCCTCTAGCTTGAAACCCTATGTTCCACTGAGAACGTTAAGGAATAAGGAAATCAAAAATAAGTGTTGGTGAAACCCAATGAAACTTCAAATCTTCTTGTTATTTCTTTTTGTTAGTTGAAATCCTCGATGTCTACTAAGAAATCAACTCTTAAAGTTGATGTCTGGATTTTGATTCCTTTGTGTTATACGGGGTCGCTAGCCCCGTTCCGAACCTCTCCTCTTTTCCAGGCCCACTATTGGTTAATCAAGATTTAGGAGTGTACTGGCTGTGATCTGAACCCAGACCAAGTACTTAACTGGAGTGTAATCTACCACTAAACCACTGGTACCTCGATAGTGTCTTCAATCTCAGTTTGATATTATAAGAAGGGTGATAGCCAGCAGTGAATACAGAATGACTGCTCTTTCCTATTTCGACTTTGCCAGCCAAATGTATCTCCATCCCAGTGTTGGTGATCTAACCGGAATTTAAACCGAGGATCTATAGTTGAAAATGCCAAAATTTTACCCACTTGACTAGTGCAGTACAACAGCCACCTTTTACATAAAAAGTCTCGCATCTGCTACATTAACGAAAGCTGTATTTCGTTGAAGACTTTCATAAGCGCGATTAAATATCGAGATTGAAGACTTTCTTCCTAAGTAACTCGAATCATGACCCTCATCCTGAAGGTCCTACTGTACTAGTTTAAATCTTAGAAGCAGAATGAATCTCATCAAGACTGTGCAAATATCTTCCTAATGAAGGACCACAAGTGTTAAGCAAATTATATTCAGTTACTTAATTTTAAATAACAGCGTTATTCACTGTAGCGTTTAGCTATATTGAGTCACTTAGCTGGTTAAAATATAGCAGGGTTCGTCCCAAATTTATAACTAGCACTTAGGGTTAGGAATTTGTATTTATTAATATCTGGTAAACTATTCTCATGCGTAATTGTCCTCGGTCATACAGAATGAATCATTCGCAAATCGAAAATTTTAAGCACAGTCATTTTCTAACAGAAATTTTTAGTAATAATTAATTGTAATTTTGAGTGTTCTACTACATACATGAATTAAATGAAGCGTATAAATCAATAGTTGATTAAATTTACTTCAATAGGGATAAATGAAACATCGTTAGTTAATCAGATGGACATAAAATTATATTTCTAGTCGGACTGGGCTAAGTTTATTCAGTTATTAGGCTTTAAAGTCTGCGTCATTTAGAAAGCATTGAATCAAAATAAATAAAATCTAAACGAAAAGATTGTACATAAATCACAGATTTACATCGTATGCTTTTGTAGTATAAAGAGCTGAATAGTGTGATTTTAGAATAGTGTAAAATCGTCACAGGCATTTACTATTCGTCAGTAATAAATCATTCTTTGATGGTTACTTTCTGCCTTGAAATAGTCAAACTACCAACTTCCTACGATTCCACTTGAGAAGGAATGTTGTTAACATAAGTGGTGATATCAATACGTTCACAATTCTTATGACTAATCAGGTAAAAGTGAGAATATTTAGAAATCTTATCCTTAATTTAAGTCGATTAGGACCCTTATACACATTTTCTTATCATCTCAAAAGTTTAATTAATGTGCAGCAGAATAATCAACTTCATGAGCAACGCGATGAAATACTGTGGTGAATTTATTTATCAGTGGGAAGAATAAACCAAAGATGAATGAGTAGTTACAGACTTTCATCATGGGCTGACATTAGTTAGATAACCATTGGAAAACCTGGGAGTATTGGACATCTGTTTCATCCTAGTTTGAGGTTCTTGATCAGTATGCACCCATCATGGCTCGAACCAAGGACATTCTGGTTACAAGGCGAGTTCGTAGACCATTAGGCCACTGAGACCCGATACAATGGCTAGCCCATGAATTCTAACCTCTGCCAATTCACGATATAGCGCGACCCCTAGCTATCCAGTACTACTAGGTTTTCCAATGGTTCTCTAACTAATGTCAGGTTATGATGAAATCCTGTAACCAATTAATCAAATCCCTACAAACCAACACTTGAATAAATGAGTAGTGTTTCACATCTTTTTTATGTACAACAGTATCATTACTTTCATATGAATATTAGACGGAGTCTTTCAAATACTTGTTATATCCCCAGGGAAAAGAAAGGATTTTTAAGTCTTTAGTAAAAGAAAGTTAGTTGAAGAACTCATTTCAGGAAGACAGTCTGATAAATCTCAAAGCCTGTTGCAAAGATGAAAGACACAAGCATTCATATATGAATTTAGGTTTCATGTTGTTAGCTAAATGACTTATGTGAGGCTGAATTCATTCACTTAGCTAGCTAACAATCCGACATACCAACATTCACCAGCGTTTGCTCCAGTGTAAAGTAAGTACTTCGGAATTCCTTGTGAATGATATAACTGTCCCTCTGCATGACCTTGGCTGTGACTAGATGTCTTCACATGGTTTCTGCTTCTTGTATTAACCTAGGTAGGTAGGTATCAATGGCTTCACTGGCTTAATCTTTGATTTTTCCACTGAATAACATGTTCTTTATTGATTGATGAATTTGATCAGTGTCAGCATATTTTTTGAGTGAGAACTGACCTAAGAACTAGGCTTCTTAGAATATTCTGACTTGGATACTATCACAAATATGTCAAAAGACATCTACTCTCAAATCAAATGACTACGTAAAAGCCGTCTCAGAGAAAAAAAAACAAATAAATTAACTCTACTATACATGAAGAATACATGTCAAATAACTGACAAGATGCTTGGAATATTCAGAAAGCTTTTCTTGTAAATTTTGCCTTCCTAAAAGTGCCACCATATATAAATTATATAAACCCTGTTATTCCTCCTGATTCGGGTTACAGTGATCTTAATTGATCTTGATCATTGTAATCTCACTTCAGTTTTCCGATACTTCGAATTTTACAGTAGATTGTAATTAAACAATTATTATTGCCTTTCTAGTGAAACACTGGACTTCAGCAGTACATTTACATTTTACTATGTTATTTTCCGTCATTTTTATCTTACTCTAAGACTGTCTACTAGATTTCACTTCCTACCCATATGATATCCTCAGTGTCACCCTTGGTTGTTCAAAACTTCACTTCCCTTTATGGATTTCACTCGATGTTGTTCACCTACTTCTTCAGCTTATGTCCAGTCCATTTCTCTATCCTTCTGCACATCTGTTAGGCAATAGGTTGTTGGTTGGATCGTTGCCAGCGTTTCTTGATGCTAATTCTTCCTGGCTATTCGATCATCAGTGTACAGCCAAGGCATTTATTTCTGAATGTGTTAACTGAGAATTTTTAATACGAATTTAATCTTAACCATCATACTATTAGTTGAATTGTAAAGTAAAGTTGTTAGGGTTTTTGTTTTTACAATATTATTCCAACCTATTTGTCAGTGGCATGTAAAATCAAATAGTGACTACTTACTAAAGGAATGCTTAAATTCGTAATTCATTTCTGTATCAAATCATGTTGACCTAATTTAAGTGTTATTTATTAACTTGGTACATGAGCTCTTTACTGAGTGGATGTCTGAATTTCACATCATTATAGAAGTTTAGACAGAAGTATATCATTTCAGGTTCATGCACTGCATAATAAAGGAACATTAATATTACAGTATATAAAGACAAGTATGATTGTGGTGAGAGCAGCCTGCTAGCCAATTGGTAGACATTAAGTTACGTCAATGTCTAGGTCACTAATATGGGCCGTGAGAAAATATGAACAAGGCTGTTTCAACAACCAATCACAGCAAACTTAAACGTGGGCAAATATGATTCCCAGATAGATGGCTCTACTTTCCGAGGAACTCGAAAACAACCAATCAGAAGACTGCGTTTGTCTACCTGACTAGGCTATAATAATGTATGTGAAATTTATATAAATACATGTTGATTTTCGTAATGAAACGATCTGTTGCCTGGCCCTTGTCTTCTGTTGTTACATGATGAGCAGATTAATTTGGAAAGTATTCGTGAAAATTTCAGAATCTGGAGGACAACAAGAAATAAGTGCACCTGTATGACTGTAACTTTCAGCTAAGTCCCAAATAACTTAGAAACCACTCCAGGCAACCTACATCTATTTTCTAGTTCCTAATAACTTTCTTATTGAACATAATTGAACTATTGTTATTTTGAATTAGAATGTGATGAATATTCCTTCAGTTGTAAAAATAATTTATTAGTTTTTTCTTAACTAATTTTGTACCCGTGTTGAGATTTTTTCAGCAGTTAGTCTCTTAGAGTTGATTTGCATTCTCAAATAACCGAAGTGACGTAATGCCCGAATATCTGTCAAATAATGTATATACTGTATAGACTTTCACTCTCTCTGTCCAATTTAATAGAAGTGAATTTTGGAAGTTTAAGGTGAACAGCGTAAAAACATTATTGGTTTAGATTTTTTGATACTTTTAACCAGTCATTCACGTTAAGTGGAAAAATGTTGTGAGAAATAGCGCTTTTAATTGAAAGGTAAGTGGAAAAAGTAGGGCGGTGAGAATATGATGTGTCTTGGATGAACAAAATTCAATGAAATAAGACTATCTAAAGACCAATGATAGTATGGTTTAAAAATATTTACGATGAAGTAGATGCAGTTATTCCATGTTATATATTGTATTCTGTAGATAGTTATTCGTCATCGCTTAGCTATTCTCCCCCATACATCTCTGTCTTTTCAGGTCTCTCTTTTAAGTGAGTTGCTTCAAAATGTGATACATTTGACTGGTACACTTTTATGCAAAATCTGATTTCAGAGGGTACTGATCTCAACTTGGTTTAGGACAGTTTATTTACAGAAGATGTATAACACTTAGCTTATAAATTATAACACACTGAAGAACAGATGGGTACAGAAGGATAAGTAACAAGGAACACTGGCGAGGAACTAACCAATGGCTTATTGTCCAACAAATATTCCTAAGAAAATGGAGATGAATCGGATGTACTTTTATGTGAACTTTGACTAACATCACGCGTTGGGTCCTCAAGTCGAACCCGGATAAGAAACAACAAATCCAGAATGGCTCCGAGGGTAACATTGGGGAGTTAGTGTAAGGAGAAAATGAAATGATGCTTTCTTCTCGTCTAAATTATTTATTCAATGGTGTCTTCTTAGGACTCTTGTTCACATGTCGAACCCCACTACAGACGCTTCAAAGATGCTTAAGGATTCACATGATGTTATTCGGTGGATTGTGACTATCAGGGAAGTCCATGGTGCAGATTTCGTCCTATTTGAGAATCGTCCACTGTGTACAGCAGATGCACCCAGTTGACGAGTTCAATATGAGACGAAATGAGCATCCTGAATTCCACTTCTAGTTACCATTCATCAAATAATGGGATATTTAATATCTGATTGTTTTCTAAGCTGAGATCTACTTTCTCAAATCAAATTATAGACGTACCAAACAAAAAAATTTATTGTTTCACATATTTCGCATCTATTTTTGTTTTTGTATTATCTAATAGCAATCCGGACATTCAAAACAAATTGTTTGGCAGACAGCTAATGTTGAAGAGTTAAAAGAAGAAATGACTCGACGTAAATCACGTCTTCGTGTTAGTCGTAAAGATAATGTAAATTCACCAAGATGTCGAATAGACAATATATTTATACGTTTAGGCTGGCCAAATCTATTGGTTGGTATAAGAGGTGGACCATGGCAAGCAGTAAAACAACCAGTGTATTATACAAAAAAGACTATTTGCTTTGATACAACAATTTTAGGAAGGTAATGTGTACTTTTTTCCATATATATGTATATATATATATATATATATATCCTTTTTATTCCTATACGTTCTCAGTGGAACATAGGACTTTGAGCTAAAGTCTTGAAGTTTCTGTAGCATTGGTGATTATTAATACATGATGGGGTCGCTAGCCTCATGCCCAACTTTCCTTCTTCACTAGTCTTATTACTGACTTACCGAGATAGAGGAGTGCGTCGGCCAGAGATCGAACCCCGGACCATCTACGTGGTCGGCAAGCACTCTACTGCTGTGCTACCGACGCATATATATATATATAATATCCACAAATCTTTCCTAAAAAGGTTTTGATCATAATGAATAACTTTTTACTGAGTATATTTGTGAGGGGAAGTTAGTGCCAACTTTCATGGCTTCATATTGTCCAATCATGTCGATTTTTTTCTTTCTAACTATTTATTTGTTCATTTCTAAATTGATTTAATTTGAAAAAGCTTATCAATGTGTAAAAAGACACAAAGAGATCTTAAAGTGACTTTTTCTCAACACGCAAAATATACACTACGTACCGACAAACTGTGAACAATATACCACATACTAACAAGCCATTTTTTCTACAGAATTAACAATTATCACATAGTCACTACGTGTTTTACTACTAATAAGTTTAGACATTGAAAAGCAGACAAATATGCTGGTTTAATCACTATCAGCGATAAAACTCTTAGACATGTTTAATAGCTATGTTTGCTTGAGTTATGTGACTAGTTATTTTATTCAAACACATGCGAAACAGAATTAAACTATTTGACTTGACTATCTGCTGATTAATATTACGTGCTGAATTATTTTTGCACTGATTTCAATTTTTAGATTCAGTTAGAGAGACCTTTGAAGACTAGGGAGCACCGAATAGCTGTCACGTCCTAATTTGAGACTCTTCATAGTGCGCACCCATGACCACACCAGAGATTGAACCTGAGACCTTCAGGTTACCAGGCCAAGCGCATCGACTATTCAGCCACTTCAGGTGAATTCAGTGACCCCCGAATTTTAACTTTGTCAACTCATGATCAAGTGCTACCCCCCAACTATGCCTTCGATGAGTATCGACTTCACCTTGATATGATGGAACACATTGGTCACAACTTCTCACTTCAGATTCAGGACATCTATCCAATAACCTTCAGTTGGAGGGCGATTGGTATTCGGATTATGGGATTTGCAAGCTGAATGGTCTACGAGCTTGGTCTCTTAACCTGGAGGTCTAATTGATTGATTTTCTTTTTTGGGTGATTTTGCCTACCATACCATTTTAGCGCATGCTCAGAAGCACGCTCATCCTTCCTACAGGACTCTGTTACCCAGACTAAAGGCGTTTTAGTGAATGATGAAATATATCATTGAACTCAGACAATGCAACTATATCGAAACCATCCACCTAAGATACAAGTTTTGTCTATTATTTATTTCATTACTGTAACTTTTATAAGAACAGTTTTCTGTTCTCGCTTGATTTTATTCTATAGAACGTCAGTGGATATCATATTTGGAGCAAAGCTCCTCTAGATACTGTGATTACCTTTCTGTGTTACTGTTGCGTATGAAATCCTCATTTTTTTGATGCGATTGTGTTCTCTGAGCTGGGTGGTTTATTTGTAAAGCTTTCATTGCCCTTCTAGGCAACATCCTCTTTGTATACTTGAATTTGAAGTGAGCTTTTAGATTTCTACAAGAGTTTATAAGTCATCTCTCCTGGTGACCTAGAATGTTATTGGTTGTTTTTATGTTTTCATACCCTTTAGGTTACTTATATTGGTATTGATTGTTTCCTTGACCTGAAGTTTAACCCTTTGTGTGTGAGATTTCCTTCTTATCAATTGGTAAATTTTAACTATGTCAATATGTCTATTGATTGACGATTCACTGGGATACCAGGCTTCTAAAAACTCTCTGGCATTCTTGGTGTTTCTATTATAGATAAGATTTTATTTTGATAAAACCCACAGTGTTGTACAGTAATATTTACTGATGACGACGTTTCAAGCACAAACTATTGCTAATAATCATATCAAGGCAGTACTCACACATAACTTTCTTGCTTCATTTATATACATGAGTAGAAATTGATGATTAGACATTTGAATAAAATCAAAAATAGATAAAGTAGACTTGGAAATCAGTGTTATCAATAAAATACAATAAGATGGGAAATAAGATGTAACTTGTTAGAATGTCATAATGTGAACTGAATACGTTTTAACATTAATCATTGTTCTCTGATTTAAGTGGTAGTAATATCTTCGATATCTCTGACATTTGCGTTGAGTCACTTCTATTGCATGTGTTGGGTGTAGACTCAATGAACCAAGATTCATTAATCAATCTCTCTCTCTCCACCTACCTGTATTACTTTTCAGAATTTTGACTCTGTCCCACCCACTCTATTGTGTGGTTTTATGTAAATGCATGCAAGGCTATAGCTGTTTTTTTCTAAATTACTTATCTTTGTGGGATCAATTATTCTAACCTTCACCAAATTCTTATGTTCTGGTAATCTTGCTACTCCTGATCTACTAGTTTTACCTGTGTAGTTGACCTCACAGTCATTGCAGGGTATTTTGTAAATTATATTATTTTGGTTAATTGAGTTCTTTAGCCTACAGAGCTTGCCTCTGAATGAGTTTGTGGGTTTAAATCCTTCTCTAATTCCTGCTTTATTGAGAATCCTACGTAGGGCCTCAGATGTCCTCTCCTTATATGGTAAAACCGTGGATGCCTCACTTCAGATTTAATTATGCACTGAGGATAACCAACAATAACAACAACAGCAGCAACATCCAGCGCCAATCACCATCAACGGGAGGGATTTGAAAGAGGTTACTTCATTCACTTATCTAGCATTGAACATTGTCTCAACTACAGGAAGAACGGACGAGGATGTCAAATCGAGCGAGAATCGCGAAGGCCAGCGAGAAACACATTCATCAACTTGAAATCAATCTGGAAATCTTTGTCACTCACCATCAACAACTAAATTCAGTCGGATTTTCAATACGAAGTTCAAGTCGGTTAGTTCTTCCATACGGATCAGAAACTTGGCGGGCAGGCTGGTCACAAGGAATATTTCCAACAGCCTGTTGCAGACATTTATCAACAACTGTCTTCGCTCTATACTGAAGATCAGATGGCCGGAAAGAATCACCAACAAGGAACTATGGGCACTAACAAACAAAACAAGAACCAATCACCAACCAACAAATATGCAGAAGAAAGTGGAGATGGATGGATCGGACACTCGCTGAGGAGACCGCTGGGTGACATCGCGCGTCGAGCCCTCGAATGGAACCCGAAAGGGAAGCGGTGTGTGGGACGTCCAAGGGTGACGTGAAAGAGATCGTGTGAAGAGGAGTTGAAAGAGTATGGACTAACATGGATGGAGGTGAAAAGTAGAGCAGAAGACAGAAGCAAGTAGAGGCGTGCAGCTGAAGCCCTATGTTCTACTAAGAACCCAAGGGAACCATAATGTAAAAAATAAAATGCACTAAGGATGTTGCCTAGTAAGACAATGAAAGCTTTGCGGAGGATACAACTACATCAAAATCATCCACCTGAGCTACAAATCTTCTTCGTTATATCTAAATCCTCTACTTTTCCTCAATTTTCTTTACTTTACGGTTCATATTTTTGTTTTTCAACTGCAACAGAGAATAAGCGTATAAGTTTCTGACAGCAAACCAACCAAGGACATGTAGCCTAACAAATATGTGGAAGAAAATGAAGATGGATCGGACACAGGCTGAGGAGACCGTTAAGTGCTGTCGCACTCCAGTCTATATCTTGACTAGGACATGAATGGGAAACGAAAAGTTGGGTGATATTCCTAGGGTGATATGGAGCACATTTTATGAGAAGGAGATGAGAGCCTGTAAGCGATCGTGGAACCACCTAGACAGTAATGTAACGAACAGGATGAAATGGAGGTGTACTTTTAAAGCCCTATTTCCCACTCGGAAGCCGAGGTAATAGGAATAAAACTCTCCACTCAGTAGACGAAAGTATAGTAGAAAATATGTATATTAAGTCACTTTTAGCTTCAATATGTGCTTGAATCAGTATACAAAATAATATTGTGTGAATTTGCATTCATCGGATAGTATAGTCAGCATTTTACTGATATAGTCCTTGCAATTCATGATTACGATTCCTCCGCCTTTATCAGGACGTAATGTCATAATATCTTCGTTTTTCAAAAGTTCTTTTAGCTCCTTATAGTGCCTCTTCGTCAAGATGAACCTTCCGTTGGGTTTAGTCTTTATAAACTTGTGACAACAGTCGAGGATTGATGCTTTGAGTTGTTGTAGATTTTCATCTGATGTCGGTGTGAGATCGTAAGTTTGGTTTATCAAATTTTCGAACTGAACCTGGCATTGTGGCTTGCCAATACTTCGTGGTTTTAAGCAGAATTTTGGACCTGTAGATAGTGCCTCTAGTTGGGTAGTAGACAGTGTGATGTCTGAATGATTGAATACGTATTTTCCTGGATTGCTTGGGAACGGAGATTCGGTATTAATTGTAGGCTTTAGGTTTTTGAGCAGATCTGCTTTAGTCTTGTTGCATTCTTTCTGAGTGACTTGTTGTGCATATTCTTCAAAGGAATGCCGTAGTTCTTTATCTAAGTCTTCGACTGCATGAGCTCTTGAGTAGACGTTTTGCTCTAGCTCGAGGACGCGTGATTAAATGGAGTCAGTGTTGGTTCGTGTGTGTCGTCTGAGTGTTCTGGTATTCGGTTGGATGTGATTGTGTCTGAGTGACTTCCAATACATCTTTGGATACTCATGTCGATCTATACAATCTCTTAAGAAATTAATCTTTGTCTTCGCTACAGCCAGCTTGACGGAGTATAACGCGGGAAACCATCCAGCTCCTTCATCATCACTGGGTCCTTGCAACGTTTGAGTAGACTGAAAATCCTCAGCGAAGAGACTCTTTTCATATGACTCAATGGGGATTTTCAAGCTACTCAAAATAATATTTATATTGGTGACAGTTGCTGCGGTCCACCCGATGGCACTTTTATTCAGAGATATACAGGAGGTAGTTCTTCAGATATTTGCAGAAGTGATATTAAATTATTTCTGACAATTCAATGTATAGCTTCATTCAACACTAATATTCTGGAATTTCAAATTGAAACTGACGATTCTCTCTTCTTCTTCTTCGTGATATCAGTGAATTTTATCTTCTTTGTTTAGAGATAAAGCTATTTTTCCACATAAATCACATTAACGGTAGCCCAGTAGTTCTCGAAACTGTTGAATTTTCCAGTTATTTTTATATTACTTTATTATTATGTGATGTGAATAAACATTTTCACTGACGCTACATACATTAATAATTATTCTAATAAGGCATGAAATAGTTTATTTTATCACATCATTGAATAGCATAATACAACTCACTTAAAATGTAGCAACTATTAAATACAACTTCCGATATGCTATCCAGAATAATTTACCAGCTTTCAACAAAATATATTAACAGACTGATAATGTTAATTAATTAGAACTGTGTCTGAACAATAGTCACACTTTATAACCATTTGACTGAAGAAAACCAGTTAATCTTAAGTAACACAAGGGAATCTGGCAAAATGAACTAACTAACTAACTAACTAACTAACTAACTAACTAACTAACTAACTAACTAACTAACTAACTAACTAACTAACTAACTAACTAACTAACTAACTAACTAACTAACTAACTAACTAACTAACTAACTAACTAACTAACTAACTAACTAACTAACTAACTAACTAACTAACTAACTAACTAACTAACTAACTAACTAACTAACTAACTAACTAACTAACTAACTAACTAACTAACTAACTAACTAACTAACTAACTAACTAACTAACTAACTAACTAACTAACTAACTAACTAACTAACTAACTAACTAACTAACTAACTAACTAACTAACTAACTAACTAACTAACTAACTAACTAACTAACTAACTAACTAACTAACTAACTAACTAACTAACTAACTAACTAACTAACTAACTAACTAACTAACTAACTAACTAACTAACTAACTAACTAACTAACTAACTAACTAACTAACTAACTAACTAACTAACTAACTAACTAACTAACTAACTAACTAACTAACTAACTAACTAACTAACTAACTAACTAACTAACTAACTAACTAACTAACTAACTAACTAACTAACTAACTAACTAACTAACTAACTAACTAACTAACTAACTAACTAACTAACTAACTAACTAACTAACTAACTAACTAACTAACTAACTAACTAACTAACTAACTAACTAACTAACTAACTAACTAACTAACTAACTAACTAACTAACTAACTAACTAACTAACTAACTAACTAACTAACTAACTAACTAACTAACTAACTAACTACTAATAACTAACTAACTATATGAATGTTTTTGGTCATTAGAACCTGATGTAGAATGTATAGATCCGTTTGTTCTAGTTCTGCCCTTATGTAGAGTGAGATGTAAAGTAGGTTGTCTGTTATCCAAATGAAAGCACTATTAATACACTATTATATCGGAAGTTGCGTCAGCCAGTGCCAGAGGGTTGGTCGCTGACGAAATCTCGGCACGGATACATAAGGCTCGTTTTGCATATGCCAGTTTACGCCTCCTCTGGCTTAGACGTAACATCCGGCTGGCTGTCGACCAAAGGGTGTGTGTACTGCTCAGCAGTCCACTGAGTCCTCTTTTATGGCTGTGAGCAAGATATGGCCATTGAAAGTGGAAGACATGAAAAGGTTAGCTGTCTTCGATCATAAGTGCCTGCCTTCTATCTCCCATGTGAAGTGGTATAGTAGGGTAAGCAGTACTGAGGTTAGGCGTCGAGTGCTAGGTAAGGAGGGGAATTCATTTAATGACGTTGTAAAGTTACACTGTTTGAGATGACTGGGGCATGTGTTACGCATGCCTAACCTAGCCATCGCCTTCCTCGACGGACAATGTCAGCTGATATTGGATCGATCAAGATGGAAAAGAGCCAGTGGTGGCCAAACCAAAATATGGCTTCATCAGTCAATGAAATCCATAATAGTCAGTTTAAGCCAGCCACATTGGGATGTGTAGACTGACTTTATAGTTCTGACTCTCGGGATGGTAAAAACCAATGGCTGGCGACAACGGTAATTTGGCTCAAAACCGTTCTCAATGTCGTAAATGCATGCACTCCTTGTGACTGATAATTTCCAATAAAACTATATTATTCTTCGTTATTGCTATTGTTTTTGTCTCATATCCCTGTTTACTGTCTCTATTTTGCATTTCTTTTTAATTTCTTCTCTGGCTTTGTGGGCTGAGTGAAGTGTGGCGACTCGAACTGCTGCACATCGGTACAAAGTTCTTTGTTGAAACCAGTCAGTCAGTTATTAGTAAAGCCCCATAGGAGTCTAGCTGAAATAGTCTATCGTATTACCAGTTTTTTAAGTGCCTGACTGAGTGAAATGATAAACTTAATCTCTTTTCACAGGGTATAATGTAACTGATTATTTTTTTATATTTTCATACTGGTGAATGGGATTCACGTCCACTTGGTTGTAGTACTAATGGTCTCCTATTCTACCCTTACTTCTGTATTCCTTTGTTAGTTCTTCACTGATGCATTTATTTTTGTTATATGCCATGTATCATTTCGCTACCATCCTCAAACCTTGGTGTTTCAGTTATTCTTTCCTCAATAGCTGAGTAAACTGTCATGTACACGAATCAATGAATTATTGATTGATTTATAAAATTAAATAATTAAATTAAAACACATTATTTCTGAGCATCTTTTTTATGTTACTTTCCGTATATTTTGTATTTTACTTTCTACGGGAAAAGATTTGTTCTTATCGGAGCTCGAGATTCAGAACGTACAGCAAGCAGTAAACTAGCCCACTTAATGACACGTATTGAGTCGTTAGCTTGTGCTCCACCTGGTGCATTACTTGTTTGTTTACAATTAGCTCCAAATAATTGGCGAATCATGGCCAATGTCTTTCCTGAAGAACAACTGGGTCAAGCAATTCAACGACAAATTGAGGCAGGTTTCATTCCATTGGTTCAAGTAAGCATAAAACTATTTATCTAATTCATAAAATATATGAATGTTAAATCTGATCTGTGGAGCGTAGGTTCCGGGGAATTAGAGTTTCATCAACTAACTTATATGACCAGTAGGGTGCAGCTGGTCGGGTGTGAGGACAAATGCTCACCGAAGACATTGGCTGGGGGTAGCGCTATGTTGTGAATTTGCGGAAGTTAGAATTCATGGGCCATTGGATCGGGTCCCAGTGGCTTAATGGTATACGAACTCGCCTTGTAACCAGAAGGTCTAGGGTTCGAATCCCGGTGAGTGCGTACTGTTGAAGAGTCCCGAACTAGGATGAAATATGTTCAGTACTCCCAGGTTTTCCAGTGGTTCTCTAACTGATGTCAGCTCATGATGAAAATTCTGTAACCAATCAAATCCCTACAAACCAATACTTGAATAACTTATATTCCTTGAATATATGCGGGCTGAAAATAAATATACATATTATTTTCACTGGACTATTTCAATTTCTTTTTGTCTTTTCAAAAACTAATCACGCCTAGGCAAAGTTTCAAATAATTATTTCGATACACCTAAAAGCCATGGATGACTGAGATTAAATTTTCCAAAAATAATAGGAAGCAACAAAACAAGGCACCTCATGAAAACAGATGAAATTTCAGAGACTTAATACTGTAGTATTTGTTCGCTCTCTCCACATAGACATACATATATACGGTCTACATAGTGTGTACGCTGTGTTTGCGCATACTTCTTCTTCTCCTATTTGTATGTTGATTTCTAATTGGCTGTTTTATTGAGTAACCGTTAACCTTTCAACGATCGATACTAGCCACCGGTCTTTTTCAATAGCTATCATTGTCTGGACTAAAAGATAAGCTATTGAAGAATGCTTATGTCTATGTGTCTTTTCCAAAAATTAGAACATCAATAAATTAGAAGAGATATTAACCAATAAGACAACACTTATTCAACGAGTAGAAAAACAAACAGCGATGTGAAACAAAGCAAAAACGATAGTTTAAATTTCAAGTAGAAAAGTAGACTAATAATAATATAACCAGTTTAAAGCCTTCCAATACTTTCTAAAAATTCCATTTGCCAATTACAAATAAGCCCATTCACAAGTAAACTCTTCAGGCATCTTTTATAACCTAAGCTAGTTGTTTCTTGAGATTTTCTTGTTAGTTTGTTACTCTTAGCCTCCGAAACTATCACAATAAAAGCCAAATACAAATTCAAAATCCACAAATCGGTTGGTTACTAGCCTTGTTGTGAATTTTCATCATAGTTTCCACTGGTAACCCTATTCCTCAAGAAATTCCATAATAGATAAGTCACACTCTACCACAGTGTCCAGTTTCTACACTTACAATAATCAAGAAAGTAAGCATAATTGCAGAAAACTATATACTGCCAACTGGTTGATTGAGATGAGCACTTGTATACCACTGATATTAACCAGTGGTTCATGTTGGCGGGATTGAAGTGCTTTGAACACCACACAAAGCAGATCACTTATTGTGATCTGAATAATTCTGGTTTCCCAAAGAAAACTTTGGTGAAATTTCACATCGAACTTTATGTTATGCAAACAGCAAGTTAATCTGAAAAGTTACAAACCTGATTCAATGCTATACCAGTTCACTCAAGTAACCAGTCTGAATTTTAGTGGTTTAGACTGATTCAGCTCTTTGAGCTGAGTTAAACTGGGTACACTGCTGATGACCTGGGCCATAAATAAGAGAAACTCCTTCCCAGTGTTTAGATCACTCTGATCTGGCTAACAAGCTCTACTAGTTGATACAAATGGTATGCACCTACTCATCTTAATCAACAGTAAAATATCTCTAAGGTAGAATAAGTCTCTATCTCTGACTATTCATGAATGATGCACTTTAGTAAGTATATACACTGTTTCTTAAATAAGGATATGGTACCTCTGATACTAATCACGTTTTGAAAGTAGTCGTATAATTACATATGTACCTATTTAAAGTTCAATTTAAGACTAGAAATCTATTTATTCTCACTCACTTTATTCTAAAACTTCAATGTCTTATTTTATTTTACAGTTTGGCCCAGGAGTAGTAAGAAAAGCTCTTGGTATAAATAATGCCGTCATACAAGCATTAGAGCACAATTATTCCGCTGAAACTGGAGTAAGATTGCCTTAATACTTTATTTACTTCAACTAACTTTCATTATTATTTTTATCTTTTTAAATTCTATCTTTGAAATAATAAACTTTGATTGGGCACTAGGTAGAAAGTAAGTAGAATCATGCGTCTAGTCCTTCGTTTGGTACAAGCTTGATTCTGTCAGTCAATTCTGTGATATGGCCATCATACGAAATGACTCACCATCACGATGCATTCTGGATTGTTGTTATTCGATGGTTGGAGGCAGTCGGCAGGAAGCCTTGTCGAGACCTAGATTGACTGTACTGAATACTTTGGTTGGACATTGGACAGTAAATGACTAATGTTACGCGCCTAGTCCATCCTTTTGTGTAGATTGGATTCTATCAATGAACTTCGCATTGTAGCGACTATATTAGGTGGCTTGTAATCACTTTTTTTCCTTCACCTTCCCCAGTGGAACATAGGGCTTTAAGCTAGAGGCTTGAAGTTTCTGTAGCAGTGTTTATTATTTCTACAGGATGGGGTTGCTAGCCTGATACCCAACCTTTCCTCTTTACTAGCTTTATTTCTGACTTAGCGAAGTAAAGGAGTGCGTCGGCCGGGATCGAACCCTGGACCATGTGCATGGTCGGCGAGCGTCCTAACCGCTATGCCACCGACGCTTGTAATCATGGTAGGTGATAAGTGAATATAACATCAAGTTTATTTCTTTTCAGTTGAAGTAAAAGCACAACAAAATAACAGGATAAATGATGAATCAGAAATTAGTACTATTTGTCATCAAAAACAAAAAAAAATGCTAACCGACCAGTAGTTATATACACCTACAAGTAAATCAGATGATGTTAGGTGAATAGAATTTTTCACATCTAGTTTAAAATGTCACCGACTGACATACGATTCTTAATCTCTTTTAAGATAAAATCAAGTAGTTTTTGACATTTTTAAATGTTAATTCCTGAAGTATATAGAGTAAATTAATCAGTTTTAGTTGACTTTGAAAAATAACCCATGATGTCTTGTAGTGAGTGTTGCATCAAAAATTATTATGTATTTTAAATAGTCGTAAAAAAAAAGGTTTGCACTTCTTTAATACTACAACAAGCCTAATAATTACTTCGGTTGATCACTTTCAACTTTTTACAGTACTTTTAGTTTGGAAGTCTACAGTAAATAAGTGTGTTTATGATTTTATGATTGAAAAAAAGTCATCGAAAGCTCTCAAGTGAAAATAATCACTGCGTATTAGTAAACCATTTCAAAAGGAAATAGGCTTAATGTTTTTTTAATAAAATAAATATTGTTCATAAGAGGATGCATCGGTGATTCAGTGGTAGAATACTAAACAACCACTTATCTGGCGCGGAGTTCGATTCCCTACTGATGCACAGTCTTAGCCGGTAGTAAGGCTCGTAGAGAGGGAATTTGGGCGTCAAGCTGGCAAGCTATCTAGTAAAAACCAACTCTACTGCTACTGAAACTCCAAAGCACAGACTTGAAGCTCTGTGTTCCACTCGAAATGTACAAGAAGAAGAAAATAAACAGTGATGACTGAAGGTGAAATGAGAGTCCATGTCGTAGCAGGAATAGAACCAGTGGTCGTCAGACTACTGACCGCTTAAGATAACTAACTACTTCTCCGATCAACATTTATCGCGATCATCACTGGCACTACTCAGTTTTCGTGCGATTTGGTGTCTGCTTCTGTCTACTCCCACTCCTTTCATCAAATATATTAATGCTGAACTGGAAGGAAAGAGGGCACTTACTGACTGATATGGATACTCTCTTGAATGGCTTTTAATCGACAGGCTACCATTGGGTTTTCTAGCTCAAATGGTGGAACTTCAGTTTACTAATTTGAAAGCCGCTGGTTAAGATGCAACTGCGACTGAGATTACAATTTCACTTTTACTTCTCCTTCATAAAATCGTTAGTATTCTGCCAAACTAAGATCATCTCAAATGGTCCCCCTATCATTAATATATATATATATATATATATATATATATATATATATAGGATGAGAACCCAGAACTTTGCAATGGATCAGTTTTACTTTCCAGAAAATTATCTGAATATTAGGAAATTAGCTTTAGCATTATCAAACTCATTGCTTACACAAAAATTACAAAACTCTAAATATAATCAAATCCCAAGAAATAACACACAAAGATATTGCATTCAAAAATAAATGACTATTTGGTTTTATATGTAAATCAAATTTTAATGAGCTCAAACCATTAAAATGAAGCTTTGATTAATTGCGACACTTTCCCTCTACCTGTTTTACACCTGTGAGACTTCTGTGTCTCAAGGGGAAGATATTGAAAAATATCCATCTTTGATCGTAGTTATCTGCGTCTAGATTATCATGTTAGGCAGCATAGTACGGTCAGTAGCACAATGGAGTCTGATGTTGATTATGAGTTGTGTTGAGATAGTGAATCGACGAGGTTGTGATGTCCCATCCACTTGGATCACTAAGACATGTGTTGCATATTCAGGTCCATCAACTTAATTGGTGAAACGGTGTTGATGGAAATAGGATTTAGACGGAAGAAAGTTATGATGGTCACCTGAAAACACGTCATCATTCCATGCTGTTTCAGAAAAAAACTTTCTAAATAACATGTAATATTTCTTTCTCATAATATATTTAAATGACTGATGTATTATAAACACAGAGATGATGTTAAAGTATTCAGTTATAACAGTAGACTCTCTAGAATCAATATGCTTTACTAGACAATTCATGTTTACACGAGTTGATTATGAATTGATATCAGTTAGAGAACCATTGAAAACCAGGGAATAGTGGACAGCTGTTTCATCCTAGTTTGGAATCATCGGCAGTAGGCACCCACTAGGCTTCAACCACAGGACCCTCCGGTTACAAGGCAGGCTCGTATACCATTCAGGCGCTGAGACCCGATTCAATGGCCACTCCATGGATTCTAACTTCTATCAATTCGTGATTTAGCGCGATCACCAACCAATGTCATTGGTGGGAACTCCATCCTCACCTTTGACTGGAGGATTTCACTGGTCACGACTTCTCACTAGAACTCCAGGAAATTCCGTCCTATAGCAAGTCACTGGCGAGCATCAGATTAATTTTCAATAGTTGGTAAAAAACAAATCTAATCCTTACAAACCAACTATTGAATATTCATGTTTAGATAAAAGTACTTTTCTAATTAATCAATACAGTGAACTATGTAAACATCTACACACATTACATTCACACAATAGATGACCTAAATATCTTATGATGAAGCAGAATATAATTTTGTTTTATTTAAGACAAGTAAAGAATATATCCTGTGTGAACATGTCACTTCTTTCTAGTGAATTAAGTATCACTGGACAGATGGTATAGGCGTCATTTGTTTATGGTTTTTAGTTTATCTCTAGCTCAAAGCATTAGGGCTGGGTGAGGATACAGACTATCGTCAATCAAACACCTCATGATAGCCTTTATCGTCACTCGCAGAGACAGTTTCAACAGAACCTGGATTAAAAACAAAACAGTTTTAATTTCATACACAACTTACGTATATAATTTGAACCATATTACTTTGATAAATATCTTTTGAGTGATCAGTTACTCCTGTCTGCAATAAATTGTGATTTGTTCCAATTATATTTTAGCATTTTAGTTTTCACGATACATTCATATATTAATTTATTTCAATTGATTATATATTAATAGAAGGCACCGAAGAAAGACGTTATCGTGTAACTGGACATGATATTAATCATGTATTAATGTTCAACGGTTTGTGCTTAGAATTACGATTTCAAGGGGATATACAAATCAAATCAGTTAGCCAATTCGAAACTTATACAAATTGTATACGTACTAAAGACAAAGTACCGAATCCGCCTCCGCTTGGACTAGCAACAAGTGATAGAGCTCAGCGTTATTCCTTTTCAGAAAATAATTTGGATTTTCAATTCAATTTACAACCAAGATCTAGTTTGTTTACATTTGATAAGAAAGAAGATAAAATAGCACAAACAACACTTTTAAGTAAACATGCTAGAGTCCAGTTGCATGAATTACTATCAGATACATCGTGTATCGTTGAAATTGAGCCTGTTTCGTCTATAGAAGAAAAGTATTCTGAACGCAGTGCTATAAAGTTAGTTAGTTAGTTAGTTGATCATATTTCTTTGTTCATGATCACTTTAAGAAATGACATAACTCTGTATTAATTTTGATAATTTTATAATTCCCCTTTGTAGTATTAAGAACACAATATTCAGCGAAGAGACCTTTCAACAAATTGATTATCAAGCTGTATAGTCGTGTATATATGGGTTTTTTTTCAAAGAAATCATATCCGGTGAGGGAATTAGGTCAAAGCTGCGAATACATGATGATGAGGAACCTCTCAGAAGAGGCTGGCAGCAAAGATAGGACTTCAAGTGAATGTAGAAAAGATGGAGTTGATGAAGATAACAAACCAACAACAACAAGAAGCACTGATCACTGTCAACGGGAGACATCTCAACGAGGTCACCCCTTCACTTATGTGGGAAGCATCATTTCAACTAAAGGTACACGAAATGAATCAGGATGTCAAAACCAGAATCCGATTCACATGGTACACTTTCATCACTATGATAACATTAAGAACACAATATTCAGCAAAGAGACTATTCAACGAATTTATTATCAAGTTGTACAGTCGTATATATATGGCTTTTTAAGAAGTTATTTCCCGTGAGGGAATTAGGTCAAATGTGTGAACACATGAAATAATAATAGTAGTATGAAATGCAATTAAAATATCTGTGATTATAATCATAGTTAAAAGTCAAGTAGCAAAACAATTAATGTCATATATAGAATAATACATAAGGTGTATAGATTTTGGAAAGGGGTACATAGTCATGGGATTAGTAAACAAATATAAAATGTTACATATTATGGTGTGAAATTTGATAACATAGAATTCAATATTGTAAAAATAAAAAATATAAAAATTAATAATTTTGGATTTAGAACGACAAGTGGGACAAGTGGAAACAATTCAGAGTGAGAATAATATTAATAATTGTAGTAATGAGGGAAAGGTACATAGAACAACTAAATAAACAAATTAAATAAATGTCTATCCCTTTACGGCCAAGGCAGAAGTAGGGATTGTGCATACTCCTTTTGTACACGAAGGTCTGGCTTAAAGTCATGAATTGCCAAGGCCTTTAGAAGTCTGTAACGTAGAAAACGCGGACGGCAAGTTAGCATGGATTCTATACGTGATCTTAAAATCATGATCAGAGTTGAGAGAGTGACAGAAGTCGATCAGGTGTTCCGGAATACAGCTTCGCACACACTTCCTTTCTCCCTTGTAAAACCATGCTGGAATATGTTCTCGTATCCGTGTGGAAAGCAGGGTGCTCAGACTACGGCCAATGTACCTTGCTCCACAAGAGCAGGTGAACTGAGAGATGCACATGGAGGCGGTCAGACGGGGGAGCTTATCTTTTACAGAGGTAGAGAACAACTTGCGGCTAGTGAATGTCATACAGCTTGATAATAAATACGTTGAAAAGAGTCTCTTCGTTGAATATTGTGTTATTAATTTTGAAATAGTAGGAGATTTTTAGCTCAAATATGAATGACTTTGATGTAATTGTGTTCTGTGAGTTAAGCGGTCTAGTTATGAAGTATTCATCGCCTTTCTAGACAACACTTTCAGTACTGATGTGATCTTTGCGAGACAATGAAAGCTTCACAATTAAACCATCCATCTGAATACTAGAAGGATTCTTTGAATATTTATCAGAAGGCATTATATAAATTGGCATAATCAAACTCTAAATTATCTATAAATTCAACAGTTCTTGACTGATTGATATTTTAACATTTTAATGAGAGCTCTATAGCTGAGTTATAAATGTGTCTACCGTTACAGGAGTGCAACAAGTCATCTACCGAATAAGTTATTATTCTTTCTCAAAGTAGCATCAATCAGTTCATTATAATTAAAGTAGCGAAAAGTATTATCGCTAACCTAAAGACAAAATCATCATCGTCATCATCTCTGAGAAATTGCAACCCGTACTGTGCAATTTCTAAACAGTCTACAAATTATCGAATCATCTAACGGTTCACAATTTAAGCAATCAAATACGTATTTTCGGTGAATTCTTTTCAGGCTTTACAATTACATAATCAAGTTTTATTCATATATATTTGAAATAGTATGGATTAATAGAACCAAATGCAATTGATTAGAATGTAAGTAGAATAATGATTAAACATGCAAATATAACACAGTATAATATTGATAATAAAGTTAACAGTACAAATAAAAGTAATATTTAGAGTTATTTCGTGTCACGTGCGTCGGTGGTACAGCGTCAGAATACTCGCCAACTACGCAGGTGGTCAGGGTTTCAATCTTCGGCCGACACACTCCTTTACCTTGCTAAGCCAGTTGTAAGACTGGTAAAGAGGGAAGGTTGAGCCTGTAGCTTGAAGCTCTAGGTTTCACTGGGAACTCAAAGGAATAAAAAATTTAATGTCACTGGAGCAGATAACTATTCTACTTTAGGATTGGAGGCCATGGGGGGGAGAAGGATTGAACAAACTTCTTCTGAACACAGAGACTGCGTTGAGAATTTTGTATGGCAACTGCCTCATCTAAGCCTAGCGAATGAAGGTGTACAAACTGAGAGAATTGTAAAGACTGACGTTGTTATCCATATCCTCAAGTTTCTTCGTATTCCTTTCCATTCCCAGTGGAACATGGGGCTTCAAACTTTAGCTTTGAAGTTTCAGTAGCAGTGGTATTTTTAGTGGGTTGGGTTGCTAGCTGTACTCGCAACCTTCCTTCTTTGTCGTGATTGTAAATAGCTAAGGGAGATAAACGTGTGCTCCGGCCAGCGCTCTACCGATGTACCACTGGTGTAACATCCATATCCAATATAGAACTCCTCAATAACTTCACGACCGCTTTACCTAGCCGAGTTGGATAATGGTCGTTCTACTCATGTAACTGCCTCCATAAGAATAGTTAAATTTACAAATGCATAGTGAAATGGCCAGACTGGGCAGCTTATCCTTCACCATCATTGCAATTATACAACTAGTGGCGAATTTTAAGTATACTGTTGCGGCAAAGAATGTTTTAGCTAGTAATTTTCGAAGATTCGATGCCAGTAATCCAGTGATTGTGTCTCCTTGGAACGGTAAATCCATAAATGTACGTCTCTTCTGAACAGTTTGCAGTCATTTCTCTCAATGTATTCTCATTCTGAGATTTTTTCTGGATATCCGTCCCTGTATAATAAGTTTTCCACTTTCTCTATTTTATCTTCGAGAGTGTCAGTTATGCGGACTTTTCTAGCATAAAACATCAAGGTACTGATGAGATCGTGTCTGTATGCAAGAAGAACAAATGACCTGAAGTGGGTGCATTGGCTGACCCATAGCTTTTTTTCCGGAAAATACTCCGCCTAATACTGCTCTCTTGCCTTCTTGTTAGCAGGACATGAAGAAGTGATAAAGGACTGCCTTTCTTTGTCTCGTATGTGAACTCATTTTGTAAGAGAGATATACTGAACACTTCACAAAGGACCTATCTATCAGTCTTATTCTTACATAAGATAAAAGAATCATCCATATACCTACAGTAGAACGAGAGTTCACTGATTAGACTATCATATGGCTGATTCTCTAATTTTACCATAAATATATCGGCTGAGGAAGAGGACCCAAAGGGGAGCTCACTTTTCTCTACTTGTACTGAACGACAGTACATTTCATTAGATAGGAAATAACCAAATGCTTCATTCACTTATTTTGTTTTTGGAAACTTTGTAGAGGGCATGAGTATGCCGTCGTTTTACGTTCAACATTCTTTCTGTCGTATACTAACTAGATTTAGTAGAAAAAAGTACTAGGAAGGTTTATACGACTCATGGAGTCTAACATTAATTTCGCAAAAACTACTTCATACATACCTATGATTTTCATCGTATTTACTAATACACAATACAGTTAATTCAAACGGAAATAAATAGTGAATAATACTGAATGGTCATTGCTTTATAAATACAACAAACTCTTAATCATCGGCCTTCTATAACATTAGTTTCATTAGCGAACTGCTGTAATAATTCTTTTAGAATTCTGTCTGCCCATAAATCATTTACTACTAACACTGATTCTATCTTAAAGTTTCGAAATAGCAAAGTTGTAACTTTTCGCAGAAATATGGAAGATATACTTTTTACATAAATGAAATCCAAGAAAATCTTTTTAGAGTTATCAGCTGTCAGAATGTAATAACAGCTCGAACGATCCATGTAGGCATCATGAAATATTATTATTTATCCGTCTTCTATTAACTGCTCCCTCTTATTATATGTATAGAATTTGAGCACTGCGATAGTGTGTAATTTCATATCAATTTGCATATTACATATATTGATTAGTACAGTATATAAGAGAGTGTTGTGGGGGTCAACAGCACTCAGCATGGAAATGAAAATAAGATCCGGATTTCCAACTCCAATGTGAAGTTAGTGCTACTATACAGATCAAAGATCAGCAACAGTAAGGGGTCTCTTGGAGCGAACCAACCAGGAACTGATTGTGAGACAAATAGGCAGGAAGAAATGGAGGTGCATTGGCCATACTCTGAGAAAACCAACCATCAAGCGACATCACTAGACAAGCCATCGCTCGAGTGGAACCCGAAAGGGAAGCAGTGAGTTGGTCGTCAGTGAGAGGGTGACTTGGAGGAGGTCATGTGAAGAGGAGATGAAAGCGTATGGGCACACTTGGAGTGTGGTGAAAACGTTGGCTGAGAACCGATCGCAATGTAGATGAGCGGCTGAAGCCCTATGTTCCTCTAGGAATTAAGGGAAATAATAATAATATAATAAGCACGAGTTCCTAGAGCAGATCCAATATAACCGGCTCTAAAGGAGCAGTTGAGTTGGCAGGTACAATGAAAGATGGCTGGCCTATGTGCTTCTTCTTTCAGTTTCAGAACAACAACCTATCATGGGGGAAATATAAGCTACAGCTTGCAGGAATTGGACATTCAGTGAATCAAATTTCTCAGTTTGTTGGTTATTATTTCACTTGATATATCACCTTTGAATTGTAGTCGCATATATGAGGGCATTATGATAGCAGTTACAGAAAATTTCATCACGAGACAAATAGTCAAGGAAGAAGAAAAGAATTTTTATATACCTGCTTACTGCAGAAACCCTTACAATTCACCTAAAACAATTGGAGCCCTGTAAGTAAAAGAAACAGATCTAGTCAATATTACTACCTTGGCCTATAATCGAACCTGTACATTCATAAATTTTGTATTGCTTTCCTTAATTTATCTGATATTCAGCTCAGTATTATATTGAAGCATTCTTAAAGTTTAGGTTATAATGGATACTGTTTAATAGCGATGAAGGCCTAGCGTAAATAATATTAAGGTTAGGCTTATAGCAACAGACGCAGAAATTAGGTCAATCGATAAGATTTCGATACTTTTCTTTATTCTACTGAGTCATATATAAGTTAGACAGCAATCAGTGAGATACTTATTTCATAGTTCATGATTTTTTCTACTCACTCAATGGGTATATATATATATATATATCTTCATTTTAGAACACAGTATTTGTCAGACTTATTAAAAAAGCCTACTCCTCAGGTACATGGAGAAAATGATGAAGACGAATCTGAATCTGATATTGATGACGACGAATATGATGAAGACATTACTTCAAGTAGACGATTTTCAAATTATACAGAAAGAGGTGCTACATCTGATGATGGAAAAGAGCCAGAGGAATCACTTGCTGATGGAAAATCGAAAGATCAATCTTGCTCTCCTACACATCTTAATGAGGATTTATTTAGCCGTTTTGAGAGTATGATAGAGAATGGCAAGATAATTAGTAAGTAAATCGCTGCAAATTTTATTGTATTAATCGATCGTTTGTGTAACCAGACAAATAGCAGGTTAATGTATAAATGAGACTGATCTATGAATAAGACTTCGTAACTAACATAAAGGCAAAAACGACAGCCAAAAGAAATCCAATTGCTTAACCTGCATCTTCAGATCATTCCCTCTGAAGAAATGTGTGCTTCTAATAACTGAAATTACCGCAAAATGTTATAGACAGTAATCATTTATAACTAATAGTGTTCTCTGAGCTGGTTGGTTTAGTTTCGAAGCTTTTGATAATTAAATTTGTAATCCTCTTTATGTAAAATATTTTGTGACCTATTGATAATTATGTAGTATACCTACTTTCCTCGAAGTGAAACCGTACAGATGATAATTGTATTTTCATTAAATTAAGAATTTTCATAATTCTATCACTAGTCTAAGGGTAAAGTTTGAGCATTATTTTAGAATATAATGCTGTTTTAAATAAATTTATTTAACATAACCGGGGTAGACTACTGACTCTTCAGCTAACAATTTAGAATGTCCACTTTCGTTCCACCTGTTCTCACAAATTCCCAGTACTTCTATGCCTTATCTTCTCATTTCTTCTGCAATCTGAGCAACGTTCCCAGCTTCAAAAATTGTATGCACATGCTATGTTCGATTCAAATAGGATACGACAAGTTAGGCGTCCGACGATGATATGGAGGAAATCTTGTGAGGAGGAAATGAGAGCTGACTGGTAATCGTGGGGCCAGCTTAAAAAAGGCTGAAGAGAGAGAATGCAGTGAAGTACAGATGTGATGCTCAAGCCCTATGTTCCACTCGGAAACCAAGAGAATAATCATATGATATAATTCACAGGCAAACAATATTAGTAACTGGATGATATTTTGATGCATGGACTTTCATGGAATTGTCACAGTAGGGTAGTACAGGGTAAAAGTAGCCGGAGAGAAAAGAGTTTATTACCGATTCTGTATTTATGGAATAAAATCAAACTGGATGGTATTAGATGGTTGGAGGCAATCGGCAGGAAGACTTGGACATAGGTTTCGTGCCAGTTGGCACTCACTAGTCAGCAAGGCGTATCTGCAACCTTAAAGGAACTCATGTCCCTTCTGAAATTCGAACTCACGTCACCCAGTTCTGCAGTCAGAGTCGCTACCACTGAGCTACTCTGTCTGTCTGTCTGTTTTCGACATAGAACTTTGCACAAATGTGCGGAAGTTCAAGTCGCCACATTCCGTGTAGCACGCGAAGCAAGAGAAGAAAGTACAAGAAAAGCATAATAGAAACAGTGAGCAGAGGTGTGAGACAAAGGAGTAATAAAGAAAACAAAACAGTTTCATTGAAGATCATAAGTCACAGGAGTGGATGCATCTGCGCCACTGAGAACGATTTTGAGCCATGTCACCAATTGTTTCCAACCATAGATTTTTACCGTCCCGAGGACCCCAGCCTGGAAGTCTACACCTTCCTACGTGGCTTAGACCAACTGTTGTGGATTTCATTGACTGATGCCAAGTTTTTGTTTGACCGCCGCTAGCTTTTTTCCAGCCTGACCCTATATCCGCTAACATTGCTCGTCGAGGGAGGCGATGGCTTGGCATACGTAACACATGTCCTAACCATCTCAGTCTTTGTAGCTTCACGACTTCGTCGATTGATTTCCCCTGTTTACCTAGAACTCTACGCCTAACCTCCATGTTGCTCACCTTATTATGCCACTTTACACGGGAAATAGAACGCAGGCACCTATGATCAAAGACAGCTAGTCTTTTCATGTCTTCCACTCTCAGTGGCCAGGTCTCACAACCATAAAGGAGGACGGAGCGGACTGATGAGCAGTACACCCGCCCTTTGGTCGATAGTCGAACATCTCGTCTACGCCAGAGTCGGCGTAAACTAACAAATGCGAAACGAGCCCCTTGTATTCGTGCTGAGATTTCGTCAGAGATCAGCCCGTTGGGGCTGATGGTACTTCCCAAATAAGTGAAGCGGTCAACGTGCTCTACCACTTCACTTCCTATTTTTAAACTAGGCGTCGATGTAGTCCAGTCCTGTAACATCATCTTGCATTTGGCGGGAGCGAATCGCATGCCAAACATTCGTAGATTGCGGCTCAAGGTGTTTAGAAGACTCTGCATTTCGTCAGCGTCTTCGCCTAGAAGGACTATATCGTCTGCATATTCCAAGTCAACGAGATTATTCCCCGGTAGCAAGTCAATCCCTGAGTCGCTGAAGTCACCTAGGGTTAAGTCCATTAACACATCTATGATGAAGTTGAATAGAAAAGGAGATAATGGGCATCCTTGACGGACACCACTGGTCGTCATCAGTTCAGATGACAGCTCGCCGTAAGCCCTCACCTGGCTGTATGAGTACGAGTAGAGTGCCTTAATCAGTGCAATATATTTTCTCGGAATTCCCTTTACAGCCAAGCATCTCCAGAGAACTTCCCGATCGACAGAGTCGAATGCTGCCTTTAGGTCAAGAAATATAATGACTGTTGGACGCCGGTAGGAATGCCTATGTTCTAGAATCTGTCGGAGGGTGAAGATATGATCAATACACCCTCTTCCTGGTCTAAAGCCTGCCTGGCTCTCTCGTGTTTGTGCTTCCCGAGCACCACTCAGTCTACGCATGATTATTGAGCCTAAGACTTTAGATACTATATTAGTCAAGCTAATCCCTCTGTGATTATCACAGGAAGACTTGTCTCCCTTCTTGTATATGGGGATAATCAGTGACTTACACCAACCCGATGGGACTTCTTCTGATTCCCAGACGCTGCCTAGTACCTCAGTTAATCCGGACAGTAAGCTGTCTCCACCGTACTTAAATACCTCTGGAGTCATTCCATCAGGTCCCGCTGCTTTGCCTAGTTTCAGATTGGTGACAGCTTTAGTAACCTCAGTTAGTGACGGAGGACCTGTGTCTATATCCCATTCAGGGAGGTGTTGGATGCTCGGAAGGTTGAGCGTGGCTGTGGGCAAATTAAACTGCTCCTCATAATGCTCTTTCCAACGATCCAGTCGTCTATCCTGGAGCTAATTATAGTGCCATTTTTTTCCGAGATTGTCTCACTAATGATTTGTCTTCTCCCACCCGTTTCCCTGATGAGTCCAAAGAGTTGCCTGGTGTTGCCTATCCTCGAAGCTTTCTCCATCTCTTTGGCTTTTGTCGCCCACCACTGTTCACGGTCCTTGCGGAGACTTTTCGTAAGTTTCCTCTTGTGCAGCTTTCGCTCCTCATTGAATTCGGAGCTCGCCGGAATAAGTCTTCTAGCATCTATCAGTTCGGATGAGGCGGTGGAGATCCAGTGGTTTTTACTCACCTTTGGGTTTACCTTATTCACAGCTTTTACAGCTGTATCTATGGCTGCCTGGATATTTTTCCAAGCTTCTTCAGGGTGAGCACAGCTGTCGAACACAGATATGTGTTTAGCTAGTTCTTCCTCAAATACGGATTTAGTTTCCTGATCGAGCTGGGGACGTGATGGTTTTACCGCCAGCTGTTTCCTACGTCCGTTCAGTCGTAAGCACACCCGAGCGCGGACCAGTGCATGGTCGGTATCTACGCACGTGTTCCAGAAGGAGCGACAATCTCCTACCGACCCACGCCAACGATAGCTTATTGCTATGTGGTCTATTTGTGTCCAGCGTTGGTTTGATGAAGGGGGTCTCCAAGTCAAACAGTGTCTCTCCTTGTGTTTGAAGTTAGTGCTTACAAGAAACAAATGATTATCAGAGCAGAACTGTAGGAGACGGTCACCGTTGTCGGTTCGCTGGCACGGAACTCCATAGGTGCCACCGACATCCTTCTCAGATTGACACAATTTCCCTACTTGAGCGTTAAAGTCACCAGCTAGAACGACTATGTCTGAGCGTTTAGCCTTTCCACCAAACTAGACAGCTTTTGGTAGAACTCATCCTTCGTTTCATCTGAACTGCAGTCAGTGGGGGCGTAGGCGGAGATTACGAAAAGGCATCGGCGAGTAGTGCAGTCCTTCCTCCTTCTTACTGATCCGTTCAGGCGGACAGCACACATTCGGCTATCTACCGGGATCCAGTCAAGCAATGTCTTTTCTGCCCTAGTACTCAAAGCTATCCCTACGCCAGCTAATCCTCGTGAACTAGCTGTGGCATCTCCTGACACCCTCAAGGTGAATTTTGCAGATTCAACCTGTTGGCCAGGTGGGGTTAGGTGAATAACCACACTTGGGTCTTGTATGCGTGTTTCTGAAACACAGCATACATCAATGGCTCGTGATGCCAGGGTCTTGGCTAGTGATGCTTGTTGTCCTATTTGGCAAAGTGTCCTAACATTAAGAGCTCCTATATGAAATTGGTGGCGCGGCTTTAAGAGGCTGTCGGTGGTGGTTTTTTGGCTTCCATCGTTTTTAGTGGACGCAGAGTGGAGAGGAAGTGGAGAGCTATCAAGTCGAGGAGTTGCATCAGTGGAAGGAAGGCAAGATGATAGAGATGAAGATGAAGACAAAGATGAGTGAGTAATAGAGAGGTTTCGTGTGCATTTCGGATTGTGAGGGCGATTGTTACTTCCCGGCTGCCCACACCGTGGAAGTTGGTTGCGTGACCGCAGAGCCCAGGGGACAACTGCTTGAGGCCGGTCACACGCGGCCTGTTTTTGTTCGTTCTTTTTTTTGGTGTGTCTCAGTAGCAGATTTATCACTCCTGCCCTGTGACACGGCAGCAGGAAGCGCGGTCGTTGTTAATCCGGGCCACGGCCGATCCGGCATGAAATTTTGTAATTTTGTATTGGACATGATGTTGGATTGGGTAGCTGCTTTTTGTTTAACCGCTATCCAAACAACCTGCCTGGCATGGTAGACCTCAAGAGACATAAGTCTCAGCCAGTATAGCTTGATAGGTCATTGCGGTGTTCAAGCCCGACCACCACGTCAAGGTAGCAGCTTTCGGTCGGGTGAGCTACTCGGGCTCGCGACTGACCTCCTGTAAGACTGTAGTGGATATTTTGATTTGACACTAGTAACTAGTGTGATGCGTCTATTCCTCTGATTGGTCTAGAATGAATTCTATCAGTCAGGTTGCAATATGACCACCATTCTAGGTAGCTCGCCATCATGGTGAGTATTTATTTGATGGCATTAGATAGTTGAAGGCAATCGGCAGGAAGCCTTGGACCTGACTGATAGAATTCAGTCTACACTAATCAGAGGACTAGACGTATCACACTAGTTACTAGCGTCAAATCAAAAAATCAAACTTGTAGAATCAAAATGACGCAACGACTTTCTCTGGTGTATGGAGAATCGGAATGAAAAATAGGAAGATGTTAGGATATATATGACAACTTTGAAAGTTTATTCAATACACTGATATGATTATGAACAATGAATTTCGCTTCAAACGTCATCCGGCTATTAATACTGTGTCATCTTGTGTTATATATCAGATAAATTTATCCAATATGGAATAATTACATTAGTTTGAACAAAGGAAATTCCATAGTCGAAGTCTAAAATTGCACTTTGAAAAAAATCACAAGTGAGTTTCACCAGCATATGCAATATACACATCTTACTGACAATGAAAAATTTAGAAAAATACACGTTTTATGTCACAAAGATTTTATAAACTGTTTTGCAGTAGAACTATGTGGGGAAAAGCGTCTACAAATGTCAACGCAAACAAAAACACTCATTACCATAATTAGAGATATTGTAATTTAGCCTTGGATGCTGTAGTTCTGATTTTATTGGAACTGCATTTGAAATATTGATCAGTTATTGAGAGGTGAGTAATGTCAAAATGTGGTAGTTACATTGCAGACTAAATTTAAAAAGAAAGCACTTGATTAGGTTGTAGAAGATATTAACTGCTTTCGAGTAACCAATATGTGTGTCTGAATTGCTGTTGCTGCTGTTGTGGCTACAGACAGTCCCTCTCTGTCTAGCAAAGCTCTTCGACAGCGTATCGTGTAAATGAAAATAATTCGATCTCTTAAATTAAATATATCTCCTTGTAAAGTCTTCTTGTTAACAATTTGACAGAGCAAAGAGTGTTGATTCCATGGAGGATTTCATCGTGAACTGGCATCAGATAGAGTACAATTGGAAAACCTGGGAGTAATGGACAGCTGTTTCGTCCTAGTTTGGGACTCTTCATCAGTACGCACCCACCGGGATTCGAACCCAGGACCTTCTGGTGACAAGGCGAGCTCGTTGACCATTGAGCCGCTGTGATCCGATCCAATGGCCAGCCCATGAATTCTAACTTTTGCCAATTCACGACATAGCGTGACCATTTCGCAATGTCTTCTTCGATAAGTTACTGCCTCATCTTCGACCTGCTGTACCCTACTGGTGATGGCTTCCCATTAAAACCCCAGGTTAACTACCTGAATAGGGCTACTCGCTAGTGAGCATCTGATTAATTTTCAAGTATTGGTTTGTTGTAGGGATTTTGTTTGATTTCATGGAGGATTTCATCATGAACTGACATTAGTTACAGAACCACTGGAAAACCTGGGAGTACTGGACAGCTGTTTCGTCAATCTAGTTAGGGACTCTTCAGCATTCCTACAAAACCAATACTCGAAAATCAATGAGTGTTGAGCATTTAAAATTTTCTGTTCAACGTATTATGCGAATAAAATATTGTTATTATGAACGGTTTCAGGTAAAGTGAATTTCAAGTCTCCTTACATGTATGTTAAGTAAAATAGGCTATTTTTTAAAATTTATAATTGTCCTAAGCTTAAGTAAAGCACAAAACAGTGGAAAATATAATCAGCAGGATATCTAACTTTTGTTTTTATTTTATCAATAAAATAGGATCTAATGAATTCATTACCAAGATACATGAATTATATCATGTAGGAACCATCGAGGTTTGGTTAATCCAACCGGATGGTATGTCACAAGTTGAATCAAAAGAAGACGATGAAGATAAAGACACAGAAGATGTAAACTTAGAAATTCTAAATCTTAAAATGCCTAATCACGCATCAAATTTAAAATATGGAGGTTACGGAGAAAATAATACATTTCAAATCACCGGATATCCCACTCCACCTACATCACCTAATACTCCAGTAACACCTAGATTATCTCAAATACATGAAGTGAGAAGTAATCTTGATGCCAGTTTACCGGAGAATCAAGAATCACATAATATAATTCGTTTGAATACTGTTGCTGGTATGGAAACTGCTAGAGGTAAACCTCCAACTGGTGTTATAATGGCTGATTTCCCATCAAAACCTGGAGCACCACTAGCCACCTATAACGTAAGTTACTGAGGTACTTTCGATTTTGCGTGTTTTGAAGTACTGATTTCCTGTAATAAGTGAACCTTGTACATTATGAATTATTTTAAATGTTCTTTTATTCCCTTTTATACGAAGTGCATTATATGCATTCACTGAGTCATTCACTGAATTGACAAGGTAAAACACTAACCAAAAGTGCACTATTCTAAGACACTATGCTTTTGAAAATCACACACACACATACAGTGTGGAAAAAAGAAATTTATTAAAACCTCAATGAACGAAGATGCTCTTACGACAGAATAATTAGACAAAGATGTGTGATCACTTCAAAATATGCAAAATGAGTGAATACATTCGCATCATTATAAATGGTTTTCAGCCATACAACCAACTCTTTCAAAATATTGACTCTTCTCACGCTGAAATCCCTAGACAGAAAGTTCACGCCACCCTACATCGATCAAAACGGACGATCGATGTCTTCATAGACTAGTTCCATGTTTTCATCTGACTACCACTACCCCTGTTCCAACTGAGTTTGAATTCTTAAATAATAGATAGGATTTGTAGCTCGGGTGCATGATTTGCAATTAGTAGTGTTCTCTGAGCTGTTTGGTTTAGTTGCTGAGCTTCCTTCGTCCTTCTAGACAACATCTTCAGCGCAGTTTTTAGCAAACAGTGAACCGATTTAAATTTTCCATGAGTGATAGAGTTGCGTCTCCTCGTAACCATCTTTACATCTTTATTGATCATTTTTTTATTGACTTGGATTTTTAACTTTCTCATCACATGATTTGCTTTTTATTAGTTGGTAGATTTGGTCTTCATTAACATGTTTGTTAATCGCATATTCGTTTGAGTACCAGGCTTCTAGTAATTCTCTGGCACTTTTGGTGTTTTCTCTGTTTAAAATTTCGACATTCTCCCAATCAAACTGATGTCCATAATTTTCTATATGCATTGATATGAAAGAATATATATCGTGTCTTTTCACAGCTGATTTGTGTTCCTGGATTCTGATTCTAAGTGGTTGGTGTAATGTCTGTTACAGTTCATACAATTTATTTTGTAAATGGTATTAATTTTATCTCCTTTTTCTGTTGGATCTTTCGGTTTGCACAATACTGAATTAAGTGATTGGCCTGACTTGTGTGTTATATCTATTTCAAACGGTTTCAGTATTCTAGCTGTTATTTCAGAGATATTTTTTATATATGGCAGGATGAATTTTCTTGTAGTCTTTGATGATGATTTCTTATTGGTCCTGTGACTGGATTTTATACACTTTTTGATGAATTTGTGCGGATATCCATTCTTTTTGAAGACAGTTAGTAAGTATTTTTCTTCCATTCTTTTCAGCGCTGAAGTGCTACAGTGTGTTTGAATTCTTTTAAACAATGCCTGTACAGTTTCTTTTGTTAGTATAGTTGAGTATCTGATCTGTGTGCGTTGATTTTCTATCTACTTGTGTTTCTAAATTTCCTGTGTTAGTTCTCCTGATTAAGTTTCAATTCATTTAACATTGCTTGTCGTCAGAGACTATGCGTCTGCATATACAACACGTATCTGAATGACAATAATATATGGAAGTTCACAATTTCATCGATTCACTTCTCCTACTTATCTTACTACCTGTAAGTAAACTCACTTTTCTCTTCACATTCGGTTCCACTTAATATTAATGATTGAACAAAGACACCTATAGTTCAGAATCAGGGATCTTTTCGTACATTCTATTTTCGAATTTAGTGTCTTACAACTGTTAAGTAATAAATACCTTTAAACAGTGAGTTTGAGAACTAGTTCCTAAGATAATTGTTGACGGAAGAAACTTTAACGAACGAATTCATCACAAGTCGGTGTGATATTTTAATTTTTTTTTCTTTTTTTCCTTCACGTTCCCCAGTGGAACATAGGGCTTCAAACTAGTGGCTTGAAATTTCTGTAGCAGTGTTTATTTTACAGGATGGGGTTGCTAGCCTCATGCCCAACCTTTCCTCTTTACCAGCATTATTTCTGGCTTAACGAGGTGAAGGAGTACGTCGACCGGGGATCGAACCTCGGACTGTATTCACGGTTGGCGAGCGTCCTAACCGCTATGCCACCAACGCACGTGATATTTTAATGCATTCCATCAATTCATTTTCTGACAACAAGGTTTTTAACATTTCTTCGAATTAAGAAAAGTGTACATAAAGTCATAATTCATGATTCAAAAATTTGTGTCAATTTACTGAGGAGTAAAAAACTAGAGGCTTTTAGACTAGCTCAAATCAGTCAGCTTACCACTCACGCCTTTGAAAGAAAGATAAAGCATTTACAATTCTTAATAATCAATAATTATTTGTATTAAAACAATCATATTTTGATTTTGTTGAAATAATTTTCATATAGCTATCATTCAGCTATTGGGATCCTTTCCATTGGTCAGTGAATTGTAACTTCAAAGACTGGTCAAAAGCTTACATCAATAATGGAATCATTGGAAAACATGGGAGTACTGGGTCGCTGTTTTATCCTATTTAGAGACTCATCGGTAGTAATCACTCACTGGGGTTTGAACTTAGGACCTCCCGGTTACCAGGCGAGCTCGTAGACCATTCAGCCACTGGGACTAGACCCAATGGTCCATGGAAGAAGTTGGAATTCATGAACCATTTGGTCAGATCCCAGTGGCTGCACTGTCTATAAGCTCACCCGCTAACCGGAAAGTTATAGGTTCAAACCCCAGTGAGTGCAAACTGCCGATGAGTCCCTTACTATAATGAAAAAGCTGTCCGGTACTTTCTGGCTTTCAGTGGTTCGCTAACTGACATCACTCACTCCATTGCCAAACTTGAAAGGAATCAAATCCCTTGAAACTAACTCATGAAAATATAGATATAAGTTACATTCAGTTTTTACTCAATTCTACACCAATCAGAGCACACTAATCATACTCCGTGGCATTTTCTTCAGTATCCGGTTAACTTTCTTTCTCACAGAATTTAATAAACCCTACAAGTATGTACTAGTAATTCATAACTTGTTATTTATCTTTAAGTTAAGCAGATGTGTATTATTCATTTCAGACAAATCAAAACCCTTTGGTCTAGATAAGAAAAAGAACACACAGTTTTCAGTACAATGATGTTGGTTATGTGATGTATGAAACATAACAGGTGTAATGTGATATTAGATTTACCACGTTAACATAGACAGTAATCAGAAAATGTTTGTGAATAAAGACACATAAATAAAATCAATTTTTATGGTGGTTAAGTATTAAGAGATGGACTAGTTTAAACTAAAAGTGTCTGCATGTGATTACTGACTTGGCCAAGGTCTAATTCAATTAACTTCCAAACTTAAATTTCAAACTATTTCATGATCTCTAATCTAATAGAATTCATGAGTTATATGATGGGGTTCCAGTGGCCGAATGATCTACGAGCTCGGAAGGTCCTAAATTCAAACTCCAGTTAGTGATTACTACCGATGAATTCATAAATAGGACAAAATAGCTGTCCAGTACTCCTGTGTTTTCCAGTGGTTCTACAACTGATGTCAGCTCATGATGAAATCCACCGACTAATTTATAGAGTTACATTCCCAGTGAAGGTAGCTGGTCAGTTGAAATTTATTTTTCTACAGTTTTATTCGAGAATTGTGAACTTCATGGTAAAGTTTTACGATTTACACATAAAGAATTGTGCTTTCCAATGTAGTGTTGTGTATACGATTACGCATTGCGAACGTAACTTTGACTACAATCTACTAATATGAAGAAAGGTAGCATTGTTAACTGTATAAAGCATAAATCAAAATTGTGCTATTATTCTCTAATGAGAGAGAAAAATTCGAAAGTTGTATACATTACTTCATAAATCCATCTTTTATGAAGTGATCATAAATGCATTAGAAGGCTAAATCATTGCACTCACATCATTTGACCGTTTAAACTACAATGGGCGATGTGGAAGTCTACTTTCCCGTGTATTGGTTGGACAAGCATATGTGAAATGAATAAAACTCTTCGGCTTTATTAGATACAATGCTCAGCTTGGAAACGGAACCTTTTACCTCATAAACTACTAATACAATAAAATCATTAACGGATTCCTCAATTTAATCAGAGCAAATAATCCTATTAACATCTGATACATCAAGAGTTCAACGGTAAGTAGAATGTCTACCAGCCACACAGGTATGTCTGGATTCCGTTGCCGACCAACACACTTCTAAACCTCGCATAATTTACTAATTGGGAAGCTTAAGCGTAAAGTACTAAGTAATCTTAACCATAAGAAATGATTGCATAAACATACCTTCGAATCAATTTAGTGAAAATAATTTAAATATGAAATTGCATTAACAGTCTGATGGGTACCTAGAGAAAAGACCGGTGAGTGAAAGTATAGAAAATTTCTCTATCTCAAAAGACTGTAGTCGTCAGCTGAAATAAATGAATTCTGATCTCATATGCAATAAGAAAATGAAATTCATAAGACTTTGAAACTGAAAAAGAAAAATTATTTTCACTCTTTCCTTCAAATTACCGTTTCTTTTTTCCTCACTTTATTATTTATTTCTTTTCTTAATTATTTCAGGTGATGATTGATCCTGATATATTTAGTACCTACGTGAAAGCTTTAACATCTAAACCTAAAAGATTAATGACCACTGAAAGTGGAGGTGAACGTTTTAACAAAATGAGTAGAAGTAGTTCTTACATAACTCGAAGAAAATCTGGTAAAGGTTTTCGTTCTGATGATCCAAGTCCGCCAAAAAGACCTACTTAATACCAACCAGTACTACCCTTAACAACACTTGTCTTCAAAAACTAATGCTTTAAGTGAGTTATTTTAACAAAACAAAAAAGTTTATATATATCACTTTCTAGCAGGCTTTAGTTTCTCTCTTATTATCCATATTATTCCCTTGGGTGCCTAGTGGAACACAGGGCTTCACCAGCACATTTGCCTTTTGTCCTTTTCTCAATAGTCTTCTTTAAGTGTCTGGCTCCATGGTTGCCGATAAGCTCTAATCTCCACCTCCACAGGATCTTCTCTGTATCACCTTTACACCCGCGCTCAACTCGTCGTCTCACACTAGGGTTCCACCTGAGATTCTGCCTAGCACTCGATACCACTCGACGATCTCCACAGAATGTGTCCATTCAACTTTTATTTCTTTTATTGAGCAACTGGTTCGATATTGGTTCGTTCCCAGAGTTGCTTACTGCCAATTTCTTTAGCCATCTGATCTACTGTAAGGAAGAAAGGCAGGTGTTAATAAATGTCTACAGTTTATTCGAGATGCTTTTCGTGATGCCTCAAGTTTGTGACCCATATAGAAGAATTGACTTAAAATTGGTGTGAAAAATCTGAATTATAACCTTCATGCAGAAGATCTCCAAACTGATTTCAGAGTAATGAAGGTCTATCTTGCCTTATTGATCCCGCCTGTAGCTGAACCGATTCTGTTCCGACAAGTGATCTCTTACAAATTTTCCCCGTTGATAGTGATTAGTGCATTATTGTTGCTTTTGTTGCTGGTTGGTTTTCTTCTCACCCACAATATACAAACAATAAATATTTTTTTCTGCTCACAAAATTCTACTTTTGTCCATTAGGTTTCATTAGAAAATAATAACTCACGTAGGAAATAAAATTTTATTGAAAATCATTTCAAATAAGCAAGAAAATGCGCTAATAATGTAATATTCTTAACAACGAAAGGAAACAGGTGAATATATTCAAAGCATTTTTATTCTGAATGACAATTGTCAACTGAAATAGTTGAATAAATTGCATTTCACGTGATATTGTTGTTACTGATTATATTACTGTCCTTTGATTGAATGCTAGATAGGAAGTATTTATTGTCATGTACGTAGTTCTTTATTTGCTATAGAGTGAATTCTCATACATTTATTACCCTTAATGAATTTGAACAAAGCAAGAAGTACAGTTTTAGCAGAATAAAATGGTACCATCTTTTATTTCGTTGCCTTCTCGTCAGCTGCTTACAGGGTAAAGACATTATTAAATATATCTACAACAACAATTTCAACATACTTGCACAGAGTTCATTTTAAACAAAAATCAATCGATTAATATATATATATATATATATAATATATATATATATATATATATATATAAACTGTATATATAAATTTACATGTATCTGCGGGAGTATTTACATTGGAAGGACAGAAAGAAGGGTATGTCGACGATTTTCTGAACATGTGCCAAATAGCTTGTGTCTAAAGGGAACAAATGGTTTAAACATTGCCATCGCCAGACATCTCGTCGACACGGGTCATGAGGTGAACGTCGAAAAGTCGTTCAAAATTATCAATAGGCAAAAGAGCTCAATCTCCTTAAGTTTGTTGGAGCCATTTCCATCAAGCGCCTGCAACCCGATTTATGCGTCCAGAAAGAAGCGGTTATCAGTCTTTCTTTGCCCTGGTAACTGAATATTTTTCATCTCTCTTTCTTCCGAATGAGAAATGCTTGTGTATTATTATTGTTTGGAATAGTGTTTAATATCGCATATATATATATATATATATATATATATATATATATATATATAGTGTATGCTTATATTAATCGATTGATTTTTGTTTAAAATGAACTCTGTGCAAGTATGTTGGAATTGTTGTTGTAGATATATTTAATAATGTCTTTACCCTGTAAGCAGCTGACGAGAAGGCAACGAAATAAAAGATGGTACCATTTTATTCTGCTAAAACTGTACTTCTTGCTTTGTTCAGATTGAATTCTGTCAGTCAGGTTTGCAGTGTGGTCACTGATATGTATCAATGGTGGTCTCTCTTTCTGTTGCTCTCTTAGTCTGTGACCATTTCACTTTGATGAACCTGTCTCCTTTAACAATGTATATTCCCCTTATATTATATATAATATGTGTGTTTGTTGACAGTCTGTCCTTGGTGATATATATCCATATAATATGTGTGTTTGTTGACAGTCTGATATATTTTGCTATGTATATATGGACTGATACTCCATTATAATTAGCCAATCATGTTAAGACTGTCTATTGATCTGTTCACACACTTGTTCGGACATTCATATATATTTTTGCTCTCACTCTCTTGTGTGATATTGATTCTCCTTGTGTTTGGAAAATAGAAGTATCATCGCAAACCTAGTGGTCTTCTGATTTCCGTCTTTCTTGCATCAGGACTATTAAATTCTCGACCAGTACATAACAATAATTTGGCGACGAGTACATAATAGTCACCACACTAGTTGATCCGCCAACACGTTGCACTCCGGGCTGTTGTTATTAGATGATGACTGGAGGTAACCTTGCTTCACCTAGGTTTTGAGCTTGTTGGCACTCACCACTCAGCAAGGTGCATCTTCAGTCTAGAAGGAATTCATTTCCTCTCTCAGATTTGAACTCGTATCACCCAGCACTGCAGTCAGAGATGTTACCACTAAGCTATTCGGACCCACAAATATTTGTATTATTGACTGAGATTAGCATATAAAAACCCGTGTTTTAGGTGGCAGTGGAAATGTTAAGTTTCTTAACATACTGGCTGGTATTTTTAGAGATTGATTACAATGACTCAAGTCTTTATCATAATTTTAAACAATTTTAATCGGTTTATTACACCATCATTCATTTCTTTCACATTATTTTTGTTGACCCTTGGTATATAAAAATAAGTTACTAAGCTGTGTAAATCAATAAATTATAATAACTGTGTCCAATTTATAGTTCAATAACATTGCTAGTTTAATCTTCTTTACACATGCTCCTGTTAACTCTAATACTGAGTCATAGTAACAACAATATCTGGAATGCTGCTAGGCTGTATAAATAGAAAAATGCGAACGGAGTTGAATTCCTGTGAATACATTTACATGTTGGATATTGTCAGCTGAACATTTTCACTTCCTTATATACATCACTGGTGAGATCAAGACTGGAAAACTGCATCCAGGCCGCCAGTCCTTGTCTAAAAGGGGACTCACACATTCTAGAAAGTGTTCAAAGGAAGGTAACACGTATGGTTCACGGCATAGCTAACTTATCATACGAGGAAAGACTAGGCAGTTTAAATCTCTTCTGCCTGTCATACCGTAGGCAGAGAGGAGATTTAATCACAATATTTAAAATTTTGAATAATGACTACGGACCTGATCTATTCTCTGTTTTCCTCCACACTGGGTCGGAACACTTCATTTGACATAGCATGAGAGTTCAAAGGCCAAGGAGAAATCATATTGCTCTTGAGTACTGGTTCTCACACCGAGTCATAAACTCTTGGAACCGACTCCCAAAAGAAGTGGTGTCGGCAATCTCAAATGATTCGTCCAAGAAGGGTTTGGACAACCACAGAAATCTACTAGAAAAGGATTAACATAGGCTTCAAGCCTTCTATCCTCAACCAATAAATCTGAAATTGATAACAGAGTCAATTTAAAAATTAAATTAAGAATCGTACACTTTATGAAGCAGCTGTAATCAACACAATAAAGAATATATCATGTTTTTTTACGAATTGATCACGGATTGATATCAGTTAGAGAACCATTGAAAACCAACGAGTACTCGACAGCTGTTGTTTCATCCTAGTTTGGGAATCATCGGCAGTACGCACCCACTGGATTCGAACCCAGGAATTCTGGTTACAAGGCAAGTTTGTAGATCATTAAGCCACTGGGACCCGATTAAATGGCTCATGAATTCTAACTTCTACCAATTTAATGGTTCTCTAACTGATATCAATCCGTGATCAACTCGTAAAAAAACATAACTAACCCTTACAAACCAAACCATAGAAAATGTATCATGTTTATTATTTCTTGATCGTCTGAATTTATGTAAACAGATACTGACGCGAGTCTATGGAACATTCAACGACTAAGACAAAATCTAGTGTCCCCTGAATTATAATTTCCGTCAATTCGCTGTATACATATATATATATATATTATATATATATATATATATATATATATCCACAGTAATGGATGGTTACTGTTAAAAAGACCCAAACCAGAACGAAACCGTTGTCCTGTAGTACTCCCTCGTTTTCAGTGGTCCTCCAATGGATATCAGTCCATGATCTAGTTTGAAAGCCATCAAATCACATCAAACCAACACTTAAAATTTAATCGAATGCTGACCAATGAGTAACTACAAGAAGAAGTTTCCTGAAGTTCTAGTCAGAAGTCGTGAGTAGTAGGATCCACCATGTCAAATGTGAGGACAAATACATGTTTATAAAATTTTCTGGCAGTGGCACTATATATCTCAAATTGACAGAAGTCGAAATGCAAAAGCCGTTGGACTTCGTCTTAGTCGTTGAATGTTAAACATATTCGCTTCATAACCTGAAAGTCCCAAGTACAATCCTTGGTGGGGTCATAGATACACATTGTTAAACAGCACCAAACTAGGACATACCAGCTGTTCATTACTCCTTGGCTTTCACTGGTCATCTGACTGACGTCAGTTTGAGATTTAACTTGAAACTTATTTCCATTACTGTAGTTACAATTATGTTATATTGACGTATAAAACAGTTAAATTTACTAAAATTCTAAAATTCAATAAACAGCTTATATCAATCGAATTGTCTGTAATGTAAAATCAATCTTTGTTTCACCTAGGTTGATGAAATGTCATAATGACGATGAGGAAAGAAATGTTAACTAAAACATTGTGTGCAATATTTTCAATATATATATGGAACTACCACATCATAAAATAGACGATACGAAATGTAAAGTTAATAGCGATGCAAATGATG